TCTAGATTAAGTTTATTTTTTTGTGTAGTACACAACCTCGATCTTAATGTTTTGATATTGTCAGCTGTTCGCGTCATGTAACTGTGATATCCACCATGAGTCGGAAAAACAGACAAATTTGAGTGGATTTCGACTAAAGTTTGGAGAATAAACATACATGGTAACGTAAGTATTTTCAATTCTTTGAATATTGGGCGGCAGTGGCTGGACGGCGGAACACCCCCAAGAACCCGAACCGCAGACTTCTGCAATCTAAAGGCTCTCTCGGCCTCCGTCGCGTTCCCCCACAGTAGTAGACCATAAGATAAGATACTATGAAACAGTGCAAAATAAACTATACGGAGAGTGCTTTGCGAGATCGAACCTCGCAGTTGTCTCAGAACAAAAACCTGAGATGACAATTTACCGCACAGGTAGTCTATATGAGGCGACCACGTTAAAAACGCATCTAGGTAAACACCAAGGAGTTTGACCGGTTCAGATTTTTTACTTCTTCGATTGGTATTGAAAATTAGAGTCTTTGTTTTATCGGAATTTAATTTAAGTTTATTAGCAGAGAACCAGTGCTCAATCATAGAGAGTGTAGTGACAGCCTTTTTATTTAAATTAGTTAGATCTTTCTCCGATTCAATCAATGATGTGTCATCCGCATAGAGTATACTGCGAGCAGCATTTGTTGCAAATACTACATCATTGACATATATTATAAACAAAAGTGGACCAAGGATGGAACCCTGAGGCACTCCATTAGTAATGTCCAACAGAGTGGATTCCCGATTATTCCAGACAACATACTGCTTTCTTCCGGTCAAATAAGATTTTAAAAGGGCTAAGGTATTTTCACGAATTCCGTAGTACTCAAGTTTAGACAGAAGTATATTAGTATCCACGCAGTCGAATGCCTTGGTGAGGTCGCACATCGTTACCGAAGTCGACAGGCCCTCCTCAAACCCATCAATCACATGCTCAATCACTGTGTATAAGGCACGGATGGTGGACCTAATATCACATTATCTATCCATTTTCGTTTTTAAGATAAAAAATAAAAATATTCTTCCGCCACATTTGCAGCGCGATATCTCCCTAATCAACCTTATTTTTTCGCATTTGTTTGGAAACACCCTGTATATCTATGGGTTTCATAGCCGAAATATAGGTGATTCAATTTCTTTTTGCGACAACAATTTTTTTTTCCGAAGGTGATAATCGGTTAATCAAATATATGAAACGAATTGATACTAACAAATTCCTTATTCAAATAATCACGACGGTAACGAAATATTGCCGAGTGCCGAACGCTTTAATCTAAATTCCTTTGAATCATGTGATCTCAAAAGTAGTTCGAACAATCGTCACCGCGAATGCAAATGTCGCAAAGATGGCCGGCCTACGTTTATGACGTTAGGCAATCGCTCATGTAATCGTGCTTCCCCGGTCTTCCGAGAAAACTTTTCAAGGTAGTTTGGATGAAAAATCGCACCATGCTCGTCCAAATCTAATAGATTTGATTTTTTTTAAGTGACGACGCAAGTACGTTTTTTAATTATATAAATTTCAATCGATAAAATTTATGTATGATATAAATTAAGTCACTACGTTAAAATTCGTACAGTAAGGGGGCAAAATTGAGCACTTTCTGTATGAGATAGACGAAAACTAATGTCATTGTCTGGAAATCAATTATAATGAAACACACTTAATGGCAAAACCCGGACATGGGTATCAATAGTGTTGGGACTGATCAATTGACCACTTCTCAATTGACTAATCAAAATATTATGCAACAAGTGCGGTAAGTTTATTTGGCACGAGCGGAGCGGACCGCAGCGAGGGTTTAAACGAGTGACTTAAAAAGTTCACCAAACTTATTGCATACTATACTTTTTCTACGACCGATAGTTTTTGGGTTCATTTTTGCAAAACAACACGAGTACATTCACTGACATGACCGCCAAAATTTACAAACGTCAAAATTCAATCCGTGCGGTAAAATCTCCGAAAACATCTAATTGCTCCCAAACCCGTGCGGTAACATAATGGAAATATCCGAAGTGGCAAGTGGGACAAGAAACTCCACATGGTCAAGTGACGCTTTCCGCAAACTAGATCGGTGTATAATTAGCTATTTTACCGAAGGGAGTAGAACAAATGTTTTAAATAACATCTTGCAATGTAGAGTATTACCTATCATTATTTAATAATAAAATATATTTGCTAATAACTTAGCATGCATTTGTGATGTCCAATTTACCTATAACTTCAAGGAATATCGGAATACCATACTAAACGATTCGGGGAATCCCAATAATAATATCGACTCCAATTAGTTCCCAGAACGACGCGACGGTGACGTAATGCACAATAAAAAATTTGATGGTATTTTTAAAATTCATTTCGGTTAATTGACACAAAAAAAATTCACAACCCTAGGTACAGTTACTTTATAATTGGAAAATGAGAATTTTTAAAAAATCGAGTGTTTACAACCAAACTCCGAATTTGGCCACACATTTGGTATCTTTATTACTGTGGTGCTGCCATCAATTTTTCGGTTGATATTATTTGAAAAACGCATATACATAAAATTTGTTCAAAATGTAATGGATTTTAAAGGATTTGAATACCACACCAGTACAAACTGCGGTAAAAATGAGCTTCAACCATACAAATTAGTTATTGATGACATTTTTAAAAAGAAAATGAAATTGGTACGTAGGTATCGACAAATTTTTATTCGTTTATGAAAGTAATCTTATGATGGTTGGCACTTCAGATATGTTTATGTCATCAAATGTTAACATGAGTGCTGTGATAAAAATCGTTACTTGTATAGAAAAAATAATATTTCTAACGAGTCATGCCCCATTTTCCGGCTTCAAATTCGAGCTTATGCCCCAATGCTTTGTCAATGCGAGAGTTAGAAATCATTATTGTACTGTAAAACTTAGTGGTCTTAGCCGTATTCCGTAGGCGTAGTATTGTAGAGTTCTCCAAACGCTATACCGTTTTTCCAACTTTTTATGGTTTTGACTTCGGAATGACTTTAAGACCCGCCTATTGTAAAGCGGAAGGGACCAGTCTATTCAGTACGTGCACCGCAAGGCAAGGCCGTATTTAAGATATTAGCCGACAAAAACTGTGCCGTGAGGACAGTTGTATTATAAGATTTAGGGAAATTTTCTTTGATTAAACTGTTATATTAATTCATATATTCAATTCAAATATTAATTATTATTATTATTAATATTATCAAAAATATACATTCAATATTCAAATATTCTTATTCTCAATGTGTTCGAAGCTCTTCGCCGCTAAAACTCAATATTCGGGGTTGTACAATTAGTTGAAATGTGTTCTAGTGTGTGTTTGTGTGGCGTAAATGATTACTTTCAAGTAATCCTTATAAATACTTATTACAAATACTGACCCTAAGTACTGGTTCTAAACCAAATAGTTGCAGTAACAATATTTCTCACCATGTAATCATTACCTTAGCAATAAAAACGGAAAGAAAAACATAATATTAATAATATTTGTTTTCCGTATAACACAAAAATGTAAAAAAAAATAAATGCTTTTATTTATTATCACATTATCCAGTAAAACAACAAGTACCTGTAATCAGTATTTTGGTCGTCAGTAATGATTATACTTAAATCAGTCCAGTATCAGCTACAAAATAATGATAACTGAAAACTCGACACACCTCTAAATGAGGATCAAAAAACTATCATCAGAAGAATAGTACACTCGTTTTACTGAAAAAAAAATACCTGCATTGGAGAACTATTCAAGAAAATTCGAAAAAAAAAACTCGTGAGTCAAATGCCGTTTACCGAACTTGTTACATAATATTATTGCTTACGTGTAGCACCGTCCTGGCATTAATACATTTTTGTGTTAGGAGCTAATTTATATCCTTTCTAAATTGTTTTTAACACCTTTTTACTTAGTATGATGTATGGTAACTATTTATATATTATCTTCTTTGTTTGAATTTGTATGGCAAATAAACATTATTAAACAATTTCAGAAAGATATGCCGACGGAAGATTGTAAATTTGAATAAGCCACTTTGTACGAATTTTGTTGTCCATGAAATCGCTTCAAATAAAAAAGAATACAAGTTTTTATTTACTTGACCTTGTAATCATTAATATCTGACCATAATTATAGTGATGTATAATTTTTATTATATTTATTATTCTAATAAAGTATCTGTAGTAACGCCGCTGTCACCTTACTTTCAAGCATAAAGCTCGTCTTTAAATTTTATGCAAATTTACATAACAGACATAACCAATTTAAACCAAAATTCCTTTGTCAGAATGAAGACAAAAAGCGTTTTGATTTTTTCCGCACGCTGACGATTCACAAAAAAAAAAAACAAAAAAGCGCCTATGCTTATGCCGCGCCAATGGTTCTGCGCAATCCGAAAACAGTTGCTGAAAGATATTTTAGTACCAAAGCCAAAACGAGCAAAATCAAGAATAATAGACGAGGGAAAAATACGTAGAAAATGTAAACATGTAAGATATAAGATATAAGAGATACACATAGGTCTTTATAGGAAAAGCTAATCAAGCCCTTGTACACAGAGTGGTGGATAAGTACCATATATCATTTGATTATCATTACTTTTTTTAACTTCACAAATTTTCGCATATTACGATTGCCCCAATACTGCGACGTTGTCGGCTTATGGGCAAAAAATAAAAAATATTCTTAAAAATACATTTTCTACGATACCTTTCAACCTGTTGCGTCGATAATTCTAAAAATGGGCATTAATAAAGTCAAACGCACGAGTAAGAGTTTAGTTGAGCGAAAGGGTAAAAGTGATTATTTTTTGTAGAGTTTGATTTTATGCAACATCAATTAAAACATTTTTTTTAAATAGTGATAAATAATTTTGTGCCGCCCTGCATATTTTTTATTTGCAGCTCTTACTACATCCACCGACAAAATTTTAAAATCACTTTTAACACGCCGTAACTTACCCACAGCGCCTCCTGTTGACAAGTCGAACCTCGTCTCACCTATAAAGGAAAAACAAACCGTCAAAATATTTAGTAATTTTACATGTGTCATCTAACATAAAATGTCAAAAAATGAATTTTACAAGTACTCGGGAGTCTAAGTATTTTATCCTCGCCGTTAGCTTTTTAGAACTTTTACAAAGTAAGATACCATTTTTTAAAAAGCAAGACGATAAAATAACAAAATATTGGAAAAACCAGTCGACACAAGAAATAGTAACCAAGGCGGACGAATACTTCAGAGAAGGGCGCTACATGGATATATACGAAATACTGAACAGAATGAAATTCAGGTAACCATATATGATGGATGGATTATGTCCCTTCGGCCACTTCGGATGTTCGTTTAGGAGTGTTAACATATCCTCACATAGTCTCTAATGATCCCTTCTTCAAACTCTTGTCCCTCATTGATGTCGGCGAAAGTGTTCACATTCCTTGCAATTAAAGTACATAAATGTAATGTTCGATTTTATCACGCCTAATGGACATCCGTCATACTATGTTAGTTTATTGTTATAATTTTGCTTGTCGAAGATCCTTCAAAAATCTAAAAACAGAACTTTCTAGTCTAGTATGACTGTGGATCAATAGAACCCATTAAAAATGCTCGACCCGGATAATAATAATACATGAAGATTGGTTTGAGAACAAATTTAATTTCCTTGTACTCAGGTTGGGTTCTTACCTAATCAACTTTTATATCGGACTTGCAGTAAATCTGATTGCGTGTGAGACTTATTTTTCACACACTTTGCACACTTCCTATAAAACGTAATAATATTTTCTGTAGCAAGGAGGTCGAGGTGTTATGGAGAATAGGCCAAGCATTGTATTATTTATCACTGTCCAACGAGACTGGACGCAAAGTGAAGATAAAAATGATGGAAGAAGCCCACAGCATCTTGTCAGCGGATCCCAGTCTAGGTAATTGAGAACCCATTTATCGATTTGTCATAAAACTTGACCAATTTTTAATAGACATCGCCAGTCCATAAAACTTTGTTGACCGAATGACTGTGACTGCTTTTTATATTACTCGTAGATTAAAAAATTGAAAGAATTCAGAATATTTCGAAGATTTCAGTTTTTTTTTGCTAAAATGGTTGAATAGTATATTATGCAACAAGTGTGGTAAGCTGCATTTGACCCACGTTTAATAAACGAGTGATTTAAAAAGTTTACCGAACGTGTTGCATACTATACTTTTTCTACGACCGTTAGTTTTTGGGTACATTTTCGCAAAACAACAAGAATACATTCACTGACATGACCGTCAGAATTGACAACGTCAAAGTTCAAAGCGTGGGAATTATCTCCGAAAACATCCGATTGCTCCCAAACCCGCGCGGTAAAATCTCGGATTCGTGGGAAACGAAACTGACGTGGTAGTGACGCTTACCGGTGTGTAATTAAGTATTTTTACAGACGGGAGTAGAAAAAAATATTTATTTTCATGATAGATGTTGTTTTCTAACAAATAACGGCATACGGCACATGACTCGTCACCCGAGGCATACCATAGTTAGCTTGGATTTTTAGATAGATAGATTTTAGATTTTTTTTAATTGTTATATAATGCTTAAACTTATCGAAAAAGGGAAAACTGGTCTGAATAGCATTTTTCACTTTCAGTGGAGTGGTCAGTTTTCTTCTGAAAGTCACAAATTTCGATATATGAATGGAATTTGGGTTATTTTATTGGCATGTCCTTAAATATTTTTATTAGCCTAGTTATTCAATTTTAAAAAATATGTAAAACATAAGAGCTATCTCAAATACAAAACATATATCTTTAATTTTATTTTTTTATGAGCAGGCCATGGAATTTTTTTACAAAGTTTATTATGAAAAGTTAGGGATCTGTCAAAATAAACTTGGGTGTGTGCAATATTCCGCGCATTAATTAATACACCCTTATTATACCAAAATTCTCACAACTGTCATGTTTTTGGTTAACATGAGTCATAGCAGAAGAAAGAAGAGACAAAAACTAATATAGTACTTACGAATGTCAAGACTGTTTGACAACTCAAGTATATTAGAAAAACGAACATCATCTTTCATGGCCTACTCATAAAAAAATAGAAGTAAAGATATGTATGAGCTTTTTAATTGAATTAGTAATTAGGTAATTAATGCATACTGTATCTAAAAATCTAAGATGGTTCTGCCATTTCTGTTTACGTCACCTTTCATAAAAAAACAGAAACAAAGAATTAATCTCAGCAAATTACAAAGTCGCATGTATTGGCATCGGCATTCTTGTATTGTCAGCAACGAATTTCGATTTATTTTTACGTACTTCGCAGATGCGCCCGATACATAAATTTATTCTTAAAATTAGAAGCCACGAACCAAAATAGCTTTTTCCGACTACGCTGTCGCTTTCTATTGAAATGAAAGTGATCGCGAGAAATTGGCATGGGTTCGAAAAACCTAATATACATATATAGCGTGTTCCATAATAATTTTGCTGACCCTAAAGGGTGTGATTCCTTGGATAATTTTAAGAAAAAAAGTTTACATCAATGTACAAGCCCAACCGCTTAATTTTTCAAATACAGAGTGTTGAAATAAAAAAAAAGAGCTGTTTCATCTTATTTTTAATATAGACATTTTGTTGAAATATGGTAGGGGCACACTTTTTTTCCATTACTTATCTGCTTTCACCAGCGGCGTCAGGATAATTATGACACTGAATCGAAAAAAAAAAACGCCACGCCAGTGTTCTTTTCAAAAATAAATAAAATTTTAAAATTGCGATTCATTTCTTGGTAAAAATGATCTGAATAGGAATCTGAATAAAAGCAATCTGAAACACAATCTTTACCAGCAAAGGCCGCTTTAAGAAGAAAAAATTATATTAGAAATGCTCTGGAATATATATAATTTGCCAATAGAACGAATACATGTCATTGAACGACACAGTGGATATGTTGACGCGTTAGTGGAAATGAGTGAAAATTAAGTTTCTAGAATTAATATCAAGTCAGTTGCGCAACCTATTATTTGTACGCATTTTCTAATATGAACAATAAATACATATGCTTTTTTTACGTGTTAGATTGCAAAATAATTAGAAATCATTAATAAACGAGAAGGTTATCATGACTTTTATATCACAAGCGATAAATGTTCATTCAAAATGGAAGCGATATTAAACAAGATTGCTTTCGAAAAATCGTCGGTGTGAGGGGCAAGTTCGTCGCAAATAACGCGAATCCGCTTATTATTTAAAAAAAATAGGCGCTTAAGGGGATTCTTGTCTTGTCCTAGAGGGACGCATTGTTTCGCTATCGTGCTCCTGCGGACCACTATGGAACTTTCGCAAAATCGATGTAATTTAATTGTGCATGCACCCTGTATATATAAAATTTGCACGAATAGTAGCGCTGTCGAATGATATTTTGCAAATATCTCGCGCCCTGTATAATTGACGAAACCTGAAACTCTCTCACTACACGGTTTACGATACTGTTTAAATAAAATTATTATTTTTTGAAATATCCCGAGCAGCGTATGTGATAGACGAAAACCGCAAATACAAAAATTGTAGCTCTTGATGCAGCCTATGACACAATTTTTGATTTGCGGCTAATAATTTACTCTGGAAAAGAACAATTTTCTAAGTGTTTTAGATTTTTGCCTATAATTTGAAAACCCTGTATATAATCGAAAAAATGCCTGAAATAAATGTCATTGCACTTGATCTTCTGCTTCTGCTGGTTAAAGAATTTTGCCGATCTGGTGAACGATTATGGAGGAAAACATATTTTTCTGGAAGCTAAAATTACCAAAAAAAAATTCCGAAATCAAAAAGAAATACTTGGTAAATTGGATTGCGCCCAATTTCTACCGTTTAAATGTGGGCACGGACTTTTACTTCTCTGCTAAATTTGAAGTTATCTGCAAATTTAGGACACTTAGCACATTTCTAATTTAGCACGGCATATCGGCAACACCCTGTACAATAGGTGAAAACCTTAAATGCAAGAGCTTTTGCTGTCTATGCGGACTATATCGCAATATAAAAGAAAGTGAGATCCGAATCATAGTTTTTCAGTTATAACCAATTTTCAATAGGTTTGTCAGGGGCCAAAGCTGCATATAAGTGCCAAATATGAAGTCGATTGCTTCAAATTTCGGACACTTATCTGATTTCATAGCAAGGTAAAAAAAAAACAGTAGAAAATTGCGAAAAAAAGATGGATACCGACGTCGGATCAGGGCCATTTCTTATAAGGTTATGTGCTTCGTGGAGGGTTAAAAAGAAGGCAAATTTCAATTTTGTAGCTCCAACGGTTCGAAAGTTATTCAGGAAAAAAAAAAAGACGAGAACGGAGAACAGATAGACTACGGTGATCATGTCTTTACCAATGGCGATCCCATAGGACCTACCGTTACCGAGATATAAAATTTTTATACGAACGCAGATACTTTGGAAAAATTCGATTTCATTGATGTTCTAAAGTAACAAGCACAAAAAATATATTTTCGATTTAATCTGTTATAAACATGTTTCGTAAAATTCATATGTTTTTCACAAATCTCGTATACTACTGAAAAATATGAAGATGTGACGATTCCACTGTCTTCACATTTTTTACGAAGAATAGGTTTTTATCCTAAAATTAATAACAAAAAACGTACCATGTTGCTGTTGTGGGGAAGACAAAAAAAAATCGCTAAATGATGACAGAGTACACCATTGTTTCCAAATGAACAAAATACTGCCAGGTTGAACAACCTTCTACATAGCGAGAAGGATTTTAACCTCCGCCTGAGAGCCGAATATTATTAACCCGAAATGCCAGCGCAAATTTCCATTGTCGCCACGACGTAAGTGATCCCGATGAAAAATTCATAGACAACCCAGAAAGAGGGCAAAAACTGAACAACTCCACAACATCAAAAACAATTTTATAAGGGGCTCATAATCTCCAGGCCGTAAGAAGTTAGCTAGAAAACCACAAAATATTAAAGATTGAAGATAACATCGCATAGAGTGAAAGGAGGCTCAGTCATCCTATACTACACTTTCAGTTGTCATAAAATTTGAGACATCGACTCAAAATATAACGAATTTTAAAATGTAATAGCAAAAGTGAATGTCGCCACTCTCCAACCAAAGAATTCGCTTAAATTTTTAAATCCGAGAATATGTAGGTTTTCTCGCGTTTGATGACTACAAATCCTTCAAAACGATTTCGTTCGAAAATAGTATAAGATGCAAGAGCAATCGGATGTTTTCGGAGATTTTTCCCATTCCCTGAATTGTGACGTTTTTCAGTGAATGTATTAGAGTTGTTTATTAAACACTCGCTTTGCTGCGTTCCGCTCGTGTCAAATAAACTCGTGAGTCAAATGCGGTTTACCGCACTTGTTGCATAATATACTATTACCAAACGTCTTGCATGCCATACTTTTTCTAAGATCGTCACGAAAAAATCGCAATTTAATAAATTAAAAATAATAACGGATTATCAGATCACTAAATTTAAACTAAACTAAAATTAAACCTACTCGTTTATCGTTCCGATCGGTTCTGCTGTTTTCTCTTTTTAACTGTGTACGTTAGACAAAGAGAGATGCCTTAATGAATATGTTATATAAACAACGAAATAAACACAATTTTAAAACGTTATGTTATTTATTTAACTTTTACAATTGATCATTAAGAAGTTTATTTAAAGAAAAAGACTGTGATTGGAAGAAAAATCATCCAAGGATAGAGCTTTGAAGAGAATTAAATTTCTAAGATCGTATAGGCAAGAAAAAGCACGTCCTAACCTTTAATTTTGTTTTGTTTGTAATGATGAGACATGGATATTTGAAATTGGTAGAGTTGGTCTTGGAAAGATATTCATATAAAAACTGTAAAAACCGCTAAGTTGGTCTTGGCAAGATATTGATATAATGTAAAATTTCTGTGGGTAACTTAAATTATAGATGTCACTTTATTTACCGAATAGTCCACTATATTTTTATTGTAGCTTATAGCACGTAGTATTGAAATTATCTGATATATTGCATAACATTTTTCTGTGTATTAGTTTGTGTGTACATTTTTGCAAAACAACACGAAACATTCACTGACATGACTTCGAATTGACAAAGTGTGTTTTGATTGGTTTTCTCGGTTGCGAGGTCAAAACATTCCAATATCGGAGCACTTAGTAAAGGCCTAGTGAGCTCCCTATGGATGGCTGGAAAGAGGCGCAAGAAGAATACGATAAGTTTTGAGTGTATCTCCTGAGAATCAGGAGATGTGAGTCAAGAAGTTACGCACACTACTCCTCGGATATCAGCCACACGATGTTTACAATGCCGATGAGACTGGCCTTTTCTTTCGAGTCTTACCTAACAAAACACTTGCTTTGAAATCCGAAGAATGTAGTGGGGGGTACTTACAATTTCATTTTGTGCTAATATGGCAGGACAAAAAGAAGATTCTCTCGTGATTGGAAAGGCTGCCCGACCTAGGTAGGGCATTTAAAAATGTAGCAATTAAAAATTTACCGGCAATATGAAAATTTTACAAGAAAGCATGGATGACACGAGATATTATGGATCGGTTGTTACAATTTGACAGAAAGATGGCCCTACAAAAGCGAAAAATTTTATTATTCTTGGATAACGCAGCATCGCACCCCCGTGAGGTAAAATTACAAAACATAAAAATTATCTTGTTGCCTCCAAATACGAAACCATAAAAAAATGTTTCAACAAAGCTGATTTTCAAAAAATTTTCTTTCAATGGAATGGGATCCAGAAGATAATATCCCACTATGTACTTGAAATGGAACGATGTGATAGAGAAATGAACATAACGAAAGAAACACTTGGTGGAATCCACAATATTACAGCGACTGAGGAGATTAGTTTGAACACTGAAGATGCACTTGAAAACATGAAAGAACCTGAACCGGAAGAATATAATAGTGGGGAGCCTAGCACAATTAACAGCTATAATGAAGCCTTAACAATAATTACCGATCTATAAGTTTTTGTTAAAGAGGACTACAGTGCATTTCAGCACCTTAAAAATTTAGATCATTTTCAGTCAAGTTTGTTAAAACAAAAAACAATAAATATGCGACAGATTAGTATCTTAGAGTTTGTAAATAAATAATTAAAGTTCAATCACCTACATTTTTTTCTAGAGTTTTTTGTATGTTTTTAAAGAAATAAACGTAATACATGTTTACGATTTATGTTGTTTTTTTTTTTCATGCACCTCTAATGATCGGACAAAACTAGAGGAACCGTGAATCTCCGGTTATGGGAGTTTTCACTGTAGCTAAGTGTCCCGTTTTCCTATCCCACCAACAGTGATGCACCCCATATATGAAAAGATTTACAGGTTCGTTTTCCTTTCGCTCTATTTAATTTAATAAATTTATCATTTTCAGGAGAGGAAAACGCAAACTACAACAAGTGGACGGCGATAATAATAAACGAGAGGAACAGTCTCCGCAGTTTCGAATTGAAGGTCAGACAATACCCCGTCGTCAGAGATCACTTGCTCAAAGCGTGCCAACTTAATCCCGACGATTTCGCAGGTTTTATCTACTTTGTCACTTGTTTAATTTTAACGGACCATTTTGAGTAATTTATAGGTATACAATAAGTCTATGTAAGTCGGACCCATATGGGACACTTTTTATTATTAATTTGAAGACTTTTTTTTTTCATAAAAAGTTATGCATGTTCTAAAATCTAAACTGCATCATCTATAGTTTCTTTTCCAGTGGTACACTAGGTGTCGTAGCTTTAAATTTGACTGAGAACAAGGTCCCAACTCCCATTAGATTATATTTTTTCCCACACTCAAGATGATTTCTATATTTCCTTCGCATTTATGAGTAAAAGAAAAACGCGTTTTGACGGATACTGTCAATTATTGTTGTTATCAAATTATTAGATTTAGACCATTAATAAATTAATAATTGGACTTGACGTTAATTTTAACACAGTGACGTTACAATATTGTTCATTTATTAATAATTAAGCGCTGCTAACACAAACATTCATTAGTTTGTCAGGACATCTCAGATTATAAACGTAACTACTGTAAAATTAGCTTCATTATTGTACCTATATTTCCTTTGTTAATGCGAGAAATTAACAAAACTAAAATGACAGGGATCATTAAACAGGGTAGGCAACTTGAAGCTAAATTGCAATGCGAATGAGTAATATAAAAATAAATAAATTATAATAAATATTATTATCATTATCAAGTTCCGAAAAGTCAATTTTTCACATCATCTTCATTCCCTCTCGCAAGAGGGTTTCAACATCGCTCAGGTGAAAAGTGTACTTTTTTCTTGAATACTCGGAGAATTATGTTTCAGTGCAATATATGCTCGGGAGATGGTGCTACGAAATAGCTAACCTGACGTGGTTACAGAGAAAAATTGTCAAATGTTTATATCACACGGAACCGCCGACATCTTCGTATGACGAGGCGTACAAGCATCTACTTAAAGCAGAGGAGCTGCGACCCAGATCGTTCTTACCCAACCTATTCGTCTTGGGACAAGTATGTTTTAAGCTGGGATTCTATTACAGGTATTTTTTTTACCGATAATATACAGGGTAATATGGATGTCGTATAATTTAAAGACTGAATATCAGGGTTGAACATAGACGTTATATCCGAACGAGGCACGACAATTATTTTCTAAAATGGGTAGTCGTGCAATTAACGTCTATGGTAGATCCCCATCTATCTATCTATGATCCCCATCATAGATATCAGAATTGACATCTGACGCAAGCATAGTATTTTCTGGTAAATTTTCCTACTTTGTTGCCAAATTTTCAGTTATGAAGATTTAGTCCTTAACACTTAACGCTCGCAAACTCACCATTTTGGTTAGTTAAAAATTATTTTCAAATAGTGGGAAGCGTTGAGCTTTTATAGTTTTTTTACTGAATTATTTGGCCTTGCAACTCAGGTAAGTTGGCCAGCTATAAGTAAATATTATTTGAAGTTCCTAAAGGATGCATGCCTTCGTGAAGAAAGGATCTGGACTATTTCATCATTCTCCAGGTTTGTTAAAATATTTTTTTAATGACACACGTTGAAAATTTTTTCTTTTTTTTACCGATACTATAAAAACGCGGCCCCCTCGCTTACCACGGATCTCCGGCCCATCCGGCCTGGTTACCGGCGTGTATGGAGAAAACAGTTAACCCATCAAAAAAACACTAACTGTTCACTAATATCTAACACAATGACAATTTGACAGATCTTAAACGTCCAAAAACAGTGATTCTGTATGCAGCGGACAAGGATCGACTTGTCTCATGCAATGCCACCAAGAGAATCCTCTTATATGTTTCGGTGATGATGAATTCAGAAACATTTTCAGGTCGGATCTGTTTGGAATCCAAAACTAATCAAAAATTGGAAATAGTTCTTCGTCCAACACCACGTACCAATTTGATTCGCATTATCAAACTATGAAACCCAAGTACTTGACCAGAAATACTATCTATCTTTAAAAGGCAAAAAACAACAGGACCTCTACAATAAGGCAACTGTAAACAATCGGTGAGCCACCACGAAAATGGGGGATAAATGCTAGTCACAGGTCATACTTTTCTGTTGAGTTATTTTTTATTGCATAACATGAATATATTGAAAAAGCGACAAACTAAGAGAAACGTGAAAATAGTTTAGTTTACTCATTGCAAGTCCCAGATTTAGTGTGTGAGATCAAAAATATTAGCGTTTAAGTTTTTGGATTATTTGTTTATTTTGTGTGCGAGCCAATACGCAATTATTTAAATTAGAAACATGTATTAATTTCAGAGCCTTGTGTTTCGTGTGTTAACATATTTTTTAAAATAATTATGGAAAACAATTACTCAGCTCCGAACTGTAAGGGGAATTAGAAGAAAAAAGTTAGTTCGAACCATTAAAACGAGAAGGTCCATTTGTCAAAGACGAACACGAGCTAAATGTCATAAAATTACGAAAAATATCCCGTTGGCGATCTATTTAATTAGACGCCGTGCAGCCTATTGGTCGCACTGCACAAAGTAAGGGGTTACACTCGCGCACTACAAAGCTAATTTTTTTTTAAATCTTGTTCAATTTAAGCAATGTGTGCTTTATTTTCTCACCTGTATAAAACTGCATAAAATTACATCGGAAGAGTTCTAAAAATTGTGATTATAATCATTAGGGTAATGACCATCGAGATGAGAATGAATGAGAATCGAGAAATCGGTTAAAATCGGTTAAAATCGAGGGAAGCATTTTAATCTGTTGACACCTATTTGGTTTGTGCTTTGGTTACTTGGACCTTCCGAGTTGTGTAAGTGTAGGTCTTAAAAACGGAAATATGGAAAACTCTCATTGCAATTGAACTAAAATTTACGATATAACCTTTAAACTGTCCAGCCTGTTTAATAATCCGTGACTTACATTTTATCATTAAGAAATTAGGAATAGAAATTGTTGTATTGAAATAAAGTTGTATTATGGTACGACGAATAAATACAGTTATGGAAGAGTCTTCTCTCTCGCTTGTTTACTGCAATATGTTTAGATACTGTAACCTTTATTTCTAACTTACGCAAATTTCACCATATATACTGTGCATTCATAAAATTAAATAGGTTAAAAATAAAAAATGTTTTCCAGCACAACTTTTTATGCTGTTCGAGACGTGCGGTATATTCCAGCATTCGCTATACTGACAAATTAGTATTTCGGAAATTGATGTGTAAGTTTAAATTAATGTTACAATAAATCTTTTTTCAGCGCCAAATATTACTTGGAAATGGCGTTGACTTTATCGACACGCAGCGACGCGAAAAAATGGGAGCACTTCCGCAACAGCGCGAAAAGCATGCTGAAAAAATTGAAAAATTACGATATGGGAAGGGAGTTGTTGAGCGAACGGAAAACATAAAACTCTAATATATAACGACTCAAAATAAATAAAAACTTACTTCTGAACACGATGTTGTGCAGCGAGACCGTGTGATCGAAATCTGGGTCGTCGCTATCGAACAGGATTTCTTCTTCGTACTCCGTGAATCCTCCAACGATGCTAGTGTTGCTTTCAACGCGCAACATCTACAACAAGACAGTACAGTCGAATACACGATGTTTCCCAAGTCGAGTTTTCTTTTTTAACGCCTTCAACACGGATATGAAATTTTGTTCTTACTTTCGAAAATCGATGAAATCGAATTTTTCGGTAACGGTAAGTTCTATGGGATCGCCGTTGGTACAGAAACGATCACCGTCGAAAAAAAAATTTTTTTTGTCCGTTCTCCGTTCTTTTGGTTTGTTTTTTTTTGTTTTGCCTGAATAACTTTCGAACCGTTGGAGCTACAAAATTGAAATTTGCCTCATTTTTAACCTCCCACGAAGGACATAGGCTTATAAGGAATGGCCCTGATCCGATGCCGGAATCCATCTTTTTTTCGCGATTTTCGACTGTTTTTTGGACCTCGCTATGAAACACGATAAGTGTCTGAAATTTGAAGCAATCGACTTCATATTTTGCACATATATGGAGCTTTGCCCCGTGACGGAACCTACTTTTAAAAAACAATATGTATATGATAGTTAAGCTGAACAGATGAGGCAACTCTATAGAAGTACAACACATTTTAAAAATTGAAGATTCATACACTTGCATACAAAATAACATATACCCCATTGTAATTTATCTTCACACTTCTACATTTGCTTTCGACAAAAACTAAATAATTGAGATCAAATGAAAATGACCATTCAGTCAACCAAAACTGTCATTTACTGTTAGTTTTACTATATCAAGTGTCAACATTTTGCATTTGTAGAATGAATTATTTAGACATAAATAATAAATAAAAGATTTTTTTCGCTTCGATTCCAAAAATATCGACAAACTTTTAACACATTTTTATATCAACTTTTAGACTGAACGTATCTCAATTGAATTGTTTTCATCTGAAAATTGCCCATTGTTCCCAGGCAGCCTGCGTCCTACTTGTATATCTGGCGAATTGCCAATTTGTCAATTCGTCCCGAAGCAACGTGAAAAATATATTGCGAAAATCGGCCTTTTGCAGAAAGGAAAAAAATAAAGCTCTTATCTAAATTAAATGAGGACATTTTAATGTTATTTAAATAACGCCTAGTTCCATGCTAAACTGTTTTTAATTGTTAACGTAAATCCTGTCTAAATCTGGGTTTGCACAAGAGAATTGAGTAACTGTAAAGTCGCCAATCTAACCTCAAAAAACTTTCTAATATCGCAATATTTTGGCTTCCATAAAATCCGCAAGAAACTGTATAAATTATAATAACCCATAAAAATGTTCGTTTCAAAGACTCACCTTGTGTGGCGCTATTACTTCGACGGATGTTTTAACAATCCGAAGAATTAGGGCGAACAACACGCACAAGTTATATAGTTAAATAAACAAAGACGGTAAAAGAAATACAACGCTATCGTCACCGAACACTGCGCTTTCCCGATCGTCACAGACGAAACACTATGCGATATTTCTTTACTCCCTTTGCCTGGCGGTTAACAACCTCTGGCGCACTTAAGAAGCGAGAGGGTGGAAATACTATTTTTGTCGACATCCACGAACTGCTAACACAGGTGGTTGACGTACATCATGTTATTTAAGATGATACTTTGTTAAAAAGCATTTTAAATCCAAAAACAGTATGAGATGGACTTATTCACTATCGCTGCGCATTCGCCGTTTTGTAGATCGCATTACCTGGTACACAGACCGCTTTACCATTGTTGTGTTCCGTGCCAAGAAGTTTATTACTAATTTATATCGAATATCGATATCAAATGAACAAAATTTAGCAATTTCTAAAACAAGGACAAATCAAAGAGCAACTCAAGTTCGAGCCTTTTTAATGGCACATTTTTGATTAAATCAGAAACACAATTTTTGAAGAGTTTTTGAAATATTTAAATTTAAGAGCAAGAAAAATAATATACCCAGCCAATTTTAAGACATGGCATTATTTTTTGGGGAACAGTGATGAGCATCGCGGATTATTTTAGATATGAAATATGAGGTAGGCTTTTATTTGACGGGTCATCATGTATAATATAGTCAAAAATATACCCATTTGTAAGGCGTCATGCTGGTTGCCAAAAAAGTATGGTGTTAGACAAAAATATTATTTTACCTTAAGAATATTTATAATTATCTGCTGCTATTGTTCCTTATACCTATTGTATCTTTTTGTAGGCATTATTTGAAACTTCTGGCAAGGTGACAAACCAACGTTTTTGTTTTGTTTATTAAGACGGACAACATAACCTTAAACAAAGGTATATAAAAAAATGAAAAACCACCGCTGTTTAAGTGGTTAAAGAAAATGTTATTATTTGGCGAGATAAAAACACCGCGTTAAACTTTTAAAATTTATTTAATAAATGGTTTGTCTTACAAATTTTACAAATAAACAGGTTTTTCACAGCTTCGAAACATTTGTAGTAGGTATCTCTTCGAGAATCTCTTCCTATATTTACATAATAAATACCTAATCTATTAGCAAATACTTCTGCAAAAACTTAGATAATGAATACTTTTCTTAATAAAATCCAATTAATTAATGTTTATCTCGTTAAAATTGCATAAGTACACGTGATGCAGAGTTCCATACTCTCTCATGTCTGATTAATATGATCTGATCGCTGGGGGTACCGTGGCGCACTCTTTCGAATCCAGCGTATCGTCGATTACGGCCCTGTACTTTATGCTAACGGTACCCGTTTTCGGGTCTATATCTGCCAAAGTGTGCTTCCTCCAGTGCTCTTGGATGGGTTTCTTTTTCTGCCCTGAAACACTCGAAATTTTGCTACATAGATTACATAATTATCCTCTTACTTACCTTCGAGGGGCTTGCTGTAGTCATACTCGTCGATACGGGTCTTGTAGTCTTCTCTGGCGTGAGCGCCTCTCGACTCTTTACGATTTTCGGCACCGACAATCGTCATCATCGCGTTCAACATCAAATTTTGCAATTCCAAAGTTTCTACTAAGTCCGAATTCCATATAAGGCTGCAATACTTTCATATAGTTTCCAACCTAACCTAAAACCATGGTTGGTAACCTGTTATCCGACACTTTCAGGTCGCCTAATTGCTTGTAGAGTTTTTGCATCTTAATGATGCCTTCCTTGAGCACATCCTCGGTTCTAAATACCGCCGCGTGGCTTTGCATCGTTTTCTGCATCTGCAGACGCAAATCCGCAGTGGGAATTCGACCGTTGGCGTACCTGCACCAATCTAAGTTCGCAACCGACTCTTCTGCGGCATTCTGTAGGAGGGAGACAAACATGGGTTCTTTTATTCTTATAAACCATATAGAGATATATGTAAAGGTCCTGCATATTCTGATAATACAAGAACTTATGAAGCAACTATGAAAAAAAAAATGAAAATGCCCATTACAACATGCGCATGCATCTCGTATTTAACCGATGACTTTGCGGCAATCAACAATCAACATGGTCGCTGACAGATAGTTAATAATTTTGGATCCGGCATTATTACGCCAGTATTGTAGCAAAACATATCCAGAACCCATTAAATCTTCAGTGTTAGCGGGTGAAATTTAGATATAAGCGCGGAAGATCATTCCCATTACAGCCACCTGAGGCGCATTAATGTTTACCTAGTAGGGCCACTATATTATATACCATCTAATAGCCAATAAACGACCGCATCTAACCAACTTTTCACCATGAAACAATTATAATCAGCATCAGAAAACAATTTAAAAAAACATTTTGTTAACTTGGTGAAAGGCGTCTTTAAATTGAACTCTATAAAATTTTAGTAGGAATAATAGCAGCACACGCGGATATTCGAAAGCTGTGCATTAGGCTTCCATAAATTTTGCTTGTGACTAGAAATATTATTTATTAATTTTCTCTGCCTGGGTTTCCACACGACACAATATTTTATCACAAAATTTCTTTACACACCCTCAAAAACTGTTTAAACTGGTCATTTTTACACTTTCTTTTAACCAATTTTAACCCTCCTCAATTTTTACCGACACATCGCCCACTTTCAATATTAGGTAGCAAAAATTTATTAACAATGATCCGGGCGTATAGCAAGTCGGAACTTAACGTTTTAACTAAATAAGGACTACTACGAATAAAGTTTGTTTCAAAAAAATCACAAAAACATTATTTTGAAGTATTTTTAAAAAATTAAAAACCACATTTGTAGAAGTCTAACGAAAACATCTTATCGAGACTTTGAGCCACAAAATTCTTTGCTTATGATGAACCAAAAATCTACAGGGTGTCGCCGACAAGGAAAAAAAAATTGGCAGTAAATAAAACACGATCAAATCCACATCAAATTTGGCAGGGAGATGAAAGTCTACCTTCACATGTATCCTGAAAAAACTGCACACCATCAGACTTTCGGAATTTTTCTATTAATTTTGAATTTTTTTTGGATTATTTACGAAGCGCGGGAGATGTGAGGCGATAACTTTAATTTCGGTCACTTTTTCGATTATGTAAATTAAAACACGTGAGAAACGAAGCAGTGATGTACGCCATATGGACAGCAACAATTTTCGTATTTATAGTTTTGCTTTGGCTATCATACCGAGTGCGCAAGACCTGGGTTTAAAATTAGGTTGAGTGCATGTTTAATGCTTTATACAGGGTGCACGCAAAAGATCCATTGATTTTGCCATAGCTTTTTTATGAAAGTAGCCTAGTTATTTGTGAGTATTTTTAAAATCCAGGGCACGACCGATTTTTGATTTTCAATCAGTTTTATGTCATAATAATAAGAATGTGACAATTAAATCAGTGTTTAATATTATAACATAAAAGTGCTTTCCAATCAATGCAAATATTATCTTTTAAAATAATGCATTCATATGATTTAACTTTCATTTGATATTCTTATATGGATTGAATTTCATTAGTCGACCAATTGTAGAACTTATTGGATTACATTCGTTACAATTCGTTTCACAAGTAAACTTTATTATTTTTCTGGTTTAATACTCAATATTCAATTGTCGCTACTATTTGACACACTCTGTACTTAGAAATCAACTACATATTTCTATTTTAATACATTTTATTTTATTGCCGAAATCCACCTTTTGTGCTTTTTTTGCGTTTAAACTTTAAAATGGATCCTTTTTAAACTGCCATAATATTCGAAAATCCAGCATATTGCCACCATGGACTTACCGGTTTGACGGGACCGACCGTTTCACCAGGTCTATTTTCCGCGGCGATCGTGTGGGCGCAGGCCCTCCCAAAGACGACCAAATCGAGGAGGGAGTTTGCCCCGAGGCGGTTAGCCCCATGAACCGATGAGGAGGCGGCTTCCCCGCAGGCGTACAAGCCGGGAACCACTACGTCGTTGCCGTCGCGCGTCGTCAAAACTTGTCCCTTATAATTGGTGGGCACGCCCCCCATGTTGTAATGCACGGTCGGTAATACAGGAATCGGCTCACGAGTGACGTCCACACCCGCGAATATCATGGCCGTTTCCGAGATACCGGGCAGTCTCGTGTGCAACTGCTCGGCTGGTAAGTGGTGTAGCTGCAGATAGACGTGATCTTTTTCAGGGCCGCAACCCCGCCCCTCTCTGATTTCAAGGGTCATGCTTCTGGATACGACATCCCTCGATGCCAGGTCTTTAGCGACAGGCGCGTACCTTTGAGGGAAATCGAGAGTTATTTTATAAAAAATTAATATAAAAGATCATAATCTTTTTTTCAATGACAGATGTTATGACACCTGTCTATTAAATGTAACCATTTAACTCCACCTACCTACCTATAACCCATTACCTTTAGTGATGCTTACTGTTATTCCAGGTAATAAAGTTTAGTAAATTTATAATCTTCACAGCGTCTAACAAGTTCAATTTTGTACGTTATGATACATCATGTTATATTCCAAAATTGTGCTCATAATTGTATTTTTCCTGTGCTCCCTTATGTTCATTGATGTTTTTCAAGGAATACAGGTTTGTCCAATAAAAATTTTGGGACATGATCCACCCTTTAGCTTACAGAGTTTTGAGTTTTTCAACCTTTCAATTTGTTATCTAAATATTTGGGGTTTTCTATGTACTATGATTTTAAATCACTCGGGTTCAGCACTCTATTTAGGCTAAATAGAGATCAGGGTTATTTGATACTGTTTTTTATTTATAATTATGGCTATAATAGAAGGGTTGTTTAATTCCTTTTTATTTTTTTGTCTGTGTGGGAGGGTTTATGATATAAATTTAAAACTTCCAATATACAGAATAAAAACTAGAGAAAGATGAGAAGATTATATTTGTTGTATTATTACTGGAGTATTCATATTTTTATTTTTAGATATGTTATTGATCTTAAGTTTATTTCGCTGTTATTTAACTTGATTTAGTATAAATCTGACCTAGTATTATTCTTAGCCTACTGAGAATTTTAAGCTTAGCAGTTTAGCATAAAAAAATAAATGGATAAGTAATTAAATAAAAGGTGGGTAATAAACAGATTGCTCCTTAGTGTTCTATAAATGCCTGATTGCCTTTTTTGTGTATCGATTAGTTCTCTATCTAAAATAATTAATAAAAAATAATAATAAAAACAAAAAGAATTTTATCAAGTTTGCTTTTTTCAATTATTGGCCTCTTTCTTTAATACTTGAATTTTGTTACTTTTCGCATTGAGGCAAGTTTTGTATAGAAGTTTTCTTATGTACCCAGAACATTTTTTTTCTCATACCGTTCCATAAACCTCTCGCCTTCGGAGTTGATGAGATAGCCCCCCTCTCCACGGCACCCTTCCGTTATCAAACAACCTGCCCCGTAGATTCCCGTGGGATGAAACTGAATGAATTCGAGATCTTGACTGGGAAGACCAGCCCTAGCTACCATAGCGGTACCGTCTCCCGTGCACGTGTGAGCCGAGGTGCAGGAGAAATAGGCTCTACCATAGCCGCCCGTTGCCAAGACCGTATTTTTCGCTCTGAAGCGATGAATGGTCCCATCTTCCAAACATAAAGCGATCACTCCTCTACATTCACCATCCTCCATGAGTAAATCTAAAGCAAAATACTCGACGAAATAATTGCAATCGTACTTTAAACTTTGGCCATATAAAGTGTGCAAGAGACTATGGCCGGTCCTGTCTGCCACACAACAGCACCTAAAAATGACCCGACACGGTCAGCATCTAACAAAGAAGTTAAATTTCGTCATTTTAAAGCCTAAACTAACCGTGTTACCTGTGGGCTTGTCCACCTTTTCCGAACTTAAGCGATTGCCCCCCGAAAGCCCTCTGATAAATTTTCCCGTCTGTGGTCCTGGAGAACGGCATGCCCGCATTTTCTAATTCAATAACAGCTTTTGGGGCTTCGCGGGTCATATAATGAATTGCGTCTTGATCACCCAACCAGTCTGAACCTTTTACTGTGTCATACATGTGCCATTGCCAATTGTCTTCCTCCATATTACCTATTATATGATTCCATACTTTTTTCTCACAATACACGGATTAAGAACAATATTGACATGAAATAAACCCTTTGATTTAAGTAAGTATTTACTGTTTACCTAATGCGGCGTTAATGCCTCCTTGCGCCGCCACAGTATGAGATCGAGTAGGAAAGAGTTTGGTAATGACGGCAGTTTTAAAACCTTCCAAAACGAGACCGTACGCGGCTCGGAGGCCGGCGCCCCCCGCACCGACCACGACGGCATCGTAAGTATGGTCGACTATGGGATAAACTTTGGAACCTCCGGAAGAAGCCTTAGCATTTTTTCGGTCGACATTAACATGAAGTAATCTACTCGCGCATCCCGCGTTGATCTAAAATCATTTACGAACATCCCAACGCAAAAGCAAATAAAATCACACGCGTTATGTAATGTACATTGCTAATAGTCAGGTAAAAACTTACTTTCGTGAGGGTGTGATTTATTACGGTTTTGGATAACACATGCGACTTTAATATACTGGTCATGTTCACTCGAGGTGTCTTTATTTTGGTGCCGCTATTTGAAATACACCTTGATTCGGGTTGGTACCAGAGGGTTCTCAAGAAATAAATTTGAAAGCGCGAGACTAACTGAACTCGATTCTGACTTTTTCTATGCATCACAAAGCTGTCAGGTGTTATTGGTCAATTAGCCTTTTCGTTTTTTGTGGCAGTGACCACTGCGTTATTTTACCACAGAAGCAAGGAGTTTGTCTGTTTTACTAAGTTAATATTAAATTAACGTTGATCGCGAAAACGGCTAACTGTGATGTAATTTAGCCGAACTCTGTAACAATATGAGATGAAGTTATATCCTTTTGGTCAATTGATTCTGGTAATTGTGATCAACAGAATTTAGAAGAAGAGTTTATAAATTAACCCCCAGATATTTTAAAAATAGAAGAAAGTACTACTTTCGTTTTTTCTATATGCTGTAAACCAAAATACTGATAGGCAATAAAAGTTCCAAATTGCCGTGTGCGAATTTTGTAAATTAAAAAATGGTGATATGTAGTGTAATTGGCTGTAGAAGTAGACAAGGAGAAAGATCATTTTTTAGATGTCCCAAAGAGAAGGCTAGGTAAATGTTTTCCTCTTATGGCTCACTTATTCAAATTCGCATGGATTTTTAATAAAGTTTAAGAAGTTAATTATTTTTAGATGTGAAAGTTGGAAACGAGCGCTGGGTTTCGTGGGTACCCATAAATATTCACATTTATCCCCCGAACAATGTTGCAGCAGAATAAAAATTTGCGATTTACACTTTCCTAAAACCAGTCTGATGATTAATAATTCCAAAACTCGCCTGCAATATAACGCCGTTCCCTCGTTGAACTTGTTTAGGAGTAGTAAGTGCTTAATTTTTATTTTATTATTCTAAAAAATTATAACATAAAGGAAATGGAATCTAGTTGCTTTCATAATTTTATTTGTGACGAAACACATTGGCTGCTACAATAATGTCTTTTTTATATGTTATACAATATTTAATAAGAATTAACATTAGAATCCAGATATGAGGAAATATGTGGAAGGTTCCTTATGAAAAAAGATGACTTTCTGTTGCCTTTATGGGACATCCTGAATGTCATAATGAACATAATTTTAAAGCAGTTTGAAATTACAAATGCAAATAAAGAGATATTGGTAAAGAGTCGAATAGGTGAGGAGTGTTGCTTAAATATAAATGGATAGAGTGAAAACCACATAAGGTGGATGAACATAATTAACAATTTTAAAATTTCCATAAGTACATTATAAATAGTTAATTTAAACACTTTTATAGAGATAATGCAAATCACATCTCATGCCGCTGAGTGCAAATAAGTGCACCGGCCTTTGATTTGTTTAGATACACATAAAATAATACTTTGGAATTCAAACCGCAAACTTCACAAGGCATTTTTGCTATCGTTCATTGTAACAGCGATATCCAAGAACAACTTTTATCATGAAAAATAATCATAAGCAAATGTAGTATTATAACGTAGTATAAGACGCGCGTGAAATCCAGGTTAAAAACTCCCCTACAATGGCATAAGCGTATTTATTTGTTACAAAGTTGTGACATTAAAAAATTTCATTTATTACAAACGGAATCGCCATTGCTAGAAAACAAATTATTTTATGGTTAACTTGGTGCTGCCTGGAGATGACTCACCTTAGGGAGACCTCTAGAAAAACTTTTAACCAAGCAACTCTCAAAACTTGGAGAGAAATGTATGTCACCCCACAAGTAAAAGAAAGTCGTCAGCCAAGAACAAAAAGAGGGCTGGGGACCCTACTACAGGGAGATAGATTACTCCGAAGCAGCAAGGCTGCAGAAAGTCTTAAGTTGAAACCAATTATGCAAGATCTGGAAGTTTTCTAAAGATGACGGAACATAGAGCATACAGTAAAGGTAGTGTTGCTACCAAAACCAGGGAAGCTAGATTACTCTACTCCCACAAGTTACCGTCTATGTACCGACTATGGAAGATGAGTTGCTTACCAAGAAGCCACTTCACTCAAACTCACATGTGTACACCCAATATATATTAGCTCTGGAGGTAATGCTGTGCCTCACATCTCTCAATAGATATAAAGGAGAAGTGGTTTTGATAACTAACACCAGAGGGAATATACGCACCAACGGGCGGGCGTAAGTAACGTGTACTCCGATGTTTCGAAGAGTGATGGCAATGGCTCTATGGCTAAGGTCTTGTATGTTGCCTACGGAGGCCAGTGGCATTACTGTAACCGCAAAAGAAATCATCAGGCGTAAAGTTACTGGTAAAACTGAATGCATCTATCTTTATAGCAGACAGACAATTCGGATGCTTTAAAGATCACGTTTTACCTCATCATGCCCTCGTAAATTTTATAGGACTGCAATCTTTGGTCGCTCTGGCTGCGTTAGTCATTAGAGCTGATGAAGAAAACCACTCGGAAACAATTTCTAAAACAATGGGACGAAAAAGAAAACTGTTGGCTAGCTGGAAAGCTCTTGAGCTATCCAAATGAAACAGCAGCCAAACAATAGATATTCATTCTTACAGGTCATTGCTGACTTAACAAACACGAATTCAGATTGGATTTGTGTAACGCCGTCACATGCAGGATGTGCGAAACGGAAGACGAAACAATGCAAATATTCTAACCTCTTGTGTGGGCGTGAAGCCATGCTTGACGAATCATGTCCATCCGCTACGGTAATAAGGGAGACGTCATAGCATACGTGGTCACTAGGCTTGGTATCTCTGTACAGGAGGAAACACAATGGGCGTACTGAGGCCTAATTACTCTTGTGTAGGCTACCGTCTCCGACTTGCAGATACAGATACAAACCGTAATCTTTAATGAAATATTAGCAAGACGGTTTTCTAATTTTTATGCTTTTGAATGAATATTTACAAATATTATTCTGTAATATATTTTTCAATATTTTAGATCACCTAAATGAAGAAAAAGATGCTTCCAATGGAACAGAAAAAGGTAAATATTATAAAAATATACATAAAAACATTGAAAGACTCTTTAAAATGTTACCAATGTTATAAATATATTCTGAATTTTTTAGCTGAGGTAACCTGTAAAAGTGTATCTCTACAAACAGAAGCTACGGAAGATGGTATATATAAAATTAAAATATTTCAAAGTTTTACATTTTAATTTCGTTTTCAGATTATGGCAGAAGCTGCAAAGATGTTTCTCTCCAAACATACGTTTTTACAAGAAGTACGTACACATTTACCAAACATATCGGTGCAGTAATAAATCAACCAGTATTATATTTATTTACTAATTTAGATAAGCATACGCAAACAATACGGGCACTATACATGAATATTCCAAATATGCAAAAAGTCAAACGAGAAATTCCGACTGAGGATCCGGAAAGTGGCACGTCGTCGAAAAAACGCAAATGCCAGGAAACGGAAATCACCGTGGAAGATATACAGAAATATTTGGAAACAAAATATTCCGAGCAATCTTGCAAATTGTTAAAAACGCAGTTGAATTTATTAAACAAGTCCGCGAGAGGTTGCGGCTATAGCGAGGAATTCAAGGCGTTTGCATTGAGCCTTTATTTCTTGGGGCCTAAGACGTACAAGCAATTCTCGTCTCTCCATCAATTGCCTTCGAGAAAAACCCTCGACCGCTTTACGAGAAAGTGGACAATAAATCCCGGTTTCAACGATTTTATTTTTCGTCTGCTTCAACTTTGGGCGAAACTGTTCAAAGAAAACGAGAAAGATTGCGTTATTTGTTTAGACGAAGTCGCTTTAAAATCGACTCTATTTTATGACATATCGAGGGATAAAATAGTAGGTTTTCAGGCTGATAATACCAAAGTGGCGACCACCGTTTTGGTGGTAATGGTGCGTGGTATAGCTAGTAATTGGAAACAACCAATCGCTTACTTTTTCCATAGTCCATCGGCATCCGCGGAAAAAATGAAAGAAATTTTGTTCGCAAGCGTGAGGAGGTTGACCGCGATAGACTTTAACGTGGTGGCGGTAGTTTCAAACCACAGGCCGAACTTTCGAAAGTTAGTTAAAGTTCTCAAAGTAACACCTGAAAATATTTTCTTTTTCGTGGATAATGCGAGACTGGTTTACATTTTCGATGTACCTGGTTTGTTAATCTCCACCAGAAATAGTTTCTTCTCGTATAATTTCGTGCTGCCAGAAGGGACGGCAAAAAAATGCTATTTAGACGCTTTTTACGACCACGATAAGGACAAAGCGTGCAGGCTTTGTCCTAAATTAACCAACGAACACTTATCTCCTCATAAAAGTACTAACCTAGAAGAGGTCTTGCAAATCTTCAACCACTCCGTGGCAGCTGCCATTCAGGCTTATATAGATTTTAAAATTTTACCTCCAGAAGCAAGCGTTACCGCCAAGTTCATTAGAACGTTTACAGATTTATTCGACTTGTTAAATTCCTCTCAATCAAACGTCAACGCTTTCGCTGGCAAGGAAAAACAATTAAAATTTCTAGAACGAATCGAAAACGCATTCAATAGCACTTCCGTAACTAACCAAACGTATTTAATCTATGGATGGAGGTTAACCGTCCGTTCCATCGAAGCATTGTGGGAAATATTGAAGTATATGAGATCCGCGTGTTTGCTGACGAGAAATCTCAATCGAGCCTGCACGGAAAACTTTTTCGAGCAAATCCGACGTTGTTGCGGGAGACCTGGAAACCCGACGGCGATAAAATTTTCTAGGGCTTTTAAAAAATTGTTCATACTTAACCAAGCCGAAGGTACCAATCCGGTAGACGATATAAACGAGGTCTTGTTAAAAACGGGCGAGCTGCTGGAAAGTTGTAAAACAATAATCCGGGGACCGCCGAGGGACAATCCCTTAACAGTTTTTACTAACGATTACCGAAATATTTATAGTACCGATGACCATGTTTCGGTCGATGTCATTAACTATTTGCTTAAAAAAAGTTTACTACGACATTCCTGCGATGTATGTTTAAGTTATTCTGTACAAAACGGTTTAAACGTGTCCTCTTCGAATGTTTTGCAATTTATGGTTAAGTTGGAGAACACGTTCGTTGAAAAATTCGTCGAAATGGCTTGTCAAAATCGAATCGGGCAGAAACTAAAAGCTCTATGTAAAAATGTACCTTTTGCGCATCCCTGTACAAATTTTCCCTTTGAATATTTTATATCGTTATACGTTCGGACGCGCATATATTTTACTTTAAAATTCGCTAATTATGATATTAAAAGTCAAATAAGAAGAAATAAGACCATTCCCAATATAAATTTAAGGATATTGAGAACTTTATAAAATTATATTAAGTTAAATTAATTTATTTAAGCATTTATGTATCCCGTGTAGTAACTTCTGTGTCATTGTGTCCGCAAAGAATCATATTTTTTTGATAAAGTAAAGTCAAGCCGAAAGAGCTTATATTAGGAGTAATAATAATTTACAAATTAGCAATACCGAATATTATTTTAGAGCATATCAGTGATCAAAAATATACCTATATTAATTTTATTATTTATATTTATATATCATATATATTTATTAATTTTAAATTGTCGCAAAGCTATTAAATAAGCAGTTTTTATTTATTTTTGTTATATTAAAATTTGTTTTTACTTTGGTTTGACATGAGAAATGTTGTGTTGAACAGTTTATAATAGTTAATTAAATTATATATATATATATATATATATATATATATATATATATATATATATATATATATATATATATATATATATTGAGTATGTTCTAAACTATTTTGTATGGACCCGAAAAATCTCTGAACCTTTTTCAACCACAAATACCCTTAAAGTAATGGCAAAATGGCGGTTCTCGACTTAAGATAAGCGCCTCGAAATATTTGTAAATTTTGCATCAGTAATACGTGAGATGAGTTGTTCCTCGTTTCTTAATAAACCATTATTGAACTTGTTAAATTATGATTTCGTATCTTAGAGTTAAGTTTGCAATGTCTATTTCGTATTTTGTGTCTTTTGGTTATGGTTTGTGTTTTTTGACAAAAAAAGAAGAAACCACGTACTTGTGCATATGGTCTTTTTACAATCATGTTTATGGGTAGTAATGTAATACGGTTAGTTTCAGTTTATAACAAAAATTCAGCTTGAAGAATTCCGGATTATCATTTTAACAGAACTGTAAAAAAAACTGTAGGGTCCCGAGGGTGACAGGCAGACGGACAGGTGGTGCCTGTGCCTTAGCTTTCAAAGTTTCTGAAAATGGCTGGTGTCTGTGGAACTACACTTTTAAAAATGAAAAACTCAACATTTAAAGTTGCAAAAACAGTTGAATATGACTGGCGTTTGAGAGTCATATATTATATAATACATTATATTAATATAATTCTCATTTGTAGCAAAGCATGACACCACTTTTAAAATGAGGGACGTTAAAACCCTTTTGCAAGAAGGCATAAAGGCATTGGATTGGATTGGACACTGTACAGCCTCTAATTATTTCTCCGGACTTCAACGAGTATAGCTCACCTGACATGATGACTTAAATTTACCTATTGTAATTGTAAATAGTAGATTTTTTAGGTAATATTCTTAACATTTTTTTTTTTGTTTTAATATTCTTTTATATAAGTTATTTACGTGATCTTTAAAAAATGAATATCTCCATTATCTGCACATTGCTGTAATTATAATCATGCGTAATTATTATTATATTTATTTTTCTAACAAACTAAGGAAGTAACTCCGCTGTACGAAACTCTTTTTTTTCTATTCTGTGTAAATTAATGCGACCCTAATTTAGGAACGATCGTGTGTAGGTCTTTAAAACTAAAATATGAAATTTTTAAGAATTATCATTGCAATTTATCGCAACTATACGATATAATCTTTAATTGTCCGCCTTGTTTAATGATCCCTTTAATTGTAAATTTACATTTTATTACTCTGTCGCATTAAGAAACAGAGCATAGACGTTACCCGGAAGCGGCTACAATAAGCAAAGAAGAAGATTAAGAATGGCGGTAGCAATGGTTAAAATCCAAATATAAAAACAACAAAGCTAAACTAAGATTAAGCAATCTTATTATTACGCCCATCAACATTGCACAGTTCCCGATTAATGAAAATAATTGGTTTCATAATTAGAGTCAACAAAATTTGGCGAAAATGTACAAATCTTCTGGATTCTTCTTGCGCCGGTTGTTGATAAATAAAATTTGCAGACGTTTCGCCAATTCATCCTTTTCACTTCTTCGGAGCGTAACTGAAACGTTAGCAAGTTTGAATCCAGAAGAGTTGTCAATAGTATTATAGTTGTCTGTGGAAGTTTCTTTGAAAAATTTATTGTTTGGTCTACTAACACGACAAACGCTTCCCAATTTTTAGGAAAACCGACATACCAACATTGCCAAAATTAACTAAAAAAACAGTCTAATCCTTTACCAAGCAACAAATTTACACACCATAAGTTTGCCGTTAGTTTAACTCAGTATAATCAATCCAAATTAGGAAAGTGACTCGCCAGTGCAACTACTTTTTCCTTCAGCAGCTCAATAAAATCACTAGCCATTTGAGAAATCACTATTTTTAAATAAGGAAACACTAAAAAACGTCAACAAGGCTGTGGTGTATTTGGCAACACCGCGGGCCGACCAAAAAGTTAGTTTCAGCCGGTGTGTAAAAGAGGCAACAACGTTTTTACGTGCGGTACCGTGGTAAAATAAAGAACCTTTATTTTTGTAAAATTAAAGTGGAAGTAATTAACTTTACTGTTTTCTTTCGAAAACCCAGTCCGCCGACATATCAAAGGCATAGGTCATTCCGCGGTCGCACCGAATAACAGTACTGATTTTCATTACCACATTCGCTACAAAATCTCACAATTCTAGATTGAACTTTCCTTACCATACCATTATATTGCAAAAATTTTCGATCAAAATAGTTAGCAATGTCGTTAACAATCCTAAATAAACTCTGACTGATTCACAAACTTACAACCTTATTGTTATCTCCACTAACAAATTCTTTAGCAAACTATCCAAAAAATAAACTTAAGACGTTTTAACATAGCACAATCTTATTGGCAATTCACCCTTTAAAACGTAGATGGCGTAACCCGTGTCACTGAACTGTATTTTAATTTAATTAAATTCTGTTTTCAAATACGCAACCAAAGTTCGTTTAATTTTATTTTTTTGAAAGATATAAATTAAACAAAATTACCTGTTCCGAAAGTCCGGAAAAGTGCATTCTACTTGTTTACAATTGGTTATTCTCGCAATTTAGTGTATCCCGTACTCTTATTTGATACTTTTATTGCCATTGAATAAACTACCACTGCGTATGCCGATAATACAGGTACTTATGAAGCAACTAAGAAGTCCCATGCAATATGTACATGCTCCAAATTTCTCAAATCTTGCAGCGTTCAACAACCATGGCCCTAACAGATCTTCAACAAGTTTGGATGCGGCATTTTTTACGGCACCATTTTCTCTGCCTTGATCTCATTAAATGTGTTCAGAAATCAAATTAAGTCCATAGAAATTACTGTTTAGAAAAAAAATGGCCCAAAGTGGTTGGTGGGTGAAATATAGAGGCAAGCGCGGAAAATCATCAGCATACGTGTAGGGTGAGAAATTAAGGAGTTGAACTAAAAACAAACTAACCAGAACGTAACCCAATTTATAACAACATTACGTAAAAACGATACACAATAATCAAATACATGTTTCCCGTAGATAGGTAGATTTTAAAGCGTATTTATCGAAATTATTTTTTTTATGCGATTTAGATAGAATAAATCTCGATTCGGCAGGGTTGGCTCCAGATTCACTAATTAGAATATGCGGTAATTAAGACTGCATACGTTGAACTGCTGTCGTCAGTTCGTAATTGATCAAAGTGTGAACTGCGTACCACTTTACTACGGGTTTACATTTGACAGATCAAAATAAGATCATGACTTCTTTTTGTCGATCAATCAATATTACTAAGCTTTAAACTTGATGGAGCGCACTCAAGAATCGTAAACCTAATTAGGTTTACAATTCTTGGAGCGTACTTATTGACAATTTCTCAACGGCCATATTGGTTGACAAGTGCCGCACGGTCTTTGCGGATCTTGAATGAATCTTCACATTTTTTCAAAGTTGCTTCATATGATCCTGTATTATCAACATTAGACAGGGCCTCTATATGTCCAGTATTAATTAAATAAAAACTATTTTTTTGAGGGTGTCATCATAGGTGTTTGAGTATTATTGTTCCAAATTTCAAGTTAGGTATAAAATGGTACCACAGAGGGAAATATGCAATTTTTGTTAACGATTATAGGTTATATTTTCTTTTTCAATACGTACTAATTTGGTTTTCAAGTTTAATACTTAAATACTCTAATGATTAAAAAACGCTCAACATTGACACTTACTAACCAAAATGGCCGATGAAACTTCCTCACTAATACAATACTAATACGTGTTGACTGAGGGGAAATAAAATTTCACATGTAGATTTTTTTTAAACGAGCAGTATTTATTATCAATTACAAACTCTTCTTATTCAGAAGCAAAGTCATGAAAACATCGAGAAACAAAACACAGTTAAAAAATCACGTGTAATCGGTAAAATCTTCGAGAATCTTCTTTGCTTTGTCGTCGGCGGGAAAGACGTCGGCGTCTTTGTTTTTCTGCTCCTGGAGGACCTTGTTGCGCACATTCTTAATTTTCCTCAACCGTTCCAACCAGTTTGACGCATATGGATCGTTTCGACTGTGCTTTAGAGACTTCGCGACCAGCGATGCCAACTGCAAGGCGGAAATTGTAGTCTCGGGGATCGTTGTACAAACAAGAACATTTTTTTCAATTATCAACCCATTCATGGCATCAAACGAGTTCTTAAACTTTCGGGTGTATTTCTGATGGTATCAAATCAAATTGAATAGTGTCAGATCATCCAGATCTCTCTCACAGAAAAACTTGTTTTAAAGTTGGGAGTTTTGTCTGTTGTATATGGTGCGTGAATAACATAAATAAATGTTGGCACGTTATTACATTTTTGAGGATCCAACTCAGGGTATGTTTCGTAAATTCAATGGTGGGTCAAAATTACGATTATTATAAAGATAAACAACAAACTTTTATTAGATAGATTGTTTCCAAACTGGGTACGTCCTACCTCAGTGGCAAACAGCGAACAATTGGTTGCGATAGATAGTACTATTCTCTGTCAGTTGTTTTTTTATTATATTTATAAATACTGTTTCTTATGCCCAATATATTGTTGTGTCTCCCAAAATTCTTAATTCAAATACGACGTTATTTATGCAATGAAATGGTAGTATAGGTTATGATTTATTAATTAAAGTGAATGGAAACTCCATTAAGAGTACATAAGTAATTAAGTTTCTGGGTTTTAACATTGGCCGCAGCTTAGTTAGAAGCATATGACTGTGTATATGAAAAAAAATAGTTCTTGGTGTGTTTTAACTAGGCGTTTAAAAGCAACTGTTTCTTAACCTTGAGTACTTACATTAAGTGTTTTAACAAAATAAAAGAGTTTGTTGATATTAAATGGGTCAACATGAATTTAAGAGAAAAATGGACGAGATTTTAACATAAACTGTCAATCAACTGACGGCACCGTAACAACTATTAAACACACGACAAACACTTACGTTGGAATGAAGCGCCAACTGTCTAACCAAAACCGCCAGGTTCTGATCAGATACCAATTTGGGTTCCCCCACGAAAACCAAGTCTTTGAGATCGTCTTTAACTTTAACAACCACCCTGTTTGTGCTGTGGTCCAAAGGCTGGATTATAATCGACGCAAAATTAAACTGACTCTGAAAAAATATTTTTTTTTCATCAATTTTTTGAATACTTTTATATTCTGACCACCACCGTTACATACTTTGATGGTGCTTATGTCGTACTCTTCCCCGCTTTCGTTATACACAATCACCACGCAGTCGTTGCCGATGTGCATTTTTTTATTGTTGCAGTTAGGATCGGATTCTTTGTTGGGCATCATGGTGGCCACGTGGAAAGTTATGCGAACAATATCGTCTTGCCAGATGTAGGCGAATTTCCCATCTTCGCCGTTCTGATCCAAACCCCCTGACAAGAATCAATGTTATCAAAACTATCGGCCTAAACCACATCGCGAGATCACCTAAATAGCAAACTTGAGAATCCACGTCGGATATTTTAACCAACGTGCCCAGTTTTTGTAAAAATTCCACGTATCTCAAAGACCCGAACCGATTCCTCAATATTTCAGCTTCATTGTTAACCTGTCCCTGTCTAATATACAACACCCCGATGGCGTGGGTCTCGTACGGCGGTATAGAATCCAAAATCTTCACCGATCGATGTACTATATCACTGGAGCTGACCAAAAGCGGTTTCTCGGGTTTGATCCCGAATGCTGTAGAATGATACAACTGCAGAAACACGAAACTGGGATTGATGCCGCTTTTGGGCACCTCCTTCGACCTGGTCGGGTGTCTAACCGGCTCTGATCTGGGTTTCCTAGTAGCCGGGCTCATCACCGATATGGTGTGTAAACGATCCCGCTTCTGTGCTTGATTGGGATCCAAGGTGTTGAGGCGTTCCGCGCTGCCGCTGTTTTTGCGTTCTCTGGCCCGATCGCGGGCCTGGCTTAAATGTACATTGCAGTCCAGTACTACGGACGATGACGAACTCTTTTGTATTTCCTGGCCTAAAATGTTGGCATACCTCTCAACTAACATTTTTCGCAGTTTTATTACAAGGTCTCAAAGTATATCGTCTTGGCTTTCGCCGGCTACTATCAAAATGACCAAGCGACGGTAATAAAACAGCTGACCAGTCGGTATCGCAGGGTAGAGCATCCGAAGCAGCCGAAACTATTAAACACCTATTCAGAATATATATTTCGGGAAGCATTGGAAGATGAACGCGCTGGAATATCGGCAACGGTAAACTCGGAGTGAATGACAAATCAAACCAAATTGGAGAGAATGAACAAAGATCTGGAAGTTCTGTTTAAAATGAAAAAAAGAAAACTTGAATTTGTGGAACATATCTCCCGTAGCAACAACTGCTAGCTTTGTTTAGTTTCCAAACACACGATAAAAAGTGTCATTCACCACTACCACTGATATCAACTGACAAGTAGTCTACGTTTACCTGTATTGTCCTGTCCCTTCCCTAGGAATAAATTATTGGTTGTCGTAATTACTTTTGAGGAGGGTCCGTGAAAAGCAGAGGCGACACTTTGAGACATCATAACGGATGTTTTTAGTGATCTTTTATAGCTTTATAAGAAAACCATTGGTGTAAAAGTTTGTGTCAAAAATTTGGTTACTTAGGACGCCAGTTAACTTCAGGAAATTTACCTTTTGATATAGAATGCCGAGCTAACCTAGGCGAGGTCTGAGTAGGGCTTTGGGGTGGTTTACTCGCCAACGGCAACAAACTCGTCATAGCAGGCAAATTAGTGGGCCTCTTTGGAAACTCTGTATTTGAAGTAATGATATTTGGTGAATGCGGAACGGTTTGATAAGGCTTCGAACCGACGGACGGGTCTTTCGTGGGCGAAGAACCCGGATAGCTGTGGTGACTGAGCAGTGCCGGGTGTAAATTTACTGAGGAACTCGACGTAGCTGACGTCAGAGAAATCTGTTTGGAGAATTGGTGGGGTTCTTGCTGCGGCGGCGTTGTTCCTAAAATTGGACCCAAAACCAAACCTACATTTAGAGATAGAAACAAGGAGTTTTCGTAGTAGTATGCTACTTTTTTGTGAAACGTTAGGGTTAAAAGATGTATTATTATCTATTTAATGGCTCATTTTTAAAAACTAGAGTCTATTTTAGAAAAGTATTATCACTCTACACTCCGGAAAGTTGTTGAGATAATTATTACTACTATTAAAATGGGCAACGAGTTCCTTCCAAAAGATATTTCCGAGACAGAAATTTGAATAAAATAAAACATCCAATCTTTTCTGTTACCGAGTCTATCAGAACACATGCATTTCTTTTGAAGGAGTAATTAAAGTTCGTAAAACCCCTAAGATTACTGAAAACAATGCCAAAGGAGGATGCAGTTTTGTTTGGAATTTAATTTTTTTAATTAATACAATAAAATAATTTAAAAATAAATAAATATAAGTAAAAACCTAAGAGTAGCAGTCAGTTAATGTTTGGTGCGGTGTTATAACTTTAGATCATTATTTGCATTTTATTTATATTTTACATATCAACATAAATAATATGGCAGCAAGATAATGTACCTCCTCGCAATATCATCTGGATCAAAAATATTCTTTCTAATATAGAATATCTATAACTATTGGTTGACCGGCCGACTGCCCGTACTTGACATTAACGGATTTCTTTCTTTGGAGGCACACAAAAAATGGAACGCGCGGAACTACTTGCGATAATTGGTGGTCAAATACGGCCATATTTTGGAATATTAAAATAATTTATTTATAAACATAAAGCTTCTATAGAAAACTTCTCTAAATATCAGAGATGTGTGCTACTTAAATTTGTATTGCACCTAGATCACAGCATGAAGCGGCGGGATATCTGAAAAACAAATAATGGTAGGTATCCTGAAAATATTCCCAAATATGGCGACATTATTTTGTTTTTATTTCTTTTGTTGATATTATAGGTTAGGAAAGAGATATCCAAATGCAGGTTTCACTAGCCTTTTAGAACCTTATTTGGCCATGTTTTCCTACAATAAAAGTAATAACGTTACTTTTTTTTTTGAGAAAATAAATTTTATTTCTGGTGATATCGCAATAACGCCCTCTAGCGACGATACAAGCAATCGAAATCAATCCGTGGGTGGAGTTGAATAGGTTTCAATGAGTTATTGACATTTATTTCCGAAAATGTCCGGACACCCCACCATCAAAGGTACTGCAAAAACTGTTCTACGAAAAAGAATAGAATTTATCCCAACTTTAAAACGGTGTTCTTTTTAGTTATCTGTAATATAAGATTATTTGTCAAAACACGGTACTTAAAATTCTAGAAATTTAAAAATAATTTCCAGCATTTTCTCGTGGCCGCTTTAGTCATAATTAATAATTACCTGCGATTTCTTCGGGGATAGCTTCGCAACTCACTCTCATGTCCTTGGAATACAGCTTACTTTTCTTGTCCTCGCCGCCCTTATCGTCTTCCCCGACTTTGTGAAAGGGGTTCTTCCAACCCCCGGACATTTCGGGACTGGAGTTCGACCTACGCACGGGGTTCCTCGACTTGCTACCGTCGTCGTAAACCTCCTCTAGCTCCTCTTCGATGCTGTCTTGCGAGTTTTGCCTAGAGGGCGACTGTTTCGGGGTACCGCCTACAGCGTCGTCGTCGTGGTTATCATCAAAAGTATCCTGGCGACATAACCGAGGCCTAGAGGACTCGGTCTGCAGCGAGGACATGTAAAGGGTTGATATTTCGTTCAAGGGAAATTCGTAATTGGCGTGCGTGTAGGAAATCTCGTTTTGGATTCGCATGACCCAAGACATGTCTCCCGTCGGTCTCCTGATATACACTTCCGCCCATCCCTGACACCAGCAGGCGCACCCGTACCTTTCGTGCTTGGCGTCTGGAAATTTGGCCGCTTGGTGGAGCTTTTTCGCGACCGCTTCCGCGCCAACCCTCGACGCCGGCTCCTCTTGGGGCGAGTTGATTGAATTGCTCGACTTTTCGTTGGAGTTTTGTCTGCTTGTCTCTGAACTACCGCTGCTCTCTGCGAGAGCGAACGATTTAGACCCGATATCGGAGTAGCACCGCTGCTTACCAAACAATCGGCTGTCTATCTCTTGCGCATCACCATTTTGTTATGAGTAGAGAGGGGCTATATTAGCCCTTTTTTGTGCGTTTTTATCCATTGGCGACTATTTAAATACGATCAAATATGGAGGAGACACATTACATAATAAACTAAAGATTTTCTTGAATAAAATACTTGCAGTCGAACGTATACCATCCGAATGGAAAGGAAGCAGTTCTAAAACTATTATAAACCGGGATTTGTGAAGGATTTAGAAGCAATAGGTCTGCGATAGATTGCTGCTAATTTATAATCCACCAAGCAACTGAAAAGTGTTGGAGAATTTAAGTGAAATTAAATTAATTAAATTATGCTTAAGAATTTTAAGAAGTACAGTACGGAGAATGCAGTTAACAAAATGAATAAATGTAGAACAACTGGTGTCTTTCAAATATTTAGGCGCAAACATAACAAAAAATACGAATTTAAAGGACGAAGTTAAAATCCATTTATCAAAATAAATAAGAACTAAAAGTTCAGATTTTCAAAAAATTATATATTTGGACATGACAATTGTTTCGACAATACGGTGTTTTTATCAAATGTAATATATACAAACCATTATATACACCGAAAAATGATGTTTTTTCTGTGTTTTTCTGTGTTTAAGTGTGTAGCATAATTAGAATCTAGACTATTGTTTTTACACGCTGTTTTATATTCGTTAATGCGTTTCTTGAAGGATCTACCTGTTTGTAGAATTGTCCTAAAATTTATATTGGACAAACAGGTAGGTCCTTCAAGAAACGCATTAACGAACATAAAAGAGCGTTTAAAAACAATAGTCTAGATTTTAATAAGGCTGCACACTTAAACACAGAAAAACAGATTTTTGACGACAATTTTGATATTTTATATACAGCCACAAAAAGTAGAAAATTAAATTTATTGGAAGCCATGGAGATTAACAAAATGAGACATTCAAATGTATTGCTTAATGATTAATTAATGAATCAGATTTAAATACATCTCCTTTATTGAACTTAAATTCTCACAACAAGATTAATTAAGGTTTTATGGTCATTTTTCCGTATATATAGTAGCAGGTAGTTTGTAAATATTATAATTGATAAAGACACGGTGTCGTCGAAACAATTGTCATGTAAAAATATATAATTTCGTGAAAATCTGAACTTTTAGTTCTTATTTATTTTGACGAAGTTAAAGCCCAAATAACAAAAGCAGCATTAATATCATGGTACCTGGGTACCTTGGCTAGAAATAAAGTCAGACTATATGAAACGACTTTTAACTATGCGAGACTCGAGATGTAGTGAGATGGGCAATAAACCGGAGAAGGGAATGGAAAGCCTATGTAAACAGAATACCGAATGATCGGTTAGTTAAGATTGTAAATGAGGAAAAACCGAATACACCTCGACTACCTAAACGACCACTTATATGAATATATGAAACCTGGTGTTCAACATCCCAACTGCTCCTAGGAAACCATGGATGGAAACCCAGGACTTAGTGTTAACATAAGAAAAAGAATAAGAGATTATTGATTGTTTTCAGCCAATACTTTTTTTAGAAAACAAATTAACTTTTTCAAACTTAAATGTTAATAATATGTTAGTTTGGAAAAGTTATAAAGTCCTAGTAAACAATTTGTTTTCTAAATAGCGTACTTATTTTTTGGTGCCAACTATGCGTGTCCTATTGGATACGCGCCTATTAAATCGCTGACTGCTTGGTAAGCTGTGGTGGTTTACGTTATTCGTTGCGTCACGCCTTGATTGCCGATTAAAATCCAGAAAAACGGAAAGGACTAAGGCTAATTGTCACCCCAATAGTTAAGCGCTTGTTTTGTTTCTTTGTCCTTCATATTTAAAATTTTCTAACCTAACCTAGAATAGTAAGTGTTGACGCCGATTACCTGCCACTAACACTCTTTTCTCGCTTTTGGCGCTGCACATGCCCCAACATTTGTCGCAGAGGCCCTGCTTCAACACTTTCTGAGAGCACCCGCTAGTAGTTATGGTGACCAGCCTATTTCCGACTATCCAACACATGGATTGACCGCCGTTCAAAAGAAATTCCGCACTGGGCAACCTGAAGATTTCTGATATTTGTACAATATTTTTACGAAATATTGAATATTTTGAAAGAATCTACAGATGTTGACCGTTTAATGCTAAAATTTATGCATTTATTTATAAAGCAGTTTCAAAAAAACTGCAAACATTAAAAAAAAAACACAAAGAAAGCTAATGGTAATGATTGTAGATCGGCTTATGTATACTTTGCGCAAATATTATGTGTGGGACCATGTTTCAAAAACTTTTAAATGTAATCGGTTTGCTGATCAATTAAAGTGTGGCATTATAAAGCCTCTGGTGACAATTATAGACCCATGAGTGTATTAAATTTGATTGCAAAAATTTTTTTGAAAACATACTTTACAGTAATATACATACTTACACAACTTAATATTTAAAACTTTTTTTGCTAATGGGCAACATGGCTTTTTGCCTGATATGTTCACAGTAACCAACGTGACTATTTTTACTAATACAGCTGCTGAAGTTAGTCTTAATAAAAACCAATTGGACGTGACGTAAACTTCAGTTTACTTAGCTTTTATCTAGAAACCAAAAGGTTAAAAGTTGGAAAAAACTGTCGAACGTTCTTTATGGCATCATCAAGCGTACTTTAGTAAAGTAACTTTTCTTTGCCATTTTTGTGAATGATTCACTAGATTGCATTAATTTGTCTACCACCCTGATGTTTGCAGATTATTAAGATTATTAAGAGTATTGAAAACTGTGTAGTTTTACAGAAAGTTCTACATAGTGCTACAGTGTGGTTTATTGAAAACAAGATATACCTAAATGTAAGCTAATATCAGTTGATAAATTTTACTCGGAAAATAAATCTGGGGCTACATCTGCAAGCAACACTTAGGTTAAGTTAAGTTAATTAGGATATTCTAGGGCTCCTGAAGTATATTGTGTTTTATTTATATATCATATTTTAAATAACATTATCTATAAATAGGCACGGCTGTTTAATTCACAGAATTTCATTCCATTTTCTGAAAATTGTGTTTAGAAATATGCAACGAAAACTATTCTGTGATAACATATTAAGCTATATATTTATCTCTTTGTGTGATGTGGAAGAGAATCTCATAGAGATTTTCTTCCATATCTGATACAAGTACCCTTACAATAAAATCTTTAAGTGCCAAAGTGTAGTTTTACTAGTCTTAAATCCATCTCTGTGCAATCGTCATTCATTTTTCATGTAACTTAGTACTCACGTTTCTTTTTAATCTAGATTTATAAATTTAGATATCAGTAAGCACTACTGCATTGCAAATACCTGTCGGTCGCGCAGGAATATCAATAAATAAACAAATTACTACAAATACTACCGTTTTGGGAGGGCGCTGCAAGGACTGAACGCGTATCGAGCCATCAGATCGATGCACGTCTCCGTCAGTTCTTCGTAAAATGTAACCAAAGATTTATTGGGAGGTTGCCTTCTTATCACCGAAGCTTTGTTATCGAGTCTGACGGAAAGGGAGTCCCTGTGTCTGGACCCTTGTTCCGTTAAACTGGAACTCCTTTTCCGGTCCGAACTGTCCTGATTAAGCGCGTTGGTGTCCATTTTGAGGTAAGTGTCGTCGAAGGGGAGTAAGTTGGCTTGAAGTCCCTAAAACCTTCGAGTTGTAGTAAATAACGGGTGCCGTTCGATTTTATACGAACGCTTGTGATGAAACGAACGAAATCTCTCCTAAAAGGCAGGCGACACTTCAAGAACCACACGGCAATCACGTGATAGGCGAGAGAAACAATGTAGTGATTGTACTTGAACGGATTAGTATATGGCAGAGAAATGGCGAACACCGCCATATACTGATCAGCTACGAAGTTCGTGTAGATCATTTGGAGTTGCGTCAGAGCTGCGAAGCGGGGAATTTATACTACATAAAATAACGATACTACGAAAGCGCAAAAAGGCACCAAAAATAAAATATGGGTGTTAGTTTAATGAGGCAAATATTTGAGGAATAAGTCAGAACATCTGAGCTAAGTAAGAATTTTTGGAAAACAAGTCAGAATTTCTGGAAAATAAGTCAGAAATTCCTCAAAAAATTACCTTATTTAATTAAAACCTATATATTTTTGATGAACGCTTTTGTACATTACGCCCGTACTTGAAAGAAATTCCAATATGGGTACCGCAATATGTACCGTCGCTGATATTTTCGACAACGTAAGCAACACTTCGGGCAACGTTTTGACCATTATGTCTTTCATCTCGAGCGTGCAGATCGTCAGCGCCGACATACATTGTTTCGATGTACGAGGTCCCCCTTGCATACATTTCATTAGGCTCCTAATCAGTTTTTGCTGATGTATTTGGTCCAAGTGAGAATGGTAAGAGGTCAGATTAACCAAGACCATCAGAACGGCGGAATGAAAATCGGGTTTGGATACTTTCGCATTGAGCGTTTCCGGCAAATTCATCGATCGGTCCGAAAGCTGCAATCGGAGAATTGGCAACAGTTTGACACGAAAATGTCGTATTTTACCATTTGGCAAAGAACGTCCACCAACAAATCGAGCTCGTTATTGCCTTTGCCCAGGATTAGGGATTTATTTTGCAGTCCTTTCGTCATTCCACTCAACACCATGTTCAACACTTCCCAGTCTGTAACGTTTCGGTGGAAAAAATCGAGGTCAACGGTTACGGTGGATTCGCGCAAGCATCCATTAACTTTAATTTAGCACTAATTTAATATTAAAATTAATTAATTAAAGTGAATTCCATTTGCAACCAACCATTCATCGAAGACCGATTCGTTCGAAGTATCTACTTCTGTGGTAACATCGGCAATATCATTAACACATATTGAGAACAGCAAAGGTGAGAGCGATACTGCATCACTTTTTACTCTTAATTGTAAATTAGTGTTAATAGGAAGTGATGCTTGCAAGAATCCAGGATTGTGAACGGAGGTGCGTGTTACCCTTCTCGTATTTCAAGCAAGTTATGAATAGTTTGAACGCTCTCCTAAGCGGGACGTACGTAACCACGCAAGGAGGTTGGGCGACTGTGGAAGGCTGGGGCGGGGGCGACCCCAGTGGAACCTTGTCGTTACTTTTGTACACCACGCATAAATACGAACTAAAAATCAGACGGTTCCCATTTGGGTAGCCCAAATGGTATAAAGCGTCGGCTCTCATCTTCAAAAAGCATTCAAATATCTAAAAAAATTATACACCCATCGGTCATTATGTACTACTGTGTGACCGAATCAAAATATTTATCGCACGTAAGTTAAGTTGTCCTTGAAACAGCATAGAACTAGACGCCATGTTTCGTTAGTCAAATTTTAATAGTTTAGATTTAAAGTGAAACAAAGAAAACGGAAAATCTGAAGCAAAATGATAGCAAAAATGGGTGCAATTGAAGATATGCTAAAGTCAGGTTTTGGAAACACTACTGCTAGGATCTTTTTTAAGAACCTTCAAAAGAGTGCAGATATAATAGGTTTGGATAAAAATTTAATAACCATATTTGGTTAATAACTATTTTCAGGCATCTTAATATGAAATTAATTTGGAAAATGTAAAGCAATATTCAAAAGAAACAAAAAAATTATATTTAGATTTGTACCCCTGGTGTTACACGCCAACCGTATTGTGCCAATTGGACAGCTATCGGAGGAAGTCCAAGAAGCATGAAATAAAAGATTGCAGAAGAGAATTCCAAACATTTAGAGTGTCTCTAATACCGATCTGATGAGAATGTTGCTGATATCTTCGGACTCTATGGTTGACAATTTTATACGAGCTACTCTCAAGTGCAAAGAATCTTTTTCTACTGATGTTTTAAAATTAATAATGTTTTCCATCAAAAATTCGTCCTCAGCTGTGACCAGTAATTTTTCTAACAAAAAAGATCCTTTTTGTAGGAGCAAAAGTGATTAAGATACATATATAAGTCGTGTTTTTTAGTTACTTTTTTAGCAGCTTATTTTCAATTTGAATTAGATTAAATTTTAAACCACTAACCTCCAATTTGGTTTTTAAATTTAGCTCGTACCGCCTCTTTTTATTATATCCTATGAATATTCTCGTGAGGTTATATAAAAATAAAATATTAGATATTACAAAATGATTTCGAAATCACCCAAGCAGTTTACTATGTGTATCAATCTGGGATAACACCATGTATATTAATAATCGTTCCCTTTCAGTACGAATTAAACATAAAAATATTTAGTTATAAAGAAGAAAACCTTTTAAATACCAATAATGTTATTCTAAAAAAAATGTCAACCTAGTTCTACCATGCATCCCACCGTAAGGCATCAGATCGCTAAAATATTCGTAATAGTAACAATTTTTCTTACCGCAAATCTGAGTTGACGGCAATTTTCGAAAACTTTGGGCTTCTCGTAGTGTTTCTCCAAGAACGAAACCAGCAGCCTGTAAATTTTGACGGCGTGCGACGAGGGAAGCGTGTGGATTTTGTGAACGAAGACGTCAATCAAACCAGTCACCAAACACTTTACGTCCGAGAAATCTTGCTCGTTCGAGACATCGCGACGTTCATTCTCGAACGAGTAAAATAAAAATTTTTCCAAGATATCGAGCAATTCCAAGCACCTCTTCGATTCGGACAACAAACACAAATCTACCAAAAGTTTTATGACGGAACTTCGTATTAGAATATCTCGGTCGGAGACGACCGGGGACAAGTGAGGTATAACGATTTTTTCAATTAGCTCGTCTTCGTATTCTTGCCTAAAATAAGCAATTTATAATTCAAATTTCCGATAAAACTCGAGAAACATCCATACATCAATTACGTGTTACAAGTGGCCACATTTGACAATGTCGCAATTTAAAAATTTGTTAGAAACAAATCTGAATCTTAAGAATCAGTTGTAGGCTGTAATTGTTTGACCCTGATCCAATGTTGCTTATGACTTTCTGCACTTTAAGTTGGAGTTGGGAACATGTTGGACGTTTTTGCACCGCTTTTTAAAATTATTAGGTGATAACCACAGTACATTAACTAAATATAGTAAAGGAATGAGAGCCTTCCTAAGCATTCTTAATTAAAAAGAGTGACAAATAAGAGATGGAGCCAACACTATTAAAGCACAAGTCCACTTGATTTATTTAACTCGATTACCCGTTTTTGAGGTTGTGCTCGTTTTGTGTATTTTGGTCTATTTGGAGTAAGGGAGTTAACTTTTGGAATTTGGTGACGTAATGTATGGATGGCCTCTGAGCCTCAACAAATGCTCTCGATCAAGCCACCCTCCCCCAAATATATTAGATATCCCCATAAACAATAAACAATATCCAAATATTGCCCACTTTTTGCGCAACCCCAAACGAAATTTTGCGCACATTTTTTCCTCTTTCCCATAAACACAATTTGGGGAAATTTTCTTGGGAAAGTTACGACCTTTCAAAATTTCAAAATTCCCCCCAAAACTTTCTTATACCATTGGAATTTCTAGATTTTGTTCAACTAATATTAAATTTTGTGGACCTTCCTGGGGAAAGCTATGACCTTCTAAATTTTCGAAATTCCCCCCAACCTCAACTAAATAAAAACTTTCTTATACCATTAGAATTTATGGATTTTGCGCGACCAATATACAATTTTGGTGCATGTTTTAACCTTTCAAATTGTAAAATTACCCCCCACCGTAACTAAATAAAAACTTTCTGCTACAATCAGAACTATAGATTTTGCGCAACCAATATTAAATTTTGTGAACCTTGCTGGTGAAAGTTATGGAGTTGCAAATTTTAAAATTTCCCCAACCTAAACTAAATAAAAACTTTCTTATACCATTGGAATTTCTAGACTTTGCTCGACCGATATTAAATTTTGTACACCTTCCTGGGGAAATTTATGACCTTTCAAATTTTAAAATTTCCCCCCAACCACAACTAATTTAAAATATTTTGGTACCATTAGAATATCTGATTTTTGAAATTTAAAAGTATTTTATCGAATAGAGCGCAAAATCGCGTTTGGGTTGTACAGCAATGTATAAATATTTGGGGGGGGGGGGCTTGACTGACGGAGCCTAACAAATACCGGTTCAATCGCAACACGTCGTCCACTATTTCTAAAGCTTTTAGGCGAATAACTGTGCGCATGTCCGCTCTAAAATGTTTCGAGAGCAAACTACTTAAATTCGCTATCCACGTATGTTCCGTCGGGTTCATACGATGCACTTGGTAAGCGAGCAGTCTTAAGATGCTGTCGTCGGGCCTGTCGGAGGCGCACCCCTCGACGAGTCTGTAGTAACTTTTCAAAGACCCGTTGTAACGCCCCGAGTCGATAAAATTTTCAATCATATTCAAAGTGTCGCACAAAATCGGTTTTATCGGAATCTTAGGATTAGCCAGCTCTACAAATCACAATCATTTGCATTAAAATGTATATAAAGTGAGATTCTCAGTCGACGGGCAAGTTAGACGTATCATTATTACTTTTTTATTATTTATTTTTGTTATAACAATATTGTCTCGTTAAGTTGGAACTGTCAGGGAAACTTTTTTATTATTAATTTTAAGAAAAAAGAACTTTCTTATGCTTAAAAGTTTTTCAAATGTTTTTCAGTATGTCGAAAAAAATGGATTTTACAAGAACAACAATGAATTTGGTACTATGAAGATGGTGCCTGATGTTATTGAATATCTTGAATACATGATTAATGGAAACATTATCCAGAGATATTCTGATCTTTTTTGGACTTCGAGACCCACTGATCTTATGCCACAAACAAACAAAAGGTTTACTAAGAAGTCGATGTGTCAAGATGTTGATGATTTTTGAAAGAATAATTTTGATCAGGAATGTATTAACTTAAATCGACAATAGAACAAATACGTTGAGAGTGGATATGTCGAAACATTAGTGAAATGAGTGAAAATTAAGTTTCAATTTAATTCAATAAATGCATTCCTTAGGTGTTTAAACTACAAAATTGTTAAAAAAACTTTAAGAAAGACTTTTATAATTACAAGGGATAAATGTTATAAATAAATAAATAAACTAAAAATAAATATTTGTAGTAGTTTATATTTTTTGACAAACCTCGTATACTATTGGACAAAATCGATATCTGATGGCTGTGTTTTAAATCATAAAACATATAAAACTTTTTAAGAAAGGTAATGTTTTTCCTCAAATTAATACTAAAAAAGTTTCTCATATGGTTTCAATTCAGCGACAAATATCTATATAAATAACAGGATGAATCTGATTAAAATATTTTCAACAAAAAGGGTTATACTTCGCAATCGGACTTTTCAGCATTAATGCATCTTTAAATAGCCAGCCCTGCTTCAACCCCTAGTATATTTTCAAAGTCTGGTCTTTGCTTTACAATTTCCTTTTCAGCAAAATACATTTTTAAAAGGTGGATATGAATTCTGATCAGAATGGGGTATAGAACTCATTTTTGGGGTAACATAATCGGTGATCAACAGGTAATAATCCATTTAAAGTTTACCTATGCGTGATATATCGTTGATCGTTGACAATGTTTCCACGATCACGGACCAGGACGAATCCATTAGCTCCAGACCGCAACGATTTATCAGCTGTTGTATGGCCAGGATTACCTCGTACGCCACAGCGGCATGTCTGCTTTGCTTAATGGCCTTAAAAATGATTTTAAGGAACTATCTTACTTGATATAAATACAGAATGGTCCGAATTATAATGGAGAAACAACAGCGTATTTAGCAGATAAATATTATGAAAAAGGTTCATATAAACTTATGTCCTATGTTCATTTCGTAGATACAGGGTGTTCAAATATTATTGTTATTATTATTATTATTTCTGGAATTGTTATGTAAATGAATTTAAACAGCGCGAATTATCTTAATTTAATTTAATTAGGTGCACATGCAAACAATTTTTTTCGAAAACAAGTTTATCTATGCTATAAATAAAAAATAAAAAGGAGTAATAATACTACCAAGTTTGAAAGCAAAATAAATATTTTTTTAAACAAGAAAAAACAATTTTTTTTGAAATATTTACATTTTTTTATAAGAACTTTTTTACTTATATTTATTTGCTGAATATGCTGTTTAGATTATAATTAGGATCACCCTATAGATATACAGGGTGGTTCAAAACTAACGCAAAAAGCATAAGGGATGATTCTTTATTTAAAATAAAGGGAAGTTTGTTATATAATGTTTTTATTTTTTTATCTTAAAAATGAACATAGAACAATAAAATATTATAAAAACACAAAAAAAAATTAGACTGCCCCCTATCATTCTTTAATATTAATTAATAATGCATTATTTGACACTGCTCAGTTAGTATGAACATAAAATGTGCCAATTTAATCAAAAATGTATTATCTAATCGACAGAACCGGCAAATATGTAATATTTCATGGTTCTCTCTAGTTTCTAATATTTTCCGCCATATTTATAGCGCGGCATCTTCCTAATGGTAGGCTTTTGACCAAACGTTAATACAATAAGGTACCCTTTATGTAAAACAAAAAATCACACCCTTAAGTTTTTCCCATTTATTTTGAAACATCTGTGACTGAACACTGAACAGGGACTTACCTGTAAAAAAGACGGCAATACGGAACTAGGCGGGCATCGTAAATTAGGCAATGGCTCAATGGTCCAAAGGCCCATCCTGGTAAAAAATATGGACCCGCGCAATAAGTCTATGTGGAATTTAAGTGCAGACTCTTGCAAAATGCGACACATGGTGTATATAGTAGAATGCCCCAAATGCGTGCCCAATAAGTTTTTCATAATCTGCCAGCTGTTTTGACAGTATTTCTCAACCACTACAGTACGGCACAGGGCCGCTATAAACTTGGGTAAAGCGTCGGGCGACATGTTACTATAAGCGACTATAGTTGACATAATTTGCAGGCACAAATTAATCGTGGTGGATCTGTTTGGCGGGCCACACAGAAAGTAAAGGTGCCTTGAATAAGATATATTAAATATTAAGCGAAATAAATGATTAAAGATTACTGGATAAATCCGTTCATAACTTCTTCGTCTATATAAGCTGCGTTGAATCTGATAACATTGTCCATCATGCCTAAATATTCCTCAATTCTTCCGGCTTGCAGTATTTCCGGCAACCAATTTAACAGAAAGCGGCCGATTTCTTCTTCGAAAAAAAGTATTATTTTGCCTTAAATTATCAACCCCCCTTATAATGGAAATAGACAATTAAACAAACAATATACCATTGCAGGTTAAGGAGATAAGAAGATCTAATCTCTGGGCAATATCTTCGGGATGTTCGTGATGTTTAATGAGCCTGAAAAACTGAGCTCTCATAATATTAAGTCGTTCACTTTGACCTTTTACAAGCGCGTTCATGAATCCGAATACAGAATGCCGGGTCTCGGTAGCATTATCAATCACAAGATCTTCAATGGCAGTCCAGATTTTTTCCACAACATTCTAGAATAACTAAATTACAAACGACGCGTCTTACTCGAACCGATGTACCGACATCTGCCAATTTTTGTTTTTCAACGGTCGGTGATATCTCTCTGAGAATTTTGAGACGAGTCGCCAAGGGAGACTCTTTGCTCAGGTCTCTTAAACATTCCTGCGTCAAGGTGTATTCTTGTTTGCAGCTGTGATTACCTAAACACAAGCTTGTAAAAAAAAATGCGCATACCGTCGGAACACTTACCTAAATGGGCTTTTCTTTTGAATAATTCTTTTAAACGGTCTGGGAAGCTCCTGCTTTCTCTATCACGGGAACCCATTTTGTATTGTAAAACGAATATGGAACTTGGTGCAACGGTCTAAAACATATTAACAGCAATTGCAAAAAACCTTTCAAAAAATTTCGGTTTCTTTTGCAGTTTTTTTTTAATAAATTTTCTTCTTCCAACTTTTTGTAGATGACTGGCCAAAATTGCAAATTACACTGAGAGAACAGTTATAACATTTGCAACAGTGGTTGGCCAAAAAAAAATAATATCCGAAAAATAATTGCGTAAATATGGTGTTTTCGACAATTTCACATGCAAAAATTCTCTCCGGTCTGCCATTTTGTTAGTAGCCTTTCCATACATCTACTTCACTACGAAAAAAGAGATAAAAGTAAATGTCAGTTTTCTAGGTTATGCTTACAAAGTCGATTTTTTTCTAATTGGATCAATGCAACGTAATTAAGTGTTGTTTTTTTTTCAGAAAATGAATGTAAGTACTCTAATTTTAAATATATTTGCCATAATAACAGCTGTTCAATCGGTTACGGAGGAAGACGAGGGAGTAAAATATGCCAACAAGTGCGAAGGTTTGTTAGCCTTTTATATAAGTACGAGATTCCAGGTAATGATAATTTAATTTTAGTATGTAAAATATTAGCCATAGAGCTGCAAAGTCGTTTAGAAGAGACTGGAAAAACCCACGACGTGATAGAAACCGGCTACGCCGTTGATGATGTAAAACCCAAAAAGAAAAAGGAATACAAAAAATCTGAGTTGCGGCTGGTGGAGTCTCTTGAAGGAGTTTGCGATCGAATTTTAGAATATAACATACACAAGGAACGCGAAGACAGTACCCGATTTGCTAAGGGCATGAGTCAGACATTTCAAACTTTGCACGGGTTGGTAGATAAGGGAGTGAAGGTTGAACTCGGCATTCCATATGAGCTTTGGGATAAGCCTAGCGTTGAAATCACGAATATGAAAATACAGGTGTTTTTCATTTATTCCAAGAACAGTCAATCCCAGAACTAAATAATCATCAATTCACTTTTAGTGTGAAACTTTGTTAGAAGAAAATGAAGGTGACATTGAAGACTGGTATTTTAATCATCAACATAAAGAGCCTCTGAAAAAATATTTGTGTCAAGACAGAGCACTCCGAGGTCAGGATATAAACTGTTTAAACGAACAGTTGAAAGGCGATATAGGAAACAAGGATAAACAAAACAAAAAAAATGAATTGTGATCTCTATTGTTTTAAATAAACTTTTTTGATACATAAGTGGCTAAACAAAATAAATTACACTTGTTCTGTGTCTTCCGTCTGCTGTTTCCTAGGTTTTCTGGTATTTCTATATTTGCCTCTTAATTCGCGCATTCGCTTCATTTCGTCTGCAAAATCAGCATGCTCGTCTCTAAAAAGACCATAGTACCGCAATTTCAACATCAACTTTCCTGTTTCTACATGTCTAGGGTAATAATGCGTTATTTCCCTATCCAAATTGAGAGGTTTTTGACTTAATAAGTTTACCACCCGCATAGACGTTGGATTTGTGGGACGCGCTACCTCCCCAAATATTCTATTACTTAAACGGTTCATGCGACGAGCGTATTCTGTAGTCTGCTTCATTAAATCCGAATATTTTGCGTATTTATTCATATTTCTATCAAAAGTACTTTTCTAACCTATAAACACAGGAATACATTTATTGGAGACATGATCGATATTACTAGAATCACTCGACCACGTGCTTCTTCTTACTCTTAATAGCTCAAAAATTAAGAACTATTACGCCAATTTTAATGATTGTTTCAAAAACGAAAAATGTTCATTTCATGGCACATGAACCCGTTTTCAAATCAATTAAGTTGTGAAAGAAGAAGCAGACGTATTATCTATAGTACAACGGTAAAACAGTGTGAGTAATACCAAATTTTTAGATATTTAGTTAAGGTTCACGCTAGTTTAAAGTTGATGGAATCGGTTTTTGACCAATGAGCGAGTAGTATGTTTAATTTTATTTAAAATGCATTAAGAATAATTGTATATGAGGGGGTATTACTCTTCCTATCAGACTTCGCCAAGCGTAGGAGAGATTCTGCCGTGAGCATTGCACATGGCGGGTTAACCTCCTTCCGGTCCCGACAGAATCCTCTGTAATTGTCCCAAAAATACTAGAAATTGGTTATAAGTGTCTAATGAATGTTATAAAGTGTGTATTCCGGTATAGATGCCCGATAGGCCCGGATGGTCCATGGGGTAAGCGGGGGAGGCCGTTTTTTGCTATCGGTTAAACATTTTTGAAAAACGTTCTTAATTGTTGTTTCTGTTTCCCTCATAGGGTGATGGATCCGTCCTGTCCCGTTTAATTGAGGCAGCCTCCAGGGCTATAAATGGTTGAACTATAATTGTAAATGTTCGAGTGATCCTCGTAGTTTTGGCTAATAAAAGTAAAGGAGAGAGAGAGAGGGAGAGATAGGAGGGCATTCACAGACAGACAATATTTTTGTCCTTAACCTAACAAAGTTTGATGCTCTTGATATCCCTCGATTTTTCTCAGTTTTTTTTAGCCGATGGTTTAATTCCGTTTTTTGTTAATTTCAAAATGGTTAGAGAAGGTTCTTCAAATCTCAAAAAGAAACGCAAAACCAACAGTACCGATGGTGAAAAAGAAGTTGATGTTTATAAGGTATTTCTGTGTATGGTTTCGACTCACTGGAATCAGGCTCTTTTAATTTTTTTAGAAAGTTTGTGAATTAGAAGAAAAAGAAGCCACAAATCATGTTAGCGGCGAATACGACTCCGAACTGTATTATAAAATATGCCGCGACATCAGTAAGGTTCTCTCAGAAGTTCGGGATCTTAAATACAACCAAGACGGAGTATGACTATTTAGTTTTAACTTAACTTTTTGAGTTCCTCCTTTTTACTTTTTCCAGTAATTTATAGTTTTGGTTAGTTTTTAGTTAATTTCATTCCAAAATACGCGATTACGTGCTTTGAACTGTGAAAAATCTGTTTTTAGGTTTAACTTTTTTTTTATGAAGTTATTCACAGAGCCAAAAGGAAAAAAATTCGTGCATGCAAAATTACCTTGCATATTTCTTGTAAAAAATCTAATGCAAATTCTGTGGGAAGGGGGCCGTAGACTGGGATGACACTCATACCGAAGATATGGTCGAGCAATAAGCCTTTTTTTATATTTGATTTCTCAAATACAAATCCGCAGCCTATATCTTGAGACCAAACCTTCAGTCTCTACAAATCCATGTATTCAGCGATACTTCCGAAATGGGTTTCTCATATTTTTGAGTCTCAGAATCCACAGGCTATATCTTTTCCAGTCAAAAGTCTCTCCATTGAATAAGGTTTCTTCGCCTCACCTTAAACTATTGGTACAATGATGGTGCTTAAAGAAGAAAATACTCCAGTCTTTTCAACTGGCATCTCGCGCGTATAGCCTAGGTGTACTCTGGTCCTGATGGTATTGTCAAGGTGATCAAGGTCGCACCTCGCTTGGGCTCTTTAGGAGGTCTGTCATGAAACTGTGCCCTCCTCCATATTTATATTACCAAGGATGTTACTTCTTTAATTTGATTTTCTTGTTTTTTTTTCTTACCCACTTATAAATGATTAGGTTCATGAGTTTTTTTTTTCATTTTTTCCAATAATATATAGTTTATCTATTCGTTGGCAGACAGTACACTATCAAGATGCAATGCCGTTAAATTAGGATGTTTAAATAAATGCTTTTGTTTTTTTTAGGAAATTTTCGAAAATAAACAAGAATATCTAATGGAGATTGGCGTCAAGGTTTGCTTATTAAAGAAATTGAATAGGATTGATAAATTAGGGCATGTCTTTGGTAGAGAAAGTTTGAATGTAGAAAAACAAAAATGTGACAGCATAAAGCTCAACTATCAGAATCTAGTGTATGAAATGCACCACTTGCTACAAGAAACTAAAAAGTGTTTGTCATTTATGTGAGTACAAAACTTTTTTTAACGAAAAAATGCGTCTCATCTTTGTCGTAGATCCGATGATGAACACATCGATTTAGTCCCAGTCGAAGATTTTATGAACAAGGCACCGAAATCGGTGACGAGCAAATTCGAAAAGGTCGCAAATTCGAAAGTCGTGACAATTTTTTTAAATTAAAATTGATTTTAGATCGATAAAAATGATCCGGATCAGGAGCACGCGTTAAGATTAGCTCGACTCGAGTGGGAACTTACCCAATGCAAAGATTTGGCCGAAGAATGCAAAGTAATGGAGGCGAAAAAAAAAAGCGTTTTGACAGAAATCACGGAACGAAAGGAAAAGCTGAACAGTCTCGCGCCACTGTTGAGGGAAGTATTAAAATCTACAAAGCCTCTACTTGAACATTTAGGAATGACGGACGAGCAAACGAGACAGGAACACAAACTCGCTGTCCTTTTACCCGAACCTCTCTACATACTTTATGCGAATACATTTGCCTACAAAAATGTTTATGGTAATTATTTATTTATTTATTTATTTATTAGTCCTAGCAGTAACAGTACAAACATTAAAAGCTCCAAAATAAGGAGTTATTAGTTTATATTTTGAAACTCTTAAACAGGTTGTGAAGTTATTTTGCAGTAAAGGGCACTTGCACTACTGAAACCATCCCTAATGGAAATTTGGTTTTTATTTAACTCATATTTTTCTAAAAACCACAATATAACTTTTAACCCTTAACATTATTTTTTAGATTCTGTGCTATTGGATATTGGATATTAATTACTTTAATCAATACTATTCACTATTTTTTTTAGGAAAAAATATAAACATTGAAATAGCAGGCGACAAAGAAGAAGCTGTCCAGTGGAAAGAGGCTCAGGAAGTTTCGAATTCGAGCAGTGATGGGCTAAATAATGACGATTCTGAGCCCGAGTCGGATTTGCCAGAACTTGAGGTTGCACAGAAATTTGTCATTCGAAACAGAATGAAGATTTTAATTTTAGGAAGTGGTCGAAGTCAAGAAAAGAAGGCATAGGAAGTCGATAAGACAGGTGGATCCGTTGGAAGAAAAAAAGAAAAAGTTGCTCGAAGCGCATCCTCTGAAAATCCAAATTTCTATGACTGTGAAGGAAGGTCCCACTTTGAACATGACATTCGCTTACTACACCAAACTCAAGATTGTGGCGGTAACTTCGAATGTTATAGTTCCGACCAAAATAACCGCAGTTACTGCGTCAGATATATTAGCGGGCGGGAACATTCTAAGCGAATTACTGGATGACGACGACAAGGGATTGGAAAGTCCTAATCCTAGCACGACCTATCAACTTCAAAAGAACGGTATGGGATCTTTCCAATCTTTGATTTCAGATATCGGATACCCGTTCAGGTGGGCTCAAAGAATATGTGGAATCGACTTCTTGGCCGCTAGAGTAAGTGTCAATACATTTTTTCTATGCCTATTTGTATGCCTTTGTTGTTAGGATTCAATTATATCTGTCTATAGAGTGATTAGAATGGACTAAATGAGGGTTTAGGGCAGGGCAGCATTCTTGGGTCACTTTTGTGTGTTTTATATATTAACAATCGCAACCATAGATATATTATCAAGGGACATAGCATTGATTACATTTTAAAGTGACGCGAATAACTTGAGGGACTGAGAGGGAGAGACTGTACCCATGAGATAATTTTTTTATGTATTCAGAGGCATAGGTAAATTAGAAATTTCACTCCATACACTTAAAGAAATGTCTTGCTAATGTTTCGTTAAACATTGCCCATAAAATAAAAATAAAAGGGTGAATAGGAGTTTTTAACGTTTATTTGACGTGCGTCTTGTACTAGGTCTGCTTTTGTTAATTTTTTATGACAAACGTGACCTTTTGAAAGTCAAACGCCGTTTGTGGATATTGCTGTTAAAAAGTCTGATAGCTAAAAGGTCACAATACTGAGAAATTTGCAATTAATTTTGCGATTTGAATTCCGAAGTCTCATTTCATGTGTATTTAAACAAAGCGAAGTCGTATTTAATGAACGGGCGTACTTATTTTCTAGTTTTGTTTTTCTGCATAGTATTATGTATTGTAGATTTTTAATGAACACTCAAAAGGCACTTGGATTTGGTTTGTATTACATCTAAAAGTTTGTCAAGTTTGTTAAATTTAACTATTTATAATGTAGTTAATATTTAATTGATCTATAAAATTGGAAAAAACTTAATGGCCAGATACTTTAATTCATATTTAAAAAAAGGACTTTCAAATGCATAGTTATACTGTGAGATCAAAAGAAAACCATTGCGTAGAGTTAGTATGATATGCTACGTTTCTTTAACGAGCTACCTGATGATATTAAGAGTGCAGGTAATATATTTAGTAAAAAAATGTGTAGTACTTTCACAAAATCGATAAGAAAATATCTGAGCTCTTCGCAAAACTTGAAATGACCATAATGGAAGATGATCCTACGGGGTCGATTCAGATTCATTTTTTGCTCTTCTCCGAAACGGGATTCAAAGTTTATTCCTTGGTTAAAACGATAATTCTGAGAATAAATAGCCTGTACAGGGTGAGTCAATGATAGAGTAAAGTTCATTATCCCATTGGTTTCAAAAGTCATGAAAAAATGGTAAATAAAAAAGTTATAAAAACTGTTAAGATTCTAAAATTATTTTAAATTATACAGGCTGGCTCAAACAAGTGTGACCAATAAAACATACTTTTTTTAAACGGAGCGCTCTATTTTTAAGTTTTGTTTTGGATTTCTTTTAAAATCCTTCATCTTTTTTATTAATAATAATATGTACCTAAACGTAATAGTTTTTCCAATATTTTAAAATTTAAAATACATTAGCGCTATTATTTTTAAAGGTGCATCACTTATATTTGATATTAACTTTATTTGAAGATGACATGAAAAACGTCTCCAGCTGGTGTCCAAAATAACGTATATATTAGAATCATTTTAAATTGAAAAATCTCGATTTTCTTAACACCTTAATTAACACATTAATATTTTTTCTCAAAGATTTTACAAAAACCTACAACTTTTATTGAATATGTCATACCTATTTTTAATACTTTGCGCTTTATTTTAACTTCTCCAATATTTACCCTTATTTGGATCCAAGACTATTGACTCGAAAGAACAGTACGGCAGGTGGACAATATAGCCCGCGAAAACCATGCTCTAAGCTTCCTATAATTTCGGGAAAGTGGTCCGCAGGAGTACGAGTACAAGTGCTAAATAAATGTCTATTATTATTATAGGCGGGTATTTTTCGTAAGTTTATCTTTCGGGTTAGTTGACTAGTTTATGCTAAAATTTGGCATCCTTTTTTACTGTTAATAAATAAAAAGCGATTTTTTTACTTTTCTAGAGGCCACTGGAACAGCTAAGCCAGCAAAATGTGGAAACCGTGATGAGTACTTTGCTCCAACGTATGACAATTAGGACTCATTTGGCAAAACAAATGCAAGATCTCGGTAGGTCTTTGCCATTTGCTTCGCGGTTATTTTACAGCCTATGATAATTTTTAGAACATAACATACTACCCAATGTACCAGCGACTATAGAATTTCCAGCGAATACAGTGGCGGCTGTATCAAAATGGAAATCTATAATGTATCAAGACTATTGTAAATTTGAATTTGTAAAACACTTTGTTGAAGAAGAGCTGGTGACCGCTTCGGACTTGTTTTACTCGGTTAACATCGTCAGAGGCGGAGGTAGGCAAGTGTACTATATTTTGATTCAGTATTACATATTTTGTTCCAGCCAATCTGCAGGCTCTGATAGCGATTAAAAACGGTTATCCGACACAGCCGCCGATATTCGGTCTGAGTCTGAATTACAACGGCGTCCAGCATTCGGCAAATTCCGACGAAATAAGGGTAAATTCACTAAAATCTGTTTGAATCATATTAACATCACCCTTTATTTTAGGATTTGGAGAGGGTTCTGAATGTAAATTCAGAACATGGTTCCCAAAGTGTCCCATGGTTATTGGCCCTTCAACTTACAAATCTCTGTTCCTATATGGACGTTTATTTGGAATCAATAGACCCGTCTAATTTTCCAAGCAGTACGAAATTCATAAGGGCCATCTGCGGACGCAACAGAAGGAGACCTCTGAAGTTTAGAAGAATCGGAACTGGTCTTTTCACGCAGTATTAAGGTAGTCACTCCAAATAAAGCATTTAAAAAGATACCTCGTCTTTTATTACAAAACGACAAAAATAATCTTCACTTGGCTTCGAAAGAAATAGACTTACAATCTAAAGTCTTTAAGTCCAACAATGCTGCTTGGAGAGTTTCGTTAAACCGGGGCAGGGCAAGCAGACACACTTTTTGACCGTCGTTCCCTAAAATTTCAATATATAGTACAATGTTGCAAAATTTTAATTTCAAAGTATGTCACAATATTACAACATATTTGACCTAGATCGTAGATTTAAAAAACTTGTATTTATCATATTATCGATTTGTAACAATTTATTCTGAATTAAAATTAGAATATAAAAAAAAAATCATACCGGGCGAACGTGGAAGAGATCCAAAATATAGTTTTTGGCTACTATAGAAAGTATTTTACTAATTTTAATAAATTGTCCTGAAAACACATAGGATACAGATTATAAAATTCTGTCTGCAATTAACTTATCTGCTGAATAATAGTTTACTGTTAGGGATTAATCTGATAATTATGGTTCTTAGTTTTTAATTGATTAATTGAATTAAAATTAATACCAGGCAAACTTAAGAGTTATCTAAATTATAATTTTTAGCTTCTTTATAAAATATCTTAATTGCTTGAATTCTTGTTATAAACATCAATACTAATAAAGTTTGTTATTCCTACAATGGGCCCTTAAGCAGCTTCCTTCCGAGGGAAGCCAACCAAGCTCAAAAAAAGAGACAAAGGAATTCAATAAAGGGAGAAAACAAAGTAAAGAGAACTACAAAGAGAGAAGAGATAAGATAGATACTTTGTTACTAACATTAGAGAATGATCACCCAAATAAATGTCCAGATACAATATCATATATTTACGTTTCACTTGTTTTTTAAATGACTTAATGGATATAGTAAAATCATTTATTTTGTATTTATTAAATGTAAAAGCTATATGATAGGAAAAACTCTTTTATATGCTTAGGTGCAGTTAATTTATGTTTTGAACATCTTGGACGATATGTCAGTGTTTCATCAAGATATTGTGGTCACTGTAATTCAATTAATTAATTGTATCTTAATTATCTAGAGACGTTCTGCATGGGGAATATGTCGCTGAATCATAGAAAGTCATCCTAATCTACAATATTTCAGAACTTTGTCTACCCTTTTGAGCAAAATTAAAATGTAATAAAATCAAAGTTTTAAATAAAACAGACTTAGACGCTTAAGACACTTAATGAGATTATAATAATTTCAGCATTGAGAATGGCTTCTTTAGACGTGAAGTAATGTATTCTTTAGATTTTAAGTATCCATCAATGATAAGACTGAATTTTTTTTAAAGGTTTTAAGTGAGATGATGTTAAATACTATTAGTACAGAACATCATGACAATGTTTAGAAGGTTACTAAATCAGAACTTAACAGGTTATTATCAGTATTAACTTGAGGGAGGGGGAGATATAAATCTGAGTATCCTATATACTGAAGACAATTCACTAAATTAAAACTGTATATACAGACCCATTAATTCTTAAATTATATAAAATACATCAAATTTGAACCAACCTTTACACATTCTGTAAGAGAATTTATCTTGGTTGCCCGAAAAAAACACATGGGGACAATCTACAATAATGAATGGGTCTTTGTCATAATATGGAAAACATCCTAAGGTATCTGGAGCTGTGGGAGCTATGTGATTCCATTTTAGACAATTTTCCATCACTTCTAGAGGATCAATAATCTCCGAAAACCTCATGATATCCCTAACAGGTTGTCCAGAGGTACCCAATATTTTTACACCAGCAATTTCACATAAATATGGATTGGAAACCTGGTTGCAAGTTAAGTATGCAGAAGCTTTTGGAAACATGCAATGGTGCATAGGTTTTTGTGGCAAAACGTGATTTGAAGGATCATACTGCCCAGGCATTATATCCACTTCCACTAATTGACACAGTTGCATAAGAAATTGATCGAATGATTTGACAGCATCCATAGAGTCGGGTGACTGGGAGATCCTAGAGACCATGGATATGCTAGGTTTGATCTTCTCGGCTTCTGTTCTGACGCTATTACCTGCTATTATGATTCTACATAATTTTGAAACGGAGTCTATGTCTCCCAACATTCCAGTTAGCCAGTAATACAATAGCTGCAGGTTGGGAATAATATTTCCGTGATTAAAAAAATCTAATCCGCTAAGAAAAAGAACAAAAATAGATTCGGAGATAAGAGGCCTTCCTATTTGTTCTCTATAGCCGGCAAAGATATGATCTTCAACCTCAAATTTTCCTTTACCTACATCCCTACCCAAAAGAGCGCAGGTGATTCCCGTGATAAGTTTTTTATCATTAATGTTTCCCACAATGTGATAACGCTGCACTTCATCCTCCATGTACAGAATATCAGATTCATCGGTAAAATGAGCCAAAATAGGTTGAGGATCTAAATTATTAGCTTCTGCCAGTTGCTTCAAGACTGACGGTTTCAATTTCTGATCTTTGAACAAAGTTCCTATAACGACGCATTTTTCGTAATTTTCTTCCGTCAATTTGTGTAATTTACATATGGGATAATGATCATTCCATTTGCTAGAAATTCTTTTCAGTAATAGCGGTTCAAACTCTTTTAATCTTGCGAGGTAAATGCTACAGTACTGCCTATTATAATCAACCGGTTGTTCAGTAAATTGTTGAGAACAGTTTTTATACTCCGCAGACAATCTCTCTGCTATCATTATAATATTTACGTTTACACGCTAAAACAAACAATTTGTAGGTTGGCAAGTCAAAATTTTCGCGGTACTCTTCTTTTCTCTTTATTAATAAATCACTAAAATCACACGGCCGGTTTCAATTTATTCTAAATTTTGAAGCAAAAAAGAATAGGAAACTATCACAGATTACTGTGACACAATGCCAACACTAACCAAACTGGAACCGAGTGGTAAGTGTTATTTGAAATAAATATTTTTAAAAAATCATGAATTGAAAATTTTTAAAAAATTAGAAGATAATTTTCCTCGATGCCGACGGAAAATTCTGACGTGGAACAAATAATTTTGGCGACAGCGGGGTACGATCACACGATTAAACTATGGCAAACGCATACAGGGATCTGCCATCGAACGTTGCAGCACGCGGAATCACAGGTGAATGCTTTAGAAATAACCCCCGATAAAAAAATATTGGCCGCCGCGAGTTACCAGCACATCTACATGTACGATTTGCAAACGAGCAACCCAAACGCAATCGTCAACTATGAGGGCACTTCCAAGAATGTTACGTGCATAGGGTTTCAGGAGGATGGTAAATGGATGTTCTCGGGCGGGGAGGACTGCAGTGCGCGTATTTGGGATTTGAGACTGGGAACCATTCAATGCCCGAAAATGTTTAAAAGTCAGTCCGCCATAAACTGTGCCGTGCTACATCCTAATCAGGTGGAATTGTTCGTAGGGGACCAAAACGGAATAATATATCGTTGGGACTTACGAACTGATCAACACGAGCAATTTATGCCTGAAAATGACGCTTTGATTCTAAGCATTGATATATCACCCGATATGTCACAAATGGCTTGCGTGAACAACAAAGGTAGGGCTTACATATGGAATATAGGATCGACGAACGTCGACAGTCCCACCATGTTGAAACCGAAACATAAATTTTATGCCCACAAACGCTACGCTTTGAAATGCAAATATTCTCCAGACTCGAGTTTTTTGATTACTACATCTGCGGACCAGTCTGCGCGAATATGGGACACTGTTGGTTTTGACTTGAGTCAAGAATTAAAAGGAGATAATCAAAGATGGGTGTGGGACGCCGCATGGAGCACAGACGGTCAATACGTGTTTACAGCTTCATCTGACAATATTGCCAAATTGTGGAATGTTAAAGCTGGGACTGTGGAGAAAGAATATGCCGGTCACCAGAAAGCCATAACGGCAATGGCGTTCAGAGACGCAGCTATATAAAACTCAAGACTGTAAATTCATGTATAAAGTATGTTTGTCTCATAATTGTAATATATAATTTAAATTTGCTGGCTATAATTACAAACTATTTTTTCCTCATTTATCTTTCTTCTATGTATAGGTAGGGTATGTTTGTTTCATAATTTTATAAGGTTAAGGGCATAAAAGTTGCCACCTTTTCACTCTAATATATTTTTTATGAAAGTAAACAAAAAAATAATCCTTTAAGAAAAAAAATTAATATATAATTTAAATTTGCTGACAGGAAATACAAACTACTTCTTTTTCTCATCCTTCTTGACATCTTTGTCTTTCTCCTTGTCCTTATCTTTGTCTTTGTTCTCTTTTGCGTCTTTCTTTTCTTCTTTCTTGCCCTCCTCTGCATCTCTGTTTGTCAATTTATTGTTTATTAAGTTGTGCAATGCCACAATAGACCTAACCAAAGCCGCTAGGTAAACCACCAACATTTGGTCATTATTTTTTATATAAAATGCCTTATTAAAATGAACTTGGTTAATATCTGGCAGAAGATTAAATATGTCTTGCAGTTGGTAAATTATTTGGTGATTTATAGGCAGCTTTCCATCGCCTACTTGAATCAGGTAGTCTCTTACATCTCTAAGTTGTGAGTGAAGACCTCTTAAGCCTAGCAATTGGTTTGTAATCCTTTGAGACAGTGTACCAACTGTTGTATCCTTAATGTCCCTTAACAAGTGTTCAACTCCGACCTCCTCAGCCTCTTCCGCTCCAATTTCACTGAGAACATGCTCAAACGTTTTGGAAGTAGGTGATCCATCATCATGTACTTCCTCAACAGCTTGGTATGCTTCCGTGGGAAGACCCAGATCTTTTGGTTTGGCATCAATAATAACCAATACCGAATTTGGGCAGTACCTTCGAACCAGTTCATTAATGGCGATATCGTTAGGATGCAATTTGGGTCCAGTGTGATACCAGCCAACCACTCTCTCTCTAGCATTGACTTTTTTGAACATGCTGTACATGTTCTCCAAATAGTCGTGATCTAGGAACCACACGGATTTGTCTTTGTCGTCTTCGTCGAACGGAACCGCGAAGCTATTGGAGACGTCCAACACGCCCTTGGCCTTCCAACATCCTAGCAACACGCCGACCACTCGTTTTTGGTTTCCGATTTTACCCATGCGATTGAAATGATCGACCACACTTAACAAAACCAATGGGTGAACCACGACTTTGCTCGTCGTTATTTCTTGGCAGGGCATTTTCGATTGCTTCGACTAAACTTGTTTTCGAAATTTTTGCATGTAATGTTTGCCCAAAAATATTCACAATATTGTCAACCACAGAAGAAGCGCTTGGCATAGCAGTGAACAAAGCTCGCAAATTTATTACGGATGGTACCTTCGTGCGTCCTTTGGTTAGTTAGGGTTAATTAGGATTGGTTAATTTTGGTTTTGATTTGCCTGCCAAACATAGGTGTCGGTGATTACTTACTGATTTCACTTTGGGAACAATATTCACCGTCTGACTGAGCATTGGTTACCAAAGATGAAATAATGGAAAATTCCGTATTTGTTCTCTTTCCTTTAAAACGTCCCCAGACCAACTAGTGTTTGTTTAGAAAAAAAAACTGAAATCAAAAACTTGCTCTGTGCTTTGGTTCGTTCCGGTACTTCTTTAGGGGTTGGAACTTCAATTAATTCTGTAGATTTGGATCCTTTAATCATTTCAATGAATACTACAAAAGTTTAGTTCGTTTAATTCACTTGTTTTATTCTGGTTTCTTTAAGAGATGTAGACACTAAAATAGTAGTTTTTTTGAGTTTTTTTAACCATACTTTAATTTCTTCGTTTTTATCTGGTGCTGTTAGAACATTTTGTTCATGCAATCAAATTTTATATTTCTAGTGACTGATCTTTCAAAACATTTACAAAATATTGCGAGCACGAAATACCCACCTCTATTCCAAATGCGCATGCGTATGCTGCGATTGACGTTTGGCACAAGGTCTGCTTGTCTTGTCTTTTTGTCAAGAACTTTGGGAGGGTGAAGAGCGTTCGCATAAATTTAAAATAAAATAAAATGTCTGAAACGCTGCAATTGAAAGGCACCCTTTTGGGTCATAACGGATGGGTTACGCAAATCGCCACCAATCCTAAATACCCAGACATGATTTTGTCGTCTTCCAGAGGTAAGATTTGCACGTGACGGCTATGGCGCATAAAATTGAAATCCGAAAATTTCTCACGAGTCCATGTCCATCGCATTTAAAAAACGATCGCGTTTTGTTAGTTAATAGGGGCACATTTCGATTCCGACGTTATTTTTCACAGATAAAACTTTGATTGTATGGAAGCTCACGCGGGAAGACAGCCAATACGGCGTGCCCCAAAAACGCTTGTACGGCCACTCACATTTTATTTCGGACGTGGTGCTTTCCAGCGATGGCAACTACGCGCTGTCAGGTTCGTGGGATAAAACATTGCGTTTGTGGGATTTGGCAGCCGGCAAAACCACCAGGCGATTCGAAGATCACACCAAGGTTTGACCGATCATGTTGATTTAAAATTAGCGTAGTCTTAATTAATCGCCTCTCTCGAAACAGCTAGAAGATTTTTTGTTTTTTTATTTATTGTCTGCTGCATCGACTGAAGATTAGGTCAGCGACGGCGGGTAATAGTAAGTATGTTGAGTCTCGCTTAAATTTTACCTTCCTTAAAAGCACCAGTTTGGTGTTTAAGTATCCATTCGGGTTGTTGCAAGGAAGGAGATTAAATAAAGTTCCTGGGTGCGGAGGAAACCTTTTCGTGGTTTTAATCTCCTCAATCTGAAACTGGACAAATTTTAACTGTCGCCTTCTTATTAATATTTGCTGAGGTTACCGTGTTTTTTTTTGTTTTGGTGTAGGATGTGTTGAGTGTAGCGTTCTCAGTGGATAACCGTCAAATCGTATCTGGATCGAGGGACAAGACAATTAAGCTGTGGAACACTTTGGCCGAATGTAAATATACAATTCAAGACGATGGCCACACCGACTGGGTAAGTCTAGGTAAATTTTAGATGCGGCTGGACAGGAGGAATTTCTTTTAGCCCAAATCAGTTATATATTTCAAAAACCGCCTTGAGAAACATTTGCACACAAGACTAAAAATTTTCATTTGCATCATTTTCAGTTTCCGGTCTATAATCAAATCAAATAAATAAATCAAAACTAACCAAATTTATTTAATAGTGGGTCCAACCGTTTATGGACCAAAACACTTCGATAACGTGAAATATCAAAACATGCAGACAAAAAATGTACGGATCAGAATTTTTTTTAGAAAAAAATGCAACACCAAGATAAACATATGTTCAGTACAGGGATATCAAACACATTTTCTTTGTGGGAAATACTGTATAAAGATTTTTTTCTGCTTGATAATAAAAAAATTAGAAACACCCACGGCAAATCAGTTTTTATGTGACCTTTTTTGAAGCACGGAAAATGGAAATTGTATATTTTCTGAAAAAAAAAATTGTAAGTCTTAAGGCTTATAAAAGACAAAAATACAATCCCTAATTATGTAAATGATTTCGGCTAAATGAAAATTGAACCGCTGGGGTTTCTCTTGTGCCCAGGTTTTTGGGAGAAGCAGTCAGTTTTGCGCCTTAATGTGTAGCTTGAAAGAATTTCTTCCAGTGTTCTAAGGTTTGTTCAATTTCTTCGAATTTTTCTTATTTAAATGTACAGTACATTTAAAAAACTAATCAAGAACTTTTTTTCTCCACTTTTTCTACTTCATTTCATAGTGATAATCTCCCGCATGGCAAATCTTTTAAAAATCCCTCTTTGCTTGGACGATATGGACCATTATTATAGTCTCTTCTCTTTCCCTGAAAGACTTTTCTTCTTTCTACATTTTCCCCACCATATTATCTTCATTAATCCACATCTCATGGAGGTAATAGATTTTCTTGGCTCGGATGCTGCTTTTATACTTCTCAAGTATTTCCGTTGCCAGCAATCATTTTCATCACTTTCTAGTACAACTGCTTTACAGTTACGCCATAAAAGTTTTCTAGCTACATTAAAGCTTGCGTTAGTCTGGGTACTTCCTTTCTAAAAAAAGACGTTTCTTCGAATGAGACTTTTGGTGTCTATACACCGACGATTATTTCCGAAATCGAAATTGAACGGTAATGAACGCAATTTCATATTTTACTACTTTATACTTTTGCGAAACGGCCTATAATGTGCGGTAGGAGACATCGCGACATGCCGAGAACTTTAGTGTAGTAGAATTTTCGATCCTTCCCAGTTGATAGGGGTTTTTAGAGTTTCAATCTCACAACCCCCGGTAGAGGGAAGGAAAGGGGACCGAATGCGAGCATTCTGCGTCTTCGGCGACCTTCAATGTCGTGCGTCGACCGCTCGAGTTGGAACATTTTTCTCGTATATTTTGTTTTAACGTCTATTGTCTTCGCATTTGAGTAAGCTGCCGACGGCAATAGGACACCTGAGCTGCCTAGAAATTATGCCATTTACTTCTGGTAGCTCAGCTGACCTAGAAATTATTGGGTATTCCCGAACATGATCATGACTTTTTACATTGTCGTTTATTTGAAAATGGTTATACGAAGGTCAAAAAGAATAGATTTTCTACTTTTCTAAGCTGGGGAATGCAAAAACTGTCGTTAGATCCAAATTTTACGATAATTTAATCTTTTCATCTCTTAGCTAACTTTTCAGTTTATCTACAGTAAGAACAATCTGATTTTGATTAATTGAATATATTTTCATTCCTTTCATATTTCTTTCGCTATTGTCCAGATGGTAAGATTTAAAATTACTACGCATCAAGGATGGACTTTTAAGATACTTTAAAACTTTAAAGATTAAGTATATTGTTTTTTAGGTATATCTTCATAATAGTCCTAAATAGAGTCCTTAGTCTTCACAAACAACCTTTGTCAGTTTTCGCCGAAATCAATCCATACTGTATCGTTCCATCTAGGTAAATTATATACATCCGGTATTAATCCCATTTTAGAAATATCTATCTGCAGGGTGGTACCGCTGATTCTTATTCTTCTAGATTCCGTTTTAGTTCTAATTTTAGTTTTAGACAAGGTTGTATACTCGTTATTCAACGCTGCCGCAGATATTAGCCGACACGTAGTTGACATCCCTGTTTTGTCCCTTACCTATGAATGAATTATTTGTTGAGTTTACCCAGTAACAATCGTAATGAAAGCCTTAATTACTTTTTGGGGGATAGTCCGTGAAAAGCCAAGACGATATACTTCGAGATAGAGTATATAGATCGCCCCAGCGACGTTTATACAAGGTGGTCGCGTCTCGTTTTGCAGGTGTCTTGCGTGCGTTTCTCGCCGAACCACGCGAACCCTATCATTGTGTCAGCGGGCTGGGATCGTATGGTGAAAGTGTGGAACCTTACCAACTGTCGTCTGAAGATCAACCATTCGGGTCACACCGGTTACCTGAATACGGTGACGGTATCGCCCGACGGTAGCCTGTGCGCCAGCGGCGGCAAGGACTGCAAGGCGATGCTTTGGGATTTGAACGACGGCAAACACCTGCACACTCTCGACCACAACGACATCATCACCGCGTTGTGCTTCTCGCCTAACAGGTGAGAGCGACCTCTATTTGATAACGATCAACTGATAGGCGGTGAAAGTTGCTACAACTATCGCTTTTCGTTTTCTCCAGTTCTTTCTGCGACTGGAGCTTCTAAAGGGCCTAAAGTCGTATTTTTATCGTAAACTCAGAAGTCCTAAAAAAGGCTCTCTTAGTGAGACAGAAGTTCTTCCACTGAACCATATGCGCTGTTGCATTTTTTTTAGCTTCTGTCTTATTGCTAGGAAGTAATAAAATCTAAAGTTTCTATGACAGAGATCAAAAAGTTTTTTTAAGACCCACGAATCCTTGCTACATTTGGGTCATACTAATTTACCAGTATCGGAATAAAAGATACCAATATACCGAGAGTTACTTAGTTATTAATTATTCCAAACTCAAGTAAATGAATAATATGAAAATAGATCAATTGTAAATATTTGCATTTAAAAAAATATATTTACAATACAACTTCATTTGTAATTTTTAATCATGTTCCCAGTAGTCAGGTGAAGTATAGTCGTTGGAGTCCAGGGAAATAATTGGCTCTAGAATGTTTTTTTTTTCTGATTTTCTTGAGTTGTATAGCAGACCAAGCAGGAATAGGATCTAGAATTTGCAATTTTCGAGAATGAACTTTTCTATAATTGTCGGAAAGTAACTATAATTCTAATTTTAAACACTACTAAAGGTAGGTATTCAATAAATACTGCGCCAATGACTGCTAACGCTACTAAGGTTAACATAATGATTTATAACATATAAGTTGATAATAAGTTGTATAACAGACCAAGCAGGAATAGGATCTAGATCTAGCATTTGCATTTTTCGAGAATGAACTTTCCTATAATTGTCGGAAAGTAACTATAATTCTAATTTTAAACACTACTAAAGGTAGGTATTCAATAAATACTACGCCAATGACTGCTAACGCTACTAAGGTTAACATAATGATTTATAACTCGCATTAAGAAACTTTTTTTTTTCATTTGTTAATAATTTGTTTTCATTTTAATGAATAAAAACTTCCATGAACTACTACGCGCCAAGTGAGGCTTTATATAAAAAGGTTTCCTTTCGTAAAAGTTTTGACAAATAAAACCTATACGAGTGCAAAGTAATTTAGGTGTTGATTTATAACTTACTCGAATCCTTCACTACAATGTAGGAAATAAGGGTACAATGACATCAAAAAGTCAAAACTGGAAAAAATCGGCCTTAATCTCAAATCCTAGGTAAGTGACGGAAATTAAAAATTAATAGGACCACTGATAAATTTTACGTCAAATATAGAGATATGTTTTTGTGTGCTAGAATAGATACCGTCATAGCGGTAACTGTTTTGAGGTCTGCAGTATGATCATAAAATCAATCTATTTTTTATAAAAGAAAATTTATATAAAAAAAAAATGATGACACTCATTTAACCCCTTGACCGACGATGAAAGGTTAGCGGATATGGGACTGATTTATACATTTTCTTTCGCAAATCGCCTTCGAACGAATTTTTTTTCTGCGACTGAAGCGTTTGGTCAATAGGTACTGGCTCTGCGCAGCGTACGGCCCGTCCATTAAGATTTGGGATTTGGAGAGCAAGGAAATGGTAGAGGAATTGGAGCCCAAAGTAGTGAGCCAGTCACAGGGTAGCAAGGCGGAGCCGCCCCAGTGCTTATCCCTGGCGTGGTCCACCGACGGGCAGACACTATTCGCAGGGTACTCCGACAACACGATAAGGGTGTGGCAAGTCAGCGTATCCGCCCATTAATTTTAATCAATATGACTTGTACATGTTACGAACTTTTTAATAAAAAAGTTTAAACTTAGGTTACGTTTTTGTACATAGTTTTTGTAATTTTGCGTTAATAAACTGTAAGTATTTATTTTTAATTGGGTTGAGTAATTTCTAAAGAATGGATTTGTGGATGTCTCACCAGTGGATGTGATATTTGCGACATGACATTCAATTTCGAAATTTAGATGGAAAATGGTTTTGAACCGGGAAAAATAGATCTGTAAAGTTCTGTACTTTTCCATACAAAGATTGTTGATTTGTTCTGTAATTGAAATTTGTCTTGTCCGAAATTTTAGAATATAAGTATCGAGGCTAGAGTTGTGTCAATCGCGATTGATTCGGTCACTATGATTCAATCACTTCATAGCATCGAACGACCGATTCCCGCTTGTTCATAACGATTCGATCACCTTGTTCGCTCTCGCTGCCGGCTTGACCGGTCTGAAGTGACCGAATAGCGATCGACCGACCGCACCAAAACAGACAGGCCACGGAAAAGGAATGGGAATATTATAATTCTATAGTATTGAGTTGCGACATCGGTTGGTAGATTAGCTTACGTGTTGAATGAAATATGTATTTCCACACAGGTATTTAATTTAAACAAATTAATGTATTGCTGGTACAACCCAATACTTAGCACCTATTTTGATAAAATCATAATTAAATAAAAAGCAGAACACAGCTAAATATTATACTAACTAGAACAGAAAACATAACATATAGACAACAATACTACCGGTCCTTTTCGAAATCGGTCACTGATTGATTAGATTATCGTAAAATAAACGATTGACACAACACTAATCGGGGCTAAACACGTAATAAACAAAAAATAAGTGCCTCCGTGACTTGTCACTGATCGTGCCAACAAATGGGCGACTGTTCATAATATAGGTGCCTAACGCTGCGTCAAATGAAATAAAGCTTTCTCTGGAATTACGTTATTTTTCAATCAACTTTCTGTGATATTAAATAACATTGGAGAAAGGCGACTTCAGCAAAACTAACCTTGATATTCCGCGCCGTTTAATGTTCCGTGAGATGTAGTTGACTTTTTTCCGAGTTTTTCAATGCACGGATATTTTTTTAAATAACGTTCTATTTTTGAATTGTCGACCCGTTTCGATCGGTCCACCGGAAGATTGAGATATCCGTTCATTGTTTTCCGCGACAATAATGAGGTAAGCACTCGCATAATACGGTTTTCTCGGGATTGTACATTCTAACCTGAAGTCACACTTTTAAAATTTTCTTTATTATTTTTTTTTTGAGTAATAAAGGTGCGGACTAATTGTTGCGATTTTTCGCTGTTATGTAAACGCCGAAGTGATATCATTTTTATTTATGTTCTAATTCACCTTCGACGCGCTAATTGATATAGGTATTTTTTTATTAGAGCTGTGACGAAATCGTTGACGATAGCCCTGGGTCTGTCGGTCTTCACCGTTACCGGATACTTACTGTATTTGTTGTTAAAAAAAGAGGAAGATGACCTATCGGACGTCTACGTTCACACCTCAAAATTTAAGACCCTTGAAATGCGTGTGCCGAAAGATGTTGTTCGAAGTCTGATCGGACGTAACGGAAGCAATATCAAACTATTACAGGAACAGTCGAGCACGAGGATCGGGTTTAAGGATAGAGAAGGTGTAGATGAAAAAATCTGCGTTATAAGAGGTTCAGTAGAAAACTGCTATCTCGCCCAGAATTTGATACAAGAATTTATTAATAACCAACCCGTGTTGGAGAACGAAGATATTTCGGTGCCCGTCGGTTGTATAAGGAAAATTATCGGTCGAAACGGTGATAAAATTAATGAAATTAGGGGTTTGTCAGGTGCAAAGCTTACTGTCTGTGAGGATGATAAAGGATTAACTTCAAAAAGAATTTCTATAAAAGGTATTTAACCTCTCAATTGTATTATTTGTTTTTGATTGGGTTTTCTAGGCACCAGAAACCAAATAAATGTAGCTAGATCATTGGTGGAGGATGTGATTCTAGAATGTCAGCATTCCCAGCGGATTATAGAGGACAGCCTGTCAAAGAGAGAGCCGAGGTGTCCCTCAAAATCTCCTGAAATAGTGAAAAGGATTGAGGTTCCCAAAGTCGAAAGCATGTCTCCTGTGCCAGGTAGGCTTTCTATTTCATGTATTTGCTAAAATTGGTGTATTCAATTTATTGTGGCGTAACAGCGTAAGTGGTTTGTCATTTTTTTTTAACTTGGATAAGGATGTTTCCTAAGGATTTGTGAGTTTTGGTTTTATCTAAAATCTTTGACTGACTTGATTCGAGTAACCATAACCTTGACATTTTTACATGACCGAAGTATTCTTTTGCAGTCGGGTTGTACTTGGCAACATTTTATATTATACCTGTTTTTTTCTCTGGACCAACTTACAAACCAAAATTGTGCCAAATAATGTTAATAGACTCCAGCGGGGTCGCGCCAGTCAAAAGGGTGATAAAATTAATGAAATTAGGGGTTTGTCAGGTGCAAAGCTTACTGTCTGTGAGGATGATAAAGGATTAACTTAAATTTATCGAATAGTAGAATTTTGAAATTTCAAAGGTCAACCTGAAACCCCGTTCGAAGTGTACGTATCCGCGATGGAGGACCCTTCGCGGTTTTGGTTGCAGATCGTTGGCCCCAAAGCGACCAAACTCGACTGTTTGGTTGAGGAAATGACCGAATACTATAACAACGTGGACAACCGAAGTCAACACTCCTTGGACGATATTAATAAAGGGGATCTGGTGGCCGCGGTCTTTCAATACGACAGCAAATGGTGAGCCATGCGTCTTATTTATTATTAAAAAGTAGCGTAAAACTATTCAAAATACTCTTTTTAAATCTTCATAAAAGGGGCTCAAAAATAATCAGCACCTATAAATTTTAATATTAAATGTGTATTATACATGTACAGTGGTGGAAAAAGTACAGAAACTTTTCATAATATTTATAAGTCGAAGTAAGTTTTTTAATGTATGTACATTAGGAGACGCCAGTGATGTACTTTTTTGACAAATGTAAAGGAATTTTTGTTATATATTTTTTGCGATAAGGATTTGGTGGTCGGAAATAAGTATGGAAACTTTATAATTTGTGTACTAAATTATTCAGTCTTCATCTACAGTGAAAATATCGCGTGAAAATAGTTATTTTTCATGCTCACTCGCTTTTACTTTACTACTTCCCGTTTACATTGTTATGGAGTGCAGGTCGTAACTGTTACAAATTTTCTGTAGACCTCCTCTTCCATGTAAAATCGTCTTAACACGTTGTTTGGCATGGATTTTTCAATATTTCGCTCGTAAAGTTGTTATTGTTAAGTTGACTCTTCCATGATTGTTTTTCACGTGTGAACTCCAATCAGTGAAAGGAAGCGCTTTGGGTAAAACTATTTGATGTTTCGTCTCCTATGGAAGAAGTCACCGTCCTTCTAGCGGTAACATTTCTTGTTCATCGTGAAAAGGATTCGAGGTTGCTTTACTTTAATCTAATAATTTTCGATCTCTTGCATTTCCGTAATCATCAGTAACTTTTCTTTATGAATCGAAACATGTAACATGTAAACCTCAAACTGTTCTCTAAGTCATTGCACTTTTGGAAATCAAAAATGGTGTTGTGAAGATCGTTTGCGGTGTCAGAGTCATTTTGAGGCCATTCATCGTCATTTTTAAGCAACCACGTAGGTCCACATTGCCATGTTTGGCAATTCGTAAAAGTTTTAGTTAGTTTTCGTCTTCACTCCTCTTGTCATAATGTGTCATCCATCCGTCCATATGCGCCGATGCATCAAATACACAACGAACTTTAGATGTTTCGTTGTCATTACTGTATAAAAGTTTGTGTGACATTTAATTACTTTTGTCACTCTTAGTTGATTTTCGTACTATTTCTGCACAATTGTTGTTGCCGAATTTTGTGTTCACCTATAATCTGTAGATTGAGCTGCCGTGAAACGCATTGTTTAATAATAAATGTTACTTGGCTGCCTCCATCGGTCACTGTTCTTACAACAGCGTCACTTTTGTTGCCAGCAAATTTTTTGTTCAATAAAATTCGTGCATTAGTAGTTTGTAAGGTAATTCTACCTAATTTTCCATCTTTAAACAAATTTGTTGAATGATAAACGTCGTTATCTTGTTTTTCTCGATTAGTTTTTTGTTTTGAGTAGTCCGGGTAGCACATAGAACTGTAGTTAGGTGTGGTAACAAGTTATGTTACAATTCATTTAAGAATGTTCTTTGAAGTTACAATAGAGACATTGTTCATTTACCGATGTTAATAAGGCAGCAGCTTTTTTGTACTTTTATTTTATGTATATTTATTCCATTCGCGATTTTCTGAGGCTTTTTCATATTAAAATGCGCGCTTCTAATTTTATAAAGGACCAAAGCGTTTCAATTTGATTCTCAAATGGCACACTTTTCATTTGAAATACCACGTGCAGGGGTGACATTGCACATCACCGATGAGGGGCAATGATATATTCCAATATTAGTGACAGGTAAAAACTTGAGTCGCGGTTAAGATTGTTAAGTTGCTTATAAATTTCTATAGATTTTTCGTTATTAGAAGAAATTGATTACATGCAAGAATTTTAGTTTTAGCAAATAAAATGTCATGTCCGGTTTCGTGGTTGTGTTCGGCAACTGCTGATAAGTTTATTTGTCTTAGTGTTAAGGCTTTTTTATTTTATTTTTTATCTATTCTTTTCCGCATATGCATGGAATGCTATAAACTCCTGGGATCTCAAATTGAATTTTCTCTTTGATTGATCGAAGATGGTAAGAGATTTTTGGACAAGTGGTAATTCTGATTTTGACGTTATGTTTCTTAAGAAGTTTTAATATGTGATCAGTGAAGTTTTACATGGCGACAATGGCAAGTGTGGTAGAGAGAAGAGCAGAGATAAGGTGGTTCAGTGACGCGGGCCGAGATAGTTTTACCGCTCTATAAACATCGGATATCGGATGATTTTTGGGCCGAATGGTGATGTGACAACGCATTAACGTATCGGTCGGTGTGCGTAGGTTTTTGTAAATACGATAACCCAATGTTAGGTTTCATTTTTAATTGATAAGAGTATCTAAAAATGGAAGGTTATTGGTTTCTATTTCAATGGTATGTTAGGGTGCGTAGAGTTTAAATGTCGAGGCCAAATAACAAAACTATCTCTCTTCTCAAAGGCTTCCATAAATATATTCTCGCATGACTGGTGATAATGGAGAACCCATAGCTGTTCCCAACGGTTCTCCATTATCACCAGTCATCGCGAGTGTATTTGTGGAAGCCTTTGGCAAGAAAGTTCTCGACACCTTCCGCATAAAACAAAGATTATGGAAACGCTACGTCGATGATACATTTGTTATTTGGCCTCATGGTCAAGAATTCCTAGTAGATTTTCTTAGACATTTAAAGTCTATACATTCTTCGACCGGCGGGTTTCGGCACCAAAATATAGATTATCGTTAGTTAGATGTTCGTTAAAGCAAACCCCGAGTAAGTAGAAATCATTCTTTAAACTATTAACTACATGATAAAACATAGTAAGGTTAAAATGTCGCGATGTATCGTGGCGTACTGCTAGTTCTCTTCCCTTTCGCCGCTTGATCCATCGCCGCGGCACGTTAGATGTTTTCTCGTTCTGGGACAAGGCTGATTCCCTAAAGTACCGGGACCGATTTCAATACAAAGAGATATTGGAAAATACAATACAATACATGCGATGGCGATTTTAAGAAGACGATGATCCGTCCAAATTAGTAAAAGAATGGTTTGGAGAGAAAAACAGAACTGTACTTCGCAGGTATTTAGGATGTTTTGGGACACCTTACTTGAATGTATTCCAGTGTTAAAAATCAATAGGAACTCTTTAGTATCATTGAATTAGAGTGGTCGCAAATTCCTGCAGAAACTACAAAAATTGATTGATTTTATTTTTTGAAGAATCATATTTTTGTAAAATATTTTTCCATACTTATTTCTAGCTTTTATGTGAAATTTCTTTAAAATTGAAAAATATGTATTTCATCACAAGGACTTTCTGTAAAAGGGTTAAATACCGTTTTAAATAACATTTATACTTATATAAACGGCGTCATGGTTTGAAGGAACAGATATGCTCATTAAATTTTTCCTAGTTTTTCTCTACTGCACATTAAAAGTTATGAGGAAAAACGACCATTTGACGCGTTAAAGAAAATATTAAAAAAGGACGTTCATATAACAAAAATTGGTCAGCAATAATCGTTCCCTTTCAGGTATCGAGCGGAAATTTTAGATGTTAAGTACAAGGGCGAAGAAAAAATGGCCGAACTCTACTACGTAGATTACGGCGATACAGATAACGTGCCCTGTAAAGACTTATTCGAGCTGAGGACTGACTTCCTTAGGTTGCATTTCCAGGCGATTGAGTGTTATTTAGCTCGAATAGGTGAGTTGACATAATGCCTGGAGCGTCTGACTACCCCTACTGCCTATTTAAACTGTACTTTAGATGGCGCGAACATCGTGACTCACTCAAACGATTCAAGTTTTAAGCCACTCTGTTTTGCGTTGTGTTTGGTTTTTGTTATGACTCCTAAGTTTAAATTTTCGGAAAACTGATATATTTGAAGATCACTTCTGTAACGGTTTCTTTTAGATCTCCACATAGTCCCTGGTACTGTGAAGCCTTGTTTCGTGCGGCAAGTCGTTTGGTGCCCCTTCTTTGAACACTTTCGAAAGCCTTAGTAGTGTAATATAGACTCCATATATGCCCGTTCTGTTTTATAATCAGCTCCCCGGTAGGATTTCAAATGCTTTTGATATTAGGAAAATTGTGTTTTTTCCTTTTTAATATCGCTGTTGATAAATGTCCCATAATTCCGTTTCTTAATGTCAGAGTTATAAATCATTATCAAACCGTCCAACTTAGTGGTCTTTCATGTTCGTAGTATTGTAGCTATGACGATTGCTAAAGATCCCGATTTAGTAAAACTGCGCTTCCTAAAAATGAGACAATTATTATTCTCAATGCATTCAAAGATCTTTGCCACCAAAACTCTACATTTGAAGTTGCAAGAAACAAATGAGGATGGAAAGAAATACATACCTACTTTGGACAATATAATATCTGAAATGAAAAGTATGATTTCATTCCACGAGTAAGAAAAAATTGTAGAAATGAATTTTGGTTATGAGGAAACTCGAAACAGAAAGTTGTAATAGAGAAAAACAAAATTATCTGCTGGTGACTGTTGAGAGCAGTTAGACAATTTCGAAAGGATATATACCTGTTATCTGGACGACATTTGGGTAAATGAATGTATCGTTGGTAAATATATTTAAAAAGCGCGAAGCAAGTTTTCATGGAAGGATGGTCTACTGGAATAAAGGCACTCTCAGGAAAAGATTAATAATTACTCAGATTGGTGGCAAAAATGGATTTGTCGGTGGTAGCTTACTACTACCACTTCAATGAAAACAGACTGGACACTATGAATACATGAATGCTGATGTTTTTTTTAAAGACTGCTTAAGACAAATGCCCTAGATCTTATTCCTCTTATACCACCCATAAAAATACTTGAAAAAATGACACTATTCATGGGCTTACTTTAAATAGGACGCAATTCCAGAAAAATGTGCTACTGAAAATTGTAAACTTTAATAAACCTCAATGTACGAAATTTGTTGTCGATGAAATCGCCTTCGAACGAAATAAACGGTGAATTAAACCCAATAGAATTGGTTTTAGCCCAAATAAAAGGGTTTGTATAGCTTATCCTAATAAATTACCTGTAGTAAACTCGACTTTCTATTGTATACAAATTAGTGGGATCCTAATTTAAGAAAGATTCAAAGTGTGTAATTCTTAAAAACGGAAATACGGAATTTATCGGAAACTATCCTTGCATTTTATCTGAACTTTACCATATAACCTTTAAGTTGTGCACCCGCTTTAATGATTCAAATTGAAAATTTACATTTTATTACACTCTTGCATTAAGAAACAGTATAAATGATTTTATTCCCCTACTTACTTACATCTAGCGGCCGAATAGTTGTCAATCGAGGGTGACTTAGGTCGTAAAAATGTGGTCCCTTAGCTACGTAAATTTACCGGAAGATCGTGGATTACGGAGATGACGGGAATCAAATGCCCATCTCTAATGGACGCTGCTAGCAATCTTATAGATTATCGATTTTATCGAAATATTTTTGGTGGTGGGGGGAGATTTCAGACGCCGTAATCGTAGCCTAAAAGCAATAGCGCCGGTTGGGCTCAACCTAATTGTCTTTAAAGAGCCGGTGGGCGAGTCGTGGTCCGAGGAGGCGATCGATCAGTTCGAGGAATGGACGCACGTGGCGCAGTGGAAGAAACTGTCGGCCAGGATCAATGGTTACAGCGTCAAGGAGAAGATGAGGGCTAAACGGGAAGGCTCGCCGATCCCTGGCGTCGACCTTTTCAACGTGTCCGACAATCAGGACGTGGATATCGCGGAGGAGTTGGTCAAGGCGGGTCACGCGGTATTCAAAAAGGGTTCCGACTTAAGATCCGCGAGCAGGACGACCAGCACGAGTAATATCAGCGTCGCTTCAAGTACTTAATGGATGCTGTAATGTGTTTTACAATCCTGGAAACCGTTGTGATCCGATACCTGATATCTTTAGAGCCTATAGATGATTTAATGTACAAAGTTTTAAGCCGCGATAAGATTGAAGCGTTTGATATTCTTGGGCAGAATAAACTTTAATATTGAGAAATAGGGGTTTCCGAAAACTCAAAACTTACCAAGCGAGTTCGCGGTTGTTTTAAAAGCAAACGCCACCACCTGATTACACGTCCCGTATAATATATGTTGATATCGGCGTATAGATTCCTTGTTCTCTACAATTTTGTAATTTTGCATAACAGAGAAACGCGCACCACAGTTAATTTCATTAAAATTAATAAATATTTATTTTGCTATTTATTAGTATTGTTTATTTTAGAGTTGTTTTTTTTAAATAAATTGAAAAATTTTTGACGAGACGCGAGATTTTAGTGTTTTTACTGGAGAATTAAAATTTTGCCATATTGTTTGGCGCATTTACCTGTAAGTTGATGAAAACAGTTCCAGGTAGCTTATGCAGTCAAATTTTTGAGGTTAATTACTTTACTATCACTTCAACTGCTAAAGTTCAGTCGGCTTTAAATATTAAAAAGCTATGATCCCAAACAGGATATTTATTAGTGTCTGTCCTAGCTAGGTACCAGCGTGAATATGAGAAATCCAGAAACCGATCAATGCCCAATTCAAATCCACAGACGTCAGCATGAAACAATTAACCGATGTGCTAATCAATATTTTAAAACGAACAAATTTTTAACTTTACTAAAACGTACCAGTCGCTACCTGTCCGTTTTTTAGGTTACGCAAGCATATACCTATTGCATAATATAGTGGCCCTACTACGGTAAAAACTGTCGCGTCGCAGGTGGCATTGATATTTTCGTAAAGCAAGCAGCGATTTTCTGCGCATGCCTCTACATTTTACTCACTAATCTGCACGTAATACCATTTTCTTTCTAAACAGCGAATTCTACACGCTTAACTTGTTTTCTCGGAACATTTAACGATTCCTAGGTATATTTTGAGAAAATGTTGCCGCAAATTGCCGCATACAAACTTAATTGATTGGTACTTTCGTAGAGAAGACAGCGATTTTCCCCGCATGCCTCTACATTTCATTCCCTAACCTGCACGTTGTATCATTTTCTTTCTAAACAGCGAATCCCGCACACTTAACTTGTTTTCTCTGGACATTTGACGCGATCTAGGCATATTTTGAGAAATTGCTGCCATAAAAATCCCGTATGCAAACTTATTGACGATCTTGCAGCGGCCATGTTGGTTATTGGGTTGGTTTGATTCAGAACAATATTTCAAACCTGGCCCATGCGCATGCTGGATGGACCTTCTCAATTTATTTTTTTTGATAGTTGCTTTATCGGCATAGGCAGGCATAGTAGGTATATGGAACCAACACACCAGACAATCCGACAATGTACAAAATTTTTTTTTAATTTAATTTGTGCCAACGCATAGTGATTCTTCTTCATCAATTCGTAACGTTGGGCACATTTACTAGAGATACTCGCCCGTTGCTAACTATATACGAGAAGGGCGCTGTCCAAATTCTGAGGGTCTGCACGTATATTGCCTATGTCTCTTTTTTGCTATAACCCATTTTACCTTGTCCCAAAAGCAAAAAAGAAGAAAATACCGTAATCAAATACATTGAGTTTAGTTTTGATTAGTTTTGTGATTTTTTAGTGGCGCATTGCACGCGGCGGTTAAACCTCCGTTCGCTCCCTTCAGAATCCCTTGTATTCGTCCCCAAAAGCTTGATATCGGTTTCCACTGTGGATTTAGTGTTTTGTGTGTTCAGTGTATGTTTAAAGTGATAATCGTCGTCGGCCCCGTCGTTGTTCCCTGTTCACACCGGTATGGAGGTCGGATGGGACCGGGTGGTCCGCGGTGGAAGCGAGGGTGATGCCATTTTTTTTTATATCGGTCAAAATCGTTTTTTGTTAGCTGAGCAAATTTTGGGGATATTTCTTCTTTATACATGTTGGTCATTGTCCAAAAGCGAAAATCCTCGACAGAAGTCGGCAAATGATCCTAGCAGTCTCGCCTAACAGTGTTTGAGAGACGCATAATTGTACTTGTATTGAGTTTAGTCTGTGCATCATGACGAAACCTGAAGAATATATGTCATTTATCTTTTACGTATTCGTAGGCATGTAAATAATATGAAATATATTTTTTACAAATTCTTTTCGTTAGTATTGGTTAGTTGTGGTTTTTATATACCTACTAAAGACAGAAATCGGTAATTTACTGATTTATGATTTTACTTCGACAGCCAAGTTGACCCGTTGATTCGTCGTGAGTATTTATCTATGCCCTTGATAGTATAAGAAGAATGGTGGAAGCAGGAAACAAGCAAGATTTATTTGAATGTAAATATTTTGTCAACAAAATTAAGTAATATGTTGTCCATTCAACAATATGAAAGCAGCGATGAAGAGAAAGATCATTCGTCGCAATATTCTTCGCCAGTGGTAAATCCAGAATTCTCCGTTAAAAGTCAGCTTCAAATATGCGCGGCACCAATAGTGCTTCCGTCAGCTATCGACGAAGATAAAATCCACATTCATCCGGATGCACAAGAACTATCGTACAATCCAAAATATGAAGAATTGTTTGCCCCAGTCGTTGGCCCCACAAATCCAAATAAAACTCAGCAACAATCTGTTGAAAGAAATATGCTCTCTGGTTATGTTGAACCAGCTCATTTAAGCGATTTTCAGTTTGAGAATCAACGTAGAACTTTTGCTAGTTTTGGGTATGCCCTAGATCCTTCAGTAAGTACAGATTCTGAAGGTGTCAAGGTAGTAGGAAGTACAGAGGAAGCAAACAATACAAATATCAAGACAGTTTTTGAGAATACCAAATTAAGACCTCTAGATAAAAGAAAACGTAGGAAAAACGATGACCCTAGTGACATTGAAGGGTTTTTAGGACCGTGGGGTGGATTTGTTAATGAAGAGAGGGTAGCTAAACCTACGGAAGAAGAACAGGCCGAGCTCGATGAGCTTGTTTCAAAGAAATCCAAAAGAGGCAAAGTTGTTGAAGAAAAAACGTTTGAGGAAAAATCTGTGCTACACATTAAAGATCCTGTGGATTATCAAGGGCGATCCTTTTTACATGCGCCACAAGATGTGGGAGTTAATTTGCGTTCCGATACACCACCAGACAAGTGTTTCTTGCCCAAAGCTCATATTCACACATGGACGGGGCACACTAAAGGTGTGGCAGCTATTAGGTGGTTCCCAAAAACTGCACATTTGTTTCTGTCGGCTAGTCTGGATTGCAGGATAAAATTATGGGAAGTGTACAATGAGAGAAGATGTGTTAGGACTTACTATGGCCATAGACAAGCTGTACGGGATATCAACTTTAACAATTCAGGAAAGCATTTCTTGTCAGCTGGATATGATAGGTATTATATTTATGTTTTTTAAATTTTGATTTATTTAATTTAATTAATTTTTACTTGAGTTTAACATTTATTTCCAATAAATGCCATATGGGCACTTTCTAACTAAACTCAATTAATCCAACAAAAACAAAACTTAATGGGCTGAGTTAGACATTGCCTTATCAAATAGAACTTGTATATCAAATACCTTGGATTTTTTGTTAAGAAGTTAATGTCACTCTCCCACTTCAAATGTGTATCAATATAGTTACTGGTAGTTTTCAGTTTATGCTTTTCAAATTTGTTTATATTATTATTTGTTTTTCATGATTAAAATGATTTTTTGCGGAATGTGTCTTAGCAGTAGCTGACGTTTTCGTGATTTGCAGATATATCAAGCTGTGGGATACTGAAACTGGGCAAGTTATATCTCGCTTTACTAGCCGAAAAATCCCTTACTGCGTTAAGTTTAACCCCGACCGAAACAAACAGCACCTTTTCGTGGCTGGCACATCTGACAAAAAGATAATCTGTTGGGATACACGGTCCGGGGATATCGTTCAGGAATACGACAGACATCTGGGAGCAGTCAACACTGTCACTTTTGTAGATGATAACAGGAGATTTGTTACTACATCAGATGATAAATCATTGAGGGTCTGGGAGTGGGACATTCCCGTGGATATGAAGTATATCGCCGATCCGACAATGCACAGCATGCCTGCCGTAACCCCAGCACCCAATGGTAAGTGGAATGTGCAAATGTAAAGATTTTTGAATTTGAAAAAATGTTTTTCATCACGCATCAGTTTCCTGTTGTACCAATTCAGTGACATGAAAAAATAAATGAGAATTCGTTAATTGCAGGTAAATGGCTGGCATGTCAAAGCATGGACAATAAAGTGGTAATCTTTTCTGCCATGAATCGATTTAAAATTAACAGAAATAAAACATTTTCTGGTCACATGGTTGCCGGATACGCTTGCCAGTTGGATTTTTCTCCAGACATGAGCTACTTGGTGTCCGGAGATGCCGACGGAAAGTGTTACATATGGGATTGGAAAACGACAAAATTGTACAAGAAGTGGAAGGCTCACGAAAACGTGTGTATCAGCGTTTTATGGCATCCCCATGAACCCAGCAAGTTAATGACCGCCGGTTGGGATGGCCTGATCAAATATTGGGACTAAATTGAATCGATTATTTAAGAAGTGTTTGTATATACATAAAGTTGTAAAATATTATATGTGTCAAAGTATTTTATTAAAAAAATCCCATATATACTGAGCGTTCACGATATCGCACTAAGCATACTTATTATTGATTTTATTGCATAATTAACACTGTTTAGAAGGTCAGTTTTGTCAAAAAAAAATAGAAACATGACATGACAAACAGTACAGACGCTGAGCGGAGACAATGTTTAAGGCTACCACATACAACAAAAAGCACTCGTGAAATACCCAAGAGATAATAGCATTTTCATTGAAGGACGTACTACGTCACAAATTTTCCCTACCGGTTAGGCTTCATGTATCGAACGTAGCGTTTATTAGAAGTAGTAATCGTGTAATGTTTACTCTTTATCGCTGCTGAATATACGGATGCCCTGCCTAATGCTCATTTTGAGAATGTCCATTCAACCTGCGCACGCCCGATATTTAAAATTATTTTTTTAACCAGCGACACCCGTACTTGCAAATTCAGGGTTTCCACATATAAGACCTTGGCCATTCAGCAGCCATGTTGGCTCAGATCATCAATAAGGTTGGACGTGGCATTTTTACGGCAGTATTTTCTCCAAATTTGTCCAGATCCTATGAAATATTGAATATTGATATTGAATACAATACTCTAGTTTTGTGACAAAGCATTGAAAGCAGAAATTATACAAGTTTTTAAGTGACAGTCCTATATAAACTTTAAATCTTCAAAATTAACTGGTACATAAGGCAACACTTTACCTGTGTATAGGCACATTATTTTCCTGACAGTTTTCAATGCAAACACAACAGTGGATTGGCCAAATAATAAGCGGATAGCATTTGTGCAGGGTGAGTCAAAGATAGAGTAAAGTTCATTTTATCTCATTGGTTTCAAAAGTAATGAGATAATGATAAACACAAAAGTGATAAGGATACATATGTTTAGTCTTTTAAGAGTCACAACTTAAAATTATTTTAAGGTATAAATGGTGGCTCAAACAAGCGTGACGAATAAAACATACTTTTTTTTAAATGGAATCCCCAATTCTTTAATTTTGTGGAACCCCAGACAATGACGTTTTTATCATTGTAATTTATACTCCGCGACCTGCCATCCAAATATGATTTAGATATATTTAGGGCTGAATCGTCAAATCGATAGTATTTAAGTTTAGCTGAGATTAATTTATCAATAGTGTTAAACGCCTTGGAAAAACCTAATAAAATGATTGCCGTAACTTCACCTCTGTCTGGGTCTCAACCATGTCACTTACGTCTGTGGTAGGACGGTTGTTGTGCTATATCCCCTCCTAAACCCACATTGAGAATCCGGTAAAATTCTATTCACGATCATGTATTCATCAATTTGCTTGTATTATTTTTTTTCCAAAATTAAAAAAATTGCCATAAGGATAACATGCAGATGCTGATCAGAAAATTAGTTAGGTTTTTTAAGCAGAGGCTTGTCAACAGCAACACGCCACATTTGCGGAAAATAATTCAAAAAATTCAAAACAATTCAATAATAGGGCTACAATTTTTTTGAATTTGGGTAGAAATTTCGTCTACGCCGTAAGAATTTGAACGAAAATAATTAGGCAAAATACAATCTACTTCTTCAGGGTTAGATATAGTAAAACTAAAGTAATAAAAAATTGCAAATATAATAGAATACACAGAATAGATCCAGAGAAAAATAAAACCAGTATTTCAGAAATATTTTGAAAAAGAAATAGTCCTATAAGCACATAACCAATAAAAACGTCATAACTTATTTTGATGATTTGATAGAATTGATAGAAATCAAAGAAATGTCCAAGACCAAATAATTTAGTATATGCCACAATATACTGAAGAGGAAAATATCAAATAGAAATAAAACCCTTAAAATAAATCAATATATTTCAAGTATTTCAAATATTACACAATGGGTTATGGGTTGACTAGATACATGAAATATAGGTCCTTTGGTAACACTAAGTTATAAAATGAACGTTTAAAAATATTGCAAGTCAATTACATAATGACAATTTTACATACGAAAACGATGGGCAATAATTTTCGTTATAATTACCGCTTTCTTTTAAATGTCGAATATGCATGCTTTATTTAGCTATTGCGAATATATCTCAAATCACAGCCCTGGAAGGTCATTCTCAACAGATTTTTCATATGTTCCTCCGACATCTCGTATCCGTCAGCGTAACTCAGACATCTCAAGTACTCGACGTACGCGTACTGACCATTAATTGTACTTTCATTGCAGTACGTTTCGGCTTTCCGCTTATCCAAACATTTTGAATTTCTGGCATAGTTTTCAGCGATGGGAGCTTCATCGTCATCCGGAACCATTTCTAGATGCTGTCAACTGTTTCGCTTTGACATTAACGGGACGATAATATCAGAGGCGTATCGATTATTTATAAACAAAGATTACTATCTCGGTAAATTGCACGTGCCGCCTGAACAGCGACCGTTCTTTTCGAAATCGGTTAGAAAACTGACGGGGATTATATTTTTAGCATCTAAGGGCAATATGGCACTACCACGCATTGTTAATTATGAACAGGCATAAATATCGTCCCAAAGAGGATGGAGTAGGGGTTATTTTAATCGTCCCTTCGTTTATTTTTGGGGTGAGCGCGTGTGGAACATGTCTGGGTCGGTTCAGCGGAGATTTTAAACAATAGCAATTTTACAGCTGCGGCACGGAACAGAATTTTACGGAGTGTGAATTTATCGTATAACTATGAGATAATAGGTAGAGTTCACCAAACGATATACCGTTTTTACAGCCTTTTATAGTCTTGACTTCGAAAATGAATTTAAGATTCGCCTGTTGTAATGCAGAAGGGACTATCCTTTTCAGCACGTGTGTCACAAGCCAGTGCTTTATTTAAGATGTAAGCCGAGAAGAACTGCCCAGATAGCACGCAATATCCTAAGTATATCCGGTCATATCGTATCTTATTGCTTAGTTTTTGAATACAAAAATAAAATCCACTTTCTCTTCATGTTTTTTGAGCAGTTAAATTTAGGCATATAAAACTAAACTAATTTTTTATTTAAGTAAGCACTTTTAGAGAAAATTTCCCAGAACAAAATTATATTTCTAGTTAGTATATTTTTTCTTAAAAAGGACGCAAGAATCACCCCCCAAAAACAAAGTATTAATTTTAGGAATCACCATTCATAAAGTACAATTCGCACATTAAAATGGTTGTTGGGTTAATTCATGAACACGTTTTTCTATTTTTTATGGCTTGTTTTCATGGTGATAGTAGGTACCGCCACGTGCAAAAAAAAACTAGAAAAATTTTTAGGTTGACAAAAAATTTTGCATGAACCTAGGCCTTTAGTGTCAAACCGAAAAGTCATATTTGTTGCAGTTTTTGTTGCACGCGATAGTAGCTATTCTCATGAAAGAGATCTTGCCGATGAGAGTTTAATGGAATGAAATACATAAATGTATACCTATATCATCGAGGAGATTAGCTTGAACTGAGGTGGCTTTTACTTGATGAAAAACCATTTATCAAAATAAATAAGAACTAAAAGTTCAGATTTTCACGAAATTATATATTTTTACATGACAATTGTTTCGTCAACACCGTGTCTATAATATTTTGTGGAGCATCTAACATCACTGTCAAATCAAGCCTTTACTTAGATGCTCCACAAAATAAATAAGAACTAAAAGTTCTGATTTTCACGAAATTATATATTTTTACATGACAATTGTTTCGACAACACCGTGTCTTTATAAAGATCACTGTCATGAGAGTACTATCAGCGTCAAATCAAGCCTTTACTTAAAAGGTGGATGCAGGGATTTTTTAAATCTGTTTTTTAAACGTATAAAATCTCAGTCTCGTTCTTTTTATTTTTTTAAATAAAATACAGATATATAAAACCTTCTTTCCCAAAACTAAAATATGTTCAGAAGCGGATAAGAAGGCACACATCAAAAGAATGTGAGAATTCAAGAGCTGCTTGGCTGAAAAGGGCTACTTTCATCAAAGAGTGACAGAAAACCTGTCAAATATTAGTTATTCTTTTAGGTTTAGTTCAAGATATAGTATCTTACTGTATTTTTAAGATACTTTAGGTTAGGTTGTTCTATATTTTTGCTATATTATATACCTACAATTTTTTCATATCTACAATAGAAAAAAATCAGATGTGTATAAAATGTGTTTTATTAATGGTACCAATCGGCAGTCCTTCATTTTTACCATCAAAAGCAATATTAAAGGTTAAATATTAATTGGAAAAAACTTGCGCATTTCAAATATCGCCTGCTATTCCAGTGCTGACTTCACCAACCTTACCCAATTCCATCACAAGCGAGTACCAAATACCGGGATAGAATTTTTGTAGCCGTACAATGAACTGGAGTACTGGACATTAACTTTCCCGTATTTCTCATAGGCTGTTGGAAATAACCTTAATAATTAAATAAGGTCCACTGGCATATCCATATAAGATCCTATATCCTCACAGTCGGATATAATAACGACGTCTCAACTAGTATAACTGGATATCCTTAGTATGTCTTAACAAACATTCCAATTAGTAACATCGTATATCCTTGAGACGTCTTATGGATGTCCATTAGCTGAAACAGATATACTGGGATATACCCTATGTCCCGTCAGATATCCCGAGGACGTTTTACGGACTTCCTTGTGCTATGTGGGTGTGCCGTGAGGACTGTTTTATTTTAAGAGAAGGTAAATTTTCTTTGATCAAACTGTGAGATTAATTCATATTAGTGTGCTTTTATAAATCTTCCTAAATTAAACGTCCGAGATAACTAAAACACCGTGACATAGTTGTGAATGGTGTCCAAGAAAGAAAAACACGGAAAGATCGTGGGGTCCCAAAAAGTCTACTTAAAAAGAATATTGTTTTAACAATTAAAACTTTACATGAAAGGTTGCGTAGTGTTTTGAACATTGATTATTGCCAAGAGACTTTGCGTTCGTTCGTAGGAAGAATTGGTTTCTATTACAAAACCATTAATAAGAGACAAATTTTGACGGAATCAAGAAGAATTTCGGAGTAGAGGACGAGATATTTGAGAGAAATCCAAGAAATTCTTGCTAAAAATGTCAACATCATATATTTAGACGAGACCTGCTTTATTAGCCCCGATATCGTCAAAAAAAGATGGACTGATGGTAACGGCAGGAAATGTTCGTTGGATGTGCCAGTTTCGCAGGGCAATTGAATTATCATACTGCATGCAGGCTCTGAAGCTGGTTGGGTAGATAACGCTTTGTTGCTTTCTGCAAAAGATGTCAAAAAAGCAAACGTTGACTACTACGAACACATGACAGCAGACATCTTTGACAAATGGTTTTCAGAAAAGTTGTTTCCCAATAGTCTACCAAACAGTGTTGTCGTGATGGACAAACCAGCTGCACAAGCGGAAAAAATATCGAATTCATCATCGACTGAAAATGATAGGAATTTTGAAAATTCATACACAAAGAAACAGTTATTGGAAGTTCTTAAGATGGGAACATTTGATAAGAAGTACAATTTTATTTTAATCATTTTAATCTAATAGAACTGATATGATCACAGCTGAAATGAAATTAGTGTGGGGGGCGAGTCCAGTGATGATAGTGATTATTTTGTTGTAGAATAACTTTTTTTTATATAAATATTCTAACATTATTTCATAGCTAAATTTACTCCTTCATTTATATTTATAATAAACATTTTAAAGTAAGAATGGATTTTTCACTGCATGGACTAATAATAATCGAGAAATCTCACCGATGAAACTCTACACAAATCTGTCAGCTTTCAGCATTTGTATGTACAAAGTACAGAAGGACGGTTCTGTAACGTCATTGCGTAGAACGTCAAACGAGGTAGGCCTCATAAAAATTTACCAAAATTAAATACCGGATTATGTCGTAAAACAGTATATCGTTTGGAGAACTTTACATTTTCCAACCAGAAGTAATTCCAAGAATTTTGGAACATGAGGATAATAAATTAAACAGTCGTGGAATGTGTTTTTTTGGTGTATTAAAAATTTAATCTATTCCAAGCTAACATATAGTTTGCCTTATTTATGAGAAATACGTTAAACCAATTATATCTAAAAACACAAAAAAGATCTTTAATCAAATAATACGAAAGTATTGATTGACTTATATAAAAATTATAGAGACAAAGTCGGCCCAATGAAGTTGAGAAACTTTAAAGCCATTGCAGTCTGATAACAAAAGAAAGTTCGGCGAATATAAACGCCCGAATTTCTGAAAAAAAAACATGGATAATGGGTAGAAAGTGCTGTACTCAGTAAGCGCAGATATGCGAGACACATCATATTCCCAGAGATATACAGACCAATAAATAAAACAATCGAACAAAACAATGTGTATGAAAAAGTTGCACTAGAAAGTTCAGCAGTACGTAACAAAGTGGAGGAGAAAAAAATGTGTAAAAAATTGTTTTGCAATAAATTTGATAACACAATGAAGATAGAGTTGCCTACTCAGAAACGCGGTTAAATTTCCTATGTCAAGCACACGAAAAAGTTATTGCTTTACTACGCAAACCAAATGAAATTGAAAAACAGAGAAATGAAATCTTACGAACCAGAAATAACTTTGCTTAATTAACTTCCTGTTTGAAATTCCTAAATTTGGATTGTTTATTTTGTGCTTATACCTATGCACATTAACCTGCAATTTGCTCCATTTTCTTTTCAAAACGTAGATTTTTACACTCTTAACGCTTTCCCAGTGGGCATATTTTGAAAAAATACTGTGATAAAAATGCCACACCTAAAATGAAGCCTGTCGAATTGACGAACTGTAAGCGGCTATGTTAGTTGTTAGTCTTATTGGTTGATTTGAAGTTACAGGTTTTATTGGTTAGGAAGAATTAAATGGTCCTTTTCGACTTTTTTTGTTCTATTCCTTAGTTACCTAATTATATACCGTTCAGCGTGCGGAAAGTGTCATTTTTGCACGTCAATTTGGCTTTCCACGGATCCGAGCCACGTCGGATGTTTTCGGAGATATTACCGCATGGCTTGAATTTTGTCGATTTGTCGATTCTGACGGTTATGTCTGTGAATGTATTTGTGTTTTTTTGCAAAAACGTACCAAAAACTAACGGTCTTAGAAAAAGTATACGTGAACTTGGTGAATTTTTTAAGTCACTCGTTTATTAAACCTACGCTCGTGCCAAATAAACTTGTGACCCAATTGCCGTTTACTACACTTGTTGCAACATACTATTTTATCGCCGCTATATGAAATTTTTTGGGAAGCCACATATGATTATCTACATCGGTTTAAAGTCGCCCAAATAGATGTGTATGTATGGTAATTATCTAATGAAATTTCGTATTACCTGATAAGGAACTTAAGGTGTGCGAAAAGAAATAAACATATTTGCATAACTTTTTTTTATTGTACGAGGCCTATAGTTATGTGCACTAAAGTACAAAAAAATGACTAGAACATGGTAAAGAAAATGATTGTAAAATGACTAGATCGACTTTTAAGACACTACCTACATTATATATCTAAGATTGAGATAATTTCTAATTAACTAAAAGCATTTTTGGGGACTCTCGTTTTAGGTAAAATTCGTTGGGGTGTTTTTTTGATACAAGACGCTTACAGTACTGCCCACGTTTTGGGCCTGCTAACTTATTGCTGCTTGTTTCGTCACTGTTCTATGACATAAACAAATGCCACTTTCCCCCCTTTTTAACGGTATTTTTTTTTACCTTATAACACGATTTTTCAAAATATTTTCCGAAAATGCAAAACAAAAATGAAACGTCTAATAGCAAAAAGAAAACTTAAACCTAAAATATTCGAGGTGGATGAAAAATTACTGTTTTAGATGGAACCAAACTTATTTAGTCGCCGTTTCCGGACAATTTCTCAGTGAGGGCTTTAACTATGGGATGATCGGACGGCAACCCTTGCGTCGAAAGAAACCTCAACGTTTCGACAACGCAAGCGGCGTAGCCTGCTGCTTCGGGGTCGTGTTGGATCTCCGATTCATCCTGCATCTCGGCCTGGAGCTCGCAGATCTTCTGAAGACAGAGCTTCAACATTTCGGTCACGTGGTCTTGGTTGCGGCCCTGAAATCAGTTGAAACTTTTCGGTTTGTTAGTCAAAGAAATAATATTATTATGACCAGGAGAGGAAGTACGAGAATTGATATAGTTAATATAGTTAATTTATTTTGATTTTGATTTTTTATTTTAATTTTATTTGAAAACGCTTATTGAAAAAATCCCACTAATCCACCTAACTAAATTAGCATTTGAGAAATTTGAGAGAAACGTAACAATCGATAATCAGATATCAGATATATGTTACCAACCAGATTTTTGTTAAAAAAAGTGCCTTTCAAACGAGAGCAAATTTATTGACTGTTGATAAAATAGTTTACACTCTTAATAATAAATAACCCAAAAAGCACAAAATTAACTTTAGTCAACCTATACGATTTTAGGTACCGACTACGTTTTTCGGAAAACAGTTTTTCAGTGTACTTAATTTTTTATTAAAAAGAAAAAATTCAATAATGAACAATCGTCATAAAATACAACGGTTAATGATAAATGTGTATAATTTTATCTCCATACCTATTAAATCCATTAACCTTGAATGGATTTTTTTAGGACGAAACTAATGTAAATTTAGCTGCTATTTTAAATTTCCAGCTTGCATGCGAATTTGTTGTTGTTGTAAACTTAGGAACAAATAGCTACACAATAGACAACAGAACTTTAGTTGTTATGGAATCCAAGTAGGCAATGGCGACTTTTCTTACCCAATATTATAAATATATTTTTTGTGTTTAGTTAGCACCAAAAAATCTCCCAAAAATAAATAAAATACGGACGAAAGGACCGTTGTCACATATTGTCAAGACATTTTTCAACTCTTCCTTTACAAAGTCACAATACTTTTGAAGAATATTAAACATTAAATATATATATATATATATATATATATATATATATATATATATATATATATATATATATATATATATATATATATATATATATATATATATATATATATATGATGACACTATATTCCGGGATATCATCCGTTCGCTTGTTGAACTCCGACTAGAATCCTGCAGACGTTTCGCCAAAATCTCACTTGGCATCTTCAATGCTCGTGCTCCGAAAACAGTGTTCGAAGTGTTTTCGGAGCGCGTCACATTTTTCCATCCGTGAATCAATACGTGAGAATATATATATATATATATATATATATATATATATATATATATATATATATATATATATATATATATATATATATATATATATATATATATATATATATATATATATATATATATATATATATGTATATATATATATATGACGACAATATATTCCGGGATATCATCCGGTCGTTTGTTGAAACGATTATAATTTACAGTGTACAAATATAAAAATTATGATCTTCATTATAATAAAAATAATAATTACGAAAAACTCATCTAATAATAAGGAGTAGTTTTTTATATAAACATTGGATCAAAAACCAAGCATAATAAAGATGTCGTGCTAAAAATGTGCAGAAAAATTGATGTTTTTATTTTAAAAACGAAAATAGATAGAACCAATATAACGAATATAAAACCGCATCTTCTGCACTTTTTTTTAATGAGTGGAGGGGGTTGAATTATAATAAAATAATGCTTCTGAACTAAATTTGAGGAAAACTTATGGAAATGTATAAAAAAATATATTTTTTTTATTTTATGTTTTATTTAGAAACTTTTGTCTCCTCCAATGTTTTCATAATACTTACTGTTTCTAAATAAAATCTAAAACAATGCATAACGGGAAAGTTACTTGGAGTTTCTTCAAGGCAATCGGAGATGAGCATGAACTGTATGGAGGATATTAAAAGAACAATGGTTATAGCCACACCACGTACAGAGGGTTCATTCGCCGAGCGACAAAGTTACTTAGTTACCATGGAAGCCATAATGAAGAAACATATCAAAGTAATGTTCATGTTTTTAATAGTACACTATGCAACAAGTGTGGTAAACGATATTTGAGCCACAATATTATTTGGCACCAACGGCGCGAGTGTTTAATAAACGAGCGACTTAAAAAGTTTGCCAATAACGGAATATAGACATCAATTTCACTTTGTCGTTTAAGATTAACATTTAAGATTAACTGCTGAGCCCTATTTTCGTTTTCTAAGGGAGGAAGTAATTACGTCCCTTGCTAGAAAATGTCCCCTGTTTACACGCATGATGGTGTATTCCAGCACATTTCAGTTTAAATGTGGGACCCATTTTTAAATCGTACATATGAAAATCGCTGCATAGCAAGAGGTGGGCTTTATCGGTGACCGCTTCGATGCCCATATTGAAATTCTTATAATTTTATTTTCGCCATGAGATGTTTTTTTCTTAAATTTAAAATTACGGCGAAAAAAAAAATTCTAATCGAGCCGACTATGGAAATTTATTTTTTCCATTGCATAAGTTTTTGTTTAACATGATAGGGGCAATCTAATTCAATCCCCTCCACTCATTTTAAAAAAATATAAATATATGCGTGTTTTTTATAATAGTAATACTTCCGTAATATTTTTTAGTTCTATATATTTTCGTTTTTAAGATAAAAAATGATTGGCATTTGACCCAACGTTTATATAACAAACTACCTTTTATTATAAACAAGTTTTTCGCATTTGTTTTGAACACCTTGTATATCTAAAAAAAGCAAACCGTGTATAACAATATAGAAACGCAAAAAGTAACTAAATAGTAAAAAGTAAGTAAGTAAAAGGATTAAAGTAAATAACAATAAAAAACGATTAGTTTGGCAGCAAAAATCATTATAAGAGATTTTAAGCCGCTTCATTTCTCGCGTGAAAATTATTTTTCCGCCAGACTAATTTAACAAAAATATCCGTTTTTATTAAATAATAATAATTTAAAGTTAAAACATATAACCGACATCGTATATTAAATTTTCAAGGTGGCCGTCTTAAAATATAACCAGTCACCTTCGGAATTTTGATTCTGGTCAAAGTTTATGTGACGCATCGCGCCAGACTAGCAATTTGAAAATGAAAATTATACGGCAATCGTACAATTTCGTCGACGTCGCGGTATTCTGTGGTTCATGTATTACGGGACACGGCCAACTTGACGTTTTTATGCACGGAAAAATGAATTCGCGATCGTATTGAAATTACTGTGTCCGTTTCTCAGCGTTTCATCGGCAAAATGTTTCTGCCGGCCTGCTTGCCCGTTGCGATTTTTGTTTTAACCGCCGTTACGACATCGATAACGTACGTATTGCAATTTTTGTAGTTGTTCCGACCGCTTGCTTCCTTAAAAAAATTATACGGGGTGTTTCTTAAGTACCAAGCTACCAAAATTCAGACGCTTCGAATGATTTCAAAGCGGATTTTAATTATTATATTCGATTTCAAGATAAAAAATGAAAAGCACACAAAAAGATTTTAAAGCCGCAACTACGATTTTTTTATTATAAAACATTTATCATTAAATAACAGAAGATATGAAGAAAATTAAAGAGACAAGCAATTGTTTAGTTGTTTAATTACAAAAAAAAAACACGAAACATAAGTCAGTGGCGGGCATTTTTTTTTGCCAAAAAATTGGCTAGAGACGACCGGAAACACCATTCCGAAATTAAAACCAAATCGACCATACTATGCACTTGTGTAAAGTTTTTGTCTTGAAGTTACTCAAGAAATAACACATTAAACACCTGGTATGCTATCGATCTCAACGAGTAACCAAGAAATAAAATAACCATAACCACAATAAAATACTTGCTTCCTAATATTCCAAATGTAAAATTTGGTAAATTAATGTCACATAATGCAATTTTACGGAGAATTGCTTAAGAAAATGATATAGGTATACAGAGTCTTTCTAATCAAATTCAAAAAATTACGGGGATTCAAAATATAGCGTAGTACAGAGAGAGATATCGCGCTACAAATATCTCTGAAAAATAATGTTTTTATTACAAAATAGATAGAATAATAAAGTATTAGTATTAATGTAAAATAGTATATTATGCAACAAGTGTGGTAAACGGCATTTGAGTAACGAGTATATTTGACACGAGCGGAGTGACTTAAAAAGTTTACCAATCGTTAGTTTTTTTGTACATTTTTGCAAAACAACACGAATATCTACGAAAACATCCGATTGCTCCCATTGCTCCGGATTCACGGAACAAGAAACTCACGCGGTAAAGTGACACTTTCTGCGCGGTAGATCGGTCTATAATTAGGTATTTTACAGAAGGGCGTAGAAAAACACTTTCTGCACAGCTTTTTTTTTTTAATTTTCCGTAACTAAATTTAAAGAAAAAATGTTTTTCTACTCCCGTTTGTAAAATACCTAATTACCCACCGATCTAGCGTACGGGAAGCGTTACTTTACCACGTCAGTTTCGTTTCCCATGAATCCGAGCCACTTCGGAATTTCCGGGATTTTACCGCACGGATTTGGGAGCAATCGGATGTTTTCGGAGATATTTCCCACGCTTTGAATTTTGACGTTTGTCAATTCTGACGGTCGGTCATGTCAGTGAATGTACTCGTGTCGTTTTGCGAAGATGTACTCAAAAGCTAACGGTCGTAGAAAAAGTATAGTAGGTAACACGTTCGGTAGACTTTTTTACCGCCGTTTACCGCACTTGTTGCATAATATACTATTTTTGCATTTGTTTTGAAACACCCTGTATATCAACTAAACTAAAATATCTTTCGCTATGTATATGCGCACATATACCTATAATGAAAGTCCTTTTTTCAGATTTTATTTATCGGCAATATATACCGATCATGTAAATTACACTTTGCCTTATATAAGCGATACGGGAACATACCCTCCTGAAAGCTGCATATTTGGACAGCTCCTAAATATAATATCCGTTCTTGGTAAGTAGACAAAACGGATAAGCACTGCAGATATCGAACATTACGGGTCGGTGCAGGGCCGGATTCAAGTAGAAATAATCGGGAAGCCTCAAAATATCCGGGATCTCGACAAACATATAACAGTAACAATAAAATTTTTCATTTTTACGAATTTAATGAACAGTTACGGATAAGTTTAGCATTTCCTACCCATGGCAGAATGTAACAGCGGTGTGAATCTATTTTCGCGATTTTACCTTTATTTTGCTTTCATGTCAATGAAAATTAGGCGTATTTGTTAATTTTGTTTTTAATTTTTTTTTCAGTTGTCCGCTGTTGAGTAGACTGCTATTGTACTCGATTAATTAATCGATATACAAAGTTTTTAAATGTTTAACTTTTTTCTTTTACCAAAATCACATGTAAACATGGCAATTTACTTACATGCCTATGGGTAATTAATGTTACGTATTAATGTTATAAGTATAAGTGCCATAATGAGTTTTAATTACGTTAACCGGGCTGATATTAAAAAATGTTTCACTTCTATAAAAACTAATGGTACTGGGTATGACAATCTATCCAAAAAAGTGATTATTATTGCATCAGATCTTATAATTAATCCCCTGACAAACATAATAAATATGTGCATTAAATGCGATCCCACTTCTGAAAATTTTAGTCTTATTCTGCCAGATTACAGCAAATGTTTCAAGATAAGTCCACTAAATTAATCAATTCTTGCACAGAGTGTAATCCTAGGCGAGATATTGGACCCTCTGTTCTGATTTTCCTTCTGTTTTGAAACAAGTCCCTCTTAACAATTACGTTGACGATAACCAACTGCTTTTTACTCTCACTAAAACAGGCACACTATGTCAAAAATCATATAAAATTTATAATGAATTAATTTGATATAGAGTAGTGTGATGTGTGTGAAGTTGACCGGTCAATTTTTTTTGTGTCAATTGACCAGTCACTTAACCGAAACAATTTTAAAAATACAATGAAATATGTCGTCGTTCTGAGAACTAAATAATGATCGATAACACTCTACAATTGCCAGATGTTATTTAAAACATTTTGATCGAATGTGACTAGTGCACACGGCATTTTCATGTAAAGCTCCTAAATTGGCTAACAAATTATCAGTAGGCTTTTTAAACGGCTTATCCTTACGTTATTACAAAAAAAAGTGTTCAAAACATTTATTTTTGTTAATGAGAACGATTAGGATGATATGGCTTCCATAAAGACTGTGAATGTTTCTTGATTGTTTAGATTGATCTCCATGAGCATTTGTTTTTTGTTTTCTTTTTATAAAAAAAGTTATGTTTAAAAGCGCACTTTTATCCTTTTTTTTAATAAAATTGTAAAAATCCTTGCTCGTTGGATAATAACGACACACAACATTAATAATAACACAACAATTTAACAACTTAACTTCAATGTTAATATTACCGCAAAAAAAAAATCGTTTTTCAGTAACCCAAAACAATGTTCTTAACTTTAAACAACTCAGCTAGTCCATAATGATTGAAGTTATATAAAAGTGCCGTTTTTTTTAGTCGGGTTCGTAATGTACATAAAATTCCGTCAAGTGAAGGAAATATTCGAGAAACATCACATCGACGAACAGCTCAACATTAACGAAATAGGCCTCTTTGTCGGCATATTGGCCGCGTTTGGGATAAGCGTGGTAGCCAATTTCCAAGAAACCAATGTCTTCGTCGTGCACTGGATAGGCGCCATACTTACCTTTGGTTGCGGCTCGGTGTATTGTTCCTTGCAGGTAACTCTAATCGAACCCTACTTTTTTTTAAAGCAAAAATTAATTTTCGCAGACGCTTTTGTACATCAAAATCTCGCCCGTAATAGGCCAAAGGAAGTTGACGTTATTCCGGATCATTTTGTCACTGGTTTCGTTCGTAACCTTCTTGGTGTTCACGATAACGGGTTTCATGGCCTACGCCGAATTTAAAGGTAAGCCTTAGAGGAAACGATGGTGGTTATGCAGCCCATATATTTTTTTTATGTCAGACAAGAAACCTAGGACAATGAATAAACGAAAGAACAAATAATTTAATTATTATTTATGTTATTGTTATTTAGTGTTACCGAACAAAATTTATTATTAAGTATTTGTTATTTTGCCTAAAAAAGAAACGCCGAATTTCGATCCTGATGATGTAGGTAAGGTTTATTTTATTTCTAAATATGTTTTAAATGAACTTTTTGCAATTATCGCTGGGCAAAAAACATTATCAACTCTATTAATAATAAAATTAAATGAAATATTGATTGATGGTACATGAATAGTATATCCTACGGTACAAACTCATAATTGTGTACAATTACGACGATAGCGTCAAGAATGTCCTCAAAGAGGAAGTAAAGCAGAAATAGAGATGTTAGGATAACACCTTTCATGTCAAGTATTAAGTAAGCATTAAGTGTGTATTAATTAAAAATTCACTGCTTCTATCAGATATGTGGCTATAAATTACTTTTTCGAGTTAGTTAAACTGAAAATTGGGAAAGTGTCTGAAAAACATACCAAAACTTGGCGCATGCGCACAAAATTGTCAACAATTACAAAGCCTATCCTAACTTATTGGTGCAGTGTTGCCACATAAACGGTCAGTTTTTCATAGCCCGGTAATTTTTTTAGGTGACGATGTGACAAAGTGGACAAAAGAGGACGGTGGATTTGATATCCATCAAATTAGTACCAACACAGAGTGGATATGCGCAGGTTGTACCATGATATACATTCTTTTGCTTGTTCAGGAATTCCGAAAGATCACCGTACGTCCCTTGACGGTGGTTTTGGAACCGCCCACGTTATGCGATGCCCACCCCACTTGATTGGTTTTTACTATACAGGGTGTTATTTAACTAAGTAGCGTAGCATTAAAGAATGATTCCTCTGTTATTTTAAAATTTCGTAAAATGCAACACCTTTGTTTTTACGTATAAAAGGCGTTAAATTCACCATTATTTACTTAATACATTTTTATTGCATTGCTGCAAATATTATTTACAAACAAATAAAACTCTACTTAAAGACTGCATAAATACGTAACAGACTATTTATGTTATCGGTTAGCCATTAATTCACTTTTATCCATTAATTACAATTTACTGTAAGGAAATAATATTTGCCAGGGTCTAAATATTTTTATACGTACCCTATTGGGGTGTTTGATTACTCTTTTATGACCTCCCCTACGTTCCCTGTTATTGTCGCCTCCTCGGTTAATCTTCATCTTTACCGAACTCACTACGAATCTGCACTTCACAAATTTGATTTCGGCAACCAAAAAAACGCCAAAAGTAAAATTAAACCGACGTCATCTTAATTGTGCGATGCTATCGCATCGAACCAGAAGTATTTTGTCGTATTATCGCCTCGAAAATTGAACTTCATTTGACCAAGTTAGGCATGTGCTCCGCTGGTTCGTAACACACATGTGCCAGAGGGCGAATGTACACAGCTGGCAGGAAGAAACGGTCGTGGTTTTCCTATTGGAAAACTCGTTTCGCGTCGCTGGTTAAGGTATTAAAAGATAAATAAGCCTTCATTATGATTCTTATTTGATTCTGTCATATTAATATTCCCAACAAAATAGGTATTTGACTTGTTCATTTACATTTATTTTTTAGTAAATTAAAAATAATAATAATATGGTACATCTCTACATCAAAAATTGGCACTCTCCGATTTGGTTAGATAAAATTTGGGCCTGGTTAATTTTGCCCTATTTAGTATGAAATAGGATAACGAAAATTTGTTGCCGAATGCAGTTTTTGATACGCTAAATCAATCAATATGTTAAGGTAATAACTAATCGTTAAGTGAGGTTAATTTACTTTTGAACAAACCAAACGTACAAAAATTAAATATTTGGTCGTTATTGTTGGCCACGCGTGTACGAAGCCCCGCTGAAAAGATGCGTGCCGAAAGCGGTACACAATCTGGATGGTGCGTCATGGGAATATCGAGATGGGCTTCGGTTAAGCGAGGCCAAATCGGTCGAATGTGCCGCTCCATCGCTGCAATCAATTCGGCAGCTGTTTAACGACAGATGTACTCCACTGCCTCGCGATTGGACCGGTTCAATGGAGGTAATATTGGTAAAACCGAACAGGTGCAAGGTTCACATCATCCGTGTTTTTTAACTAGAGAGCTCGAAAAAAAAATATGGTGGCCCAAGAACTTGGGTCGTACCAACAAAAAATATTACGAAGCCAATAAATAAACAATCTCTAAAAGATCTTTACATGTCAATGGGCGCCATTAACTTATTCTGCCTTCTTGTCAATATCTCCGGAACGTAAAATCGTAATGTTGTCAAAATGGGTCAGAATTTTGCCTTTTAATTGATATTTTTTTTCAAAAATTGATTTTTTTATGAGCGTCAATTTAAATAATTGAAAAATTAATCGATTTTCCGTAATTTTGTAATTAAGAAGAACTATAAAATATAGGGACACCATTTTTTTTGGCCTTAGCCTTAGTAATGGCAGCAATTGTTAAAAGCGATTTGCGACTGTCTTGTGAGCAACGTTTTACCAATTCTGAGTTCTGTTGAACCACGCGCAATAAAGCAGATGCCGGCCGCACGCAAGGTGAGGGAAATCCCTACGCTTTTATCCAAGGTGCTCGTGCCGGGTGTCTCTCGTGGCTCCATCCACCCCAGACCACCCTTACCAGCCGCCACCCTCAGATATAGGACAACTCGTTTGGCCGCTTTTTGATGACCACACTTATAACAAAAAGGGCTAAAAATTCAACCACAAAAACCGACAAAGCAAGCTGTGATATTAATTTTTGATTTGATATTACGAATTGTTAGTCGAAAGTTACTTGTAAATCGCTCAGTTTTAATTTCATAATTTATCAAGGCAATTCGATTCGACAATAAAAGAAAAAATATGAGCCATCACTTGGCTTGAATAAAGAAAAACAAAACCTCCCAGTTATTTTAATTGCGTGGCGAATGATTTAAAGCAAAAATTCGTAGTCACTGACATCACGTCGAAAAACGGATCGTAGTCATTGGTAAAATGTGTCTAAAAACCGCAAACCAATGTCCTCGCTGGTGGTTGTAATAAATAAGGGGCGATATAAGAAAGAAAAAATATTTAAGAATATTTTGGTAATTTCTCAAGGGTTATTAAAAAATATTGTTTTTAATGCCTGTATATATCTTTAAAACAAGCAGCATTTTAGCTTATACCCATCTGGTGTCCACTGTAAAATTAGTCTCAGTATTTCAATATAATAATCACGTTATTTAAACAAACCAGTTACATTATATTTGCCCTTCTCAAAACGAGACTAAGGAAACGATACCGAACGCTGTTCGGAATTTTCGATACTTTGCCCATTTGACACTTTGTGGTGTTCCCCCTTTATAAACTGATATCAGAGGCGTCATCCAAAGTACCATGATCGTTGCAGCTTAGTGGGTAAAATTTAGAGGCATGCGCACAAGATCATACCCATCTCTGCGAAAATATTCCAGCGGTCCGAGGTGCACTAATTTGTAAGTATAAGATTTTGCCATTGTATCCAGAATACTAGCAGTCTGTGCCATTGTTGTTTTCATTTTTGGTTAGTGCTTATCTCTCTACCTCTTCACGTTGTTTTTTTTTTTTGGTAAAAATGAAATTCCACTGGAAAACATGTTGTCTTGGCGGGCAAAACTGTAGAGAAAAGAATGTACCTATGCTTGGCTAAGTGTTGCTTTATGTGCAAGTTAATTTTAAAGCGGTTTATATAAGTCTCCTGCTCTGCTCTCTGTTTTTAATACTTTGCTCTTTCACAAAATTACAATCATTTTTTCAACAGCACTCTTCCCATCTTAACCTCTTTTTGCCTAAACATTTAATCGGATCTGGACATTTAAGAAAATACTGCTATAAAAATGCCGCATCTAAACTTATTGACTATCTCTCAGGGGCCATGCTCGTTGATTGAGGTCTTATTGGTCGAAAGCCAGAATTTGCAATTACAGATGTCATTTGTTAAAAACTAGATTCATGAGTTCCTGTATTTTTAGCATTAGACAGGGCCTCTATATATCTACTAGGTATATGGGTGATATCATAATCTTAACCCCTTAAACTTCTACATTTCCGGGATTATACTGCACGGGTTTGGGAGCAATCGGATGTTTTCGGATATTTTACCGCACGGCTTGAATTTTGACGTATGACAATTCTGACGGTCATGTCAGTGAATGTATTCGTGTTATTCTGAAAAAGTGTACCCATGAACTAACATACCAAAAGTTTTGGGCAATAGAGAAAATACCAGGGGTAAAAAAAACAGAAACGTAATACAGTTTATTTCATTTCAATTTCAAAATAGGTCTAGGGTCTAGATAAAAATATAGATAGATCTGAACTATTTAAACTTGCCAATATTACAACGACATTATTTGCCATAAACGTTTTCAATATAATGTAAAAAATCTTGCAAAGTTCAATAACAAGCGATGAGTTAAAGTATTTTACGCGGGTATAACATTTAACAGTTTTGTTTTTGGCGGTACGATAAAAACAATGTGCGTCGTACTAAAAATTACGTATGTTTTTCGTATATACAAAAACGTTTGAATAATAAAACGGAGTTGAATTGCCGCTACATATTGCGATACGACCATATCCAGATCCAATTTCGGAACTTCAAATTATCATTAAATATACAGTGAGGACCGTTTTTAATACTAAATAACACTGAGGACGACGCAAAACTTTTATTATAACAATAGTCGCGTGTTACTTTGACCTTACTGTACAGGGTGTTCAGTTTGGTCATTATTTGTTTCTGCAAACTTGTCTTTCAATATAAGTTATCCAGTCATAGAACAACAGATGATTCTACAAATTAAAATACAAAGATTTAGGGGGTTGAAATCACAATCATAATCATTTTAAAGGGGAGAAAAATACAAAAGTACTATTTACAAGGCTTCTGCGTCGGTCTTGGTTGCCGTTTCCTCAATTATCCTGTTGGTTTCTTCTTAGCTCAACTGAAACTGGTTTGCATTCTACTCTGTACGTACTTCCATATAGTGTAAGGGAAACGGAATTAAAGAACGGAAAGAAACATTGTCTTGGATGGGTGATTTTCAAATTGGTGAAATGTAAATTTATTGTTTGATAGTTTATCGATTGTTGTATTTTTCTTGGGTAGAAGAATTGGTGACATGCAAAAATTTTAGTTTGGTCGAATAAGATATGATGTCCGGTTTCATGATTATGTTCGGCAACTACTGATCTTAAGTCTTAAGGCTCCATCATGTTTTTTTAGGCTAATTGATATTTTTCGCCCTGTTTCCTCAGTGGTGCATATGCATGGAATGCTGTAAATTCCACACTTGCCACTGTGGTTCTTCCTTATAATCAAAACATTACTGACAACATATCAAAAGTTCTCAAGAAATAAATTAAAACCAGATTTATCACTTGTCCAAAAATCTCTCAACACCCGGAGTTTACAGCATTTCCATGCGTATGCGGCAAAGAATACATTGGAGAAACAGACCGAAAAATATCAACTAGGATAAAAGAGCATGAAAAACCCTTAAGACTAATAAGTTGCCGAATATAAGCATGAAACCCGACATCAAATCTTATTCCACTAAAATTCTTGCGAGAATCCATAGTAATCTCTAAATAACCAAATAATCTTAAACGCGACTCACCATTCTTTAGCTCCTCCTCCCTCAAACTATATATAAGCAGGTACAGAGTAGAAAGCAACACTACTTTCAGTTAAGCTCTGAAGAAGTCAACAGGATAATTGACGAAAAGCCACCAGCAGGTTCTATTCATCAACATGGAGGAATCCAGATTTGTAAATAGTAATTGTTTGTGTTATAAATCTCTTTTGTTAATAATTTAAAATTAAGTAAAATCTTTTAAAACTTAAATTGAACATGTAAAAAATGATTTTGCAGTCACTTTCTCACAAAGCGTTCTCGTCACTAACTTGACATTTGACACTAAAACTGTTTTTGTTTTTTAGTACATTATTTAATCAATTATTGTCAAAATCTAATATAATAAAATTTATATGATATTTTATTTTTGTAATTTTTAAATTTCATGGATCTGTTTTGTTCTATTCATTTAATAATTTTATTTGGCGAATTTTAAACCCTTCAATAATTTTACTGATTAAAAGTTTCAATTTCTAAATAACACATTTTGAACTATTTTTCTTGGATTTTTGCCTGCGCCATCAATTAAGTTAAATTCCATTAATAGTTTTTCATGTCCTGATAGTAGGGACTGAATAATTTTTATTAGTGCAGTTTTCGATCATTTAATTTACCTGTTAAAAATCAGATTGTTCTGAAACAGACCATTTGGTAAAGCAAGAAATAATAAATTTAAAACTATGACATCAAATAGCTTCAGATTGGACTAGGCGAAAGAATCGACTATTTTTTTTATGAAAAACATATCGATAAAATCATTGAAAATGACGAAAAAAATATTGTGCAAGTTTAAGCCCTTAATATTAATCATTTGCATTTTAATTTTTTTTGTCCTGATCTTACAGCCAAATTTGAATTCCCTATAACAAAAGCTCTGAATGAAAATTTGCATCAAGAAATCAAACCTTAAACATTAACAAGTTTTTTTGATTTAACTATTTAATTTTCGAATTTTGCAACTAACAAACAACTCAATATACAAAAAAGAACAATATTGATTTTTTAAAAAGTTATTTGCGAATGAACTAAAAGAAAAAATGAACTCCTTGTTTTTTTTGTTGTCTTCCAATTTTTCCACTTGATAGATCAAATTCGTGTTCTACATTCTACATCAAAAAATTATTATGTCAGCAAGACAATCACTAAAAATTATAAAAAAAAAACAATCATGTTGAAAGTTATATAGACGAATTCATATCTATTTATGGCTTTTCTAAGCCTTATGACAACTAATAATAGTCTAGCGTTTCCTAGTTATTTTACACTCTTCATAGAAAGGGCAATAATTAATGTGTAAAATATTGTAGATAAATAATTTTCAATAGTAAAACGTAATTGCTATTTTTTAAATTATTTGTAGTGACTGCATTGATAACATAATAATTTAGGTAGAAAAAATTGTGTGAAAGCGAAAAAACGATTTCATTTCATATCTGTTCAATACTAAATTACCCCCCCCCCCCCCCCACCATTAATACATTGGTATTGTATACTAAGTTATTTGTTAGTTACAAATTTCCACAATAAAACAGTTAATTAAAAAACTGGTCAAGGACTGGAATTCAATTTTCCGCAAAAATGTATTCAAATAAATATTTTCACCTCACACATTTGGCACTTTTCACGCATTAATGAGATCGGGACAAAAAATGAAAATACATGAAAAATATTAATGGCTCAAACATTCCACGATATTTTTTTGTCATTCTGAATGATTTTAACGATTAATCATTAATGATGGCCAAAGTATTTTTTTAACAGTAGCATGCGCATGTTAAAAATATGGTTAACAGGAAAATCACAAGCCTGAATTTAGTGGCGCAACTAATGGATACTCCTACGTCCACTAATCTATTATCAACACGCGAAATGCTGCCTTCCCAAATTTTAAAACGGCACCTCACATAACTTTTATTTTGTTTTTAAACGAGTCCTTTTAAATATCACATAACGAGAACTAGTTACTCTTGATTAACACAAACGAATCGGTTGGATTATAACGCCTAATTCGAAGGTCCAAAAGAAAATTTAGAAATAGATAAACGTGGACATGGCGCGACGATCCTTATTCCAATAAATTATCGAGACTTTTTTCTTTATAGAAACTATCCTCCGTTTTCTTGCGTTTCCAATTGCTCTAACCTAACTTTTAACCGGAATTTCTCCTCCTTCACGTCGGCCAACATCTGACTCAGCTCCTGACAAGTGCGCAACAACGCAGTATTTTCGACCTGCAATCTTTCAAACTCCTCCCATCTCTCTTCTTCCAGCACATCTAAGGGACTCTCGCTGGCCGGTTTTAATGGTTTTCTGGAACATAAATCCCAAAAATGATAGCTTAGACGCACGGGTGCTATTTTGTGTTAAACGTTGGAGGTTAAATTTATCAAACTTCGAGTTGGGTGTTAAATAAAGGTCTGAAATGAGAAAACTAATAACAGACGAGAATAATCGGCATATGTGTATGCGTTTCCGTGTTTATTTGAACTGAAAGAAGAACGTTCAGTATTGATCAAAGCGATTCGAAAACAAAACACAAAAAACAAAATACCCATTTTATTTATAAATGGAGTTTAATACTTTGTTTTTATATGTTTTGTTTGCGTCGTATTCTGCGAAAAAGAAACTTCCAAACAAAAGCAAATTGAAAGTATAAAACGTTAAAACGATAAAACGTCCAAAGCGTTTTCAATCTTTTAAGATTTCCAGAAATATAATCACTTTTTACTTTCAATCTGTGTGCACATTATACAGAACAATTCCTTGCTTAAAATAAAAGGGTAGTCGGTTATATAAATGGTGGGACAAAAACAGGGATATTGCGCTGGAAATATGACGGAAAAATAATGTTTATATTTCTTTATCCTAAAAACGAATTTATTATTTTTAGAATTTAATTATTTAGAATGTAGGCGCAAAATACAGTTAAATTATTGTTCTACAATATTTTTTTTTCGACGAGCAATTTCATTTTTTTATTTGGAAACTGTAAGTCTTATGAAAAAATTGTAGGAGAACAAACTTCTTTACGGAGAAATGGAAGTGTGTATGAAGATTAGACAAAGACGCAAATATAAATCCGTTCGCCATGAGATGCGTAAGTAACTGCTTCTATTTAATAAGTTTTAGTTTGCATATTGGCTGTAAAATTCAACGCAAAAAATGATTGACATTTTTTGTGTTGAATTTTGCCATTAAAAACTTAGTTAATCCAAATCAACTGGTAGTGGCGCTGCTAAGAGTAAACAAATGTGACCGTTTGAACTTTTGCCTGGCTAACTCTACCTGCATAAGCGACAGTAAAGTATTATTAGTCGCTCCGTCAATAGTTTTTCTGGTGTGTGGTTTTAGGATGCAATCCAATCCAATCATGTATAAACTGCAATGCGGAAGTCGGTGTTTTATAGAAGACGAAGCATTATTGGAAAATGCAAAACATGTAATTTTAATTGAGTCTACTCCAGAAACTCAAAAGAACATTTTGTATTGAGGCTTCAAATTAGCAAAATTAAAAGCATTTCCTATGAAATTAAGGGCCAAAAATCCATGAAACAAATGAATTTGCATTGTGTTTTTCCTTTAAGGTCAAAGACCCGAATCCGAAAAGGCAGAGAATCGCGAGCCATATCAAACGAACAATTTTTTAAACTAATACCTACATAAATGATACAAGACAAACATGATACTCATGTGGAAACAATTCAGTCGTTTCCAATTTTTCTTCCAGAATTCGAAGTCAACTACCATAAAAGAACAACTAATAATTATCTTAAAAAAAAAAAAAAGATTAATGATGTTGTGCGTCAGGAAAGGACTCTATTAGCTCGGATCAAACTTTTTTTTGGTTTTGATTTTGGTTAGTTGGTGCAAAAATTTTAAACATCGCTTACTAACCTGTATACTTCGAAAGCGCCGTGTTTCCGTGGCACTTCTTCAGGACTCTCTTGGGCGAACAACTGTGCAAAAAGCTTCTTTCGTTCGGCTTCGTACACGTCGCCCGGAAAAACCACTTCATCGTGGACGTTTTCGTACTTTTCCCCGAACTGATCGAAGTCGCCGAAAGAGGGCGCCGTTTCCGTCGGCGCTATGTAGTCGCCCTCCGACTTTTGATTGGTCAAACGCTTCGACTGACCGCTCGGACTTACGCGGGGCGGCACGGTAGGTGGCGCACCCAGTTTGCTGAGCCTAAATGATCGCACTGATTTTTAATATTCCTCTATTATTTTTTTTTTTGGGCATTAATAATATAATCGCGAAAGTTTCGAGCGTTCCACAAAAAAGGTTGATTTCAAGAAATTATCGATCGCCTAGAAGAAAGTTTTGCCGGTTATATTGTCCACCTGTCTTATAGTTTTACCGATCGAGTTTTTTTTTAGCCTATTTAAATAAAAAAAACACTTATTAAATAAGCTCCAGCGGACCCTAATGGTGCTTTTACGAAAAATGTTGAAGAATTTTCGATTTACCCTGTATTATTATTTAAGGAAGTCTATCTAACAGTTATAAACTAATAGTTACGGATCAATTTTTTGCGAGCACCCGATATAATAGACGAAAAACGTAAATAGTTCGTTCTACAAAACGAAACACTTAACGTCCGCCATAATGTATATCAGTGTCACTTGGAAACAGAAATAAACATACTTTCTGCATTGGAAGCAGTCTCCAGTTTTCTGTTCTGAAAAACCTCAGTTACAATTTATAAAATTTAAGCAGCCCCCGCATAATAGAATTAAAATTAAATATTTATAGAGCAAAAATTGACTCCTAAAAACTGTAGCCCTGGTTATGGTCTACGCAATCGTTATAACCCAAATTGGCCGACAATTGAGTAAGCAGGTAATATTTTTTCCAACCAATCACTTTCTATCCCACATTTCGCGCGCCCTGTATGATATACGAAAAGGTAAACGCAAGAATTGCAGCTCTCGCGTCTTCTGGGTCAGATTTTTTTCGATTGGGCATACGGTTTTCGAGAAGATTGAGTTTTTGCGGTCCCGAAAAGAGAATTTCAAAAAAAATTTTTTTTTCAACGCTGATTTGATCTGTATAAACGGCGACTCCCTAGGATTTACTTCTACCGCGATCTCGAGTTTAGTGAGAAGCGTGGATACATACTATGGCGAAACTCGAATTCATCAGTGTCCTGAAAATAGCAGGTTGACTGACGTCATATCCTATGATATTGAGTTAGAGGGTAATAGCCGACTGCCGATTATATTTTTAAATCTTCATTCTAGTGGCTTTTGTTTTTCTAAGCTTTTATTATCCAAAAACAAGCTCAAAACTACTATCACTATATATCTGCTATAATTAAATTAAAAAGGCAATATTCTTCAGTTGTGGCAGGTTTAATACCGACACAAATCACAAGAAACAAAAAATTTCCCATTAGATGACCTACACAGTTACAAAAATACCGACAAACACTAAGTATTCCAGGGCTCTTGGACCGACAACAAAAGGTCCTAGACATATCCATTGATGTCAATGATTTGAATTTAAATTTAAGACTCCTATTTGGTACCTACTTATTTAGATCCAAGGATGAGCTACGGCCGTGAGTCTTGAACGGTCTCGGGGGCGGTGGCGGGGGTTTTTCCTTCTTCGGGGGAGGGAACGATGGCAGGCTCACAGGTCCGCCATCTTCGGCCGCGTTTTGCTGGCTGTTCGGCGGGGGAGGGATCGCCCCAGGTCCCGGGACGTTCACCTTTTTCGGTTGCGGTCTCTGAATGGCACTGTTGTGCGGATTATTGGGCGCCAAATTGTGAATTACCTTGAATTAAATTAAAATTAATTAAAACCACTAAACGAGAACCACGCGATATTTACGATAGTTTGGTATTTGCAAACCAGTTTATACAGTTGTTTCTTTTTCTGTGTAATTTTTAATTATTCAAAACTATTTAACAGGGTTCTTGTTCACTAGGAGATTCATATTGAAAAACTAAAAAAAACAGATCCCTAGTATATATTTTTAAGGAAACAAGACAAATTCTTTCAATGAAAGAAAATCTTTCCTTATAATTTGCGTTGGTCCAGTCACTTTTACTATACGGCATTAACGGCTTATTCAGAAAGAAGTCATAAAAGTTATATTTCCACTTGACCGACAGTATCCCTCAGATCAACTCTGATTCATATGCGAAAAAACTCATTATTTAACAACCACATATCTCATGATCACTTTACTAGGAAAAAAAACGAATGAAAACTTAACACAACCATTTGCAAAGAAAAGGATAGGGCGGCGAACATTTCTATATGCTGGACATAAATTATATAATGTGAAACGAAAAATATAACATCAAACGGTTCCGCTATAAATTGTCTAATTAATTAGTGGAAAATTATGCCACAGTGATTAAGTTTAAAGCTATGGCTAAAAGTAACTTCAATTAATGCAATCCATTATCCCTGTTCCTCTTCCCTTCTTTTGGTCAGTTGATTTTTGTAGGCTAGGATTATATATTTTATTTAGTCTGAGTTATTTGTAAAATAAATAACGCCTATTAATTAATATTTAATATGCCCAAAAAAATATTTCATATTACAATAAATAATTTCATAAAGTCAGTATGTAGAAAAATTTTACTATCGACAATCGGCTTAGGTTTAGGTTACGTAGGTTTTTATGATTTGTCTGACCACTTAAAAGGTTGCAAAAATTTTTTTCTTCGATTTTGAATTCGACACTGCTAGTAGGTAAAAGTAAGCAAATTGTGTTTTTTTTTGTTAGGGTGGAATTGTGCGCCGCATTTTATATGTTTTGGTTGGTAAAGACACATTAAATTGAGTTGAATAGAAATGATCAATCTCAAGGAAGGCAGTTTAGAAGCTTTTGTTTCCACAGTTCCACAACAGTGTATTATTCAACTATTCCTTTGTAAATATAAAAATTGGAAATGAAAGAGTTAAGAGTATTTAAATATAAATCAAAATATAACTTGCAAACTATAATAGATAAAATGAATGATTGGTTCTTTGAGGGTGACATAGTAGGAGTGTCTGAATATTAGTATCCCACATTTCAAGTTTTTTATTCAAAAATATATTATTTCTGGATCTATCCACCTAGCTTTGACGTTTGACATTTTTCTCGCTATTTGTTCCAGAAATAGGAAACTCAATTCAAAATAACCACTTTGTGAAATTGCGGAGGTCGAAACTTTGAATTTACCTGCAAATTACTACAATCCAGGTTCTTTTTAGGGCTATGCAAATCAATGGTGTCTAGAACGTCATCATTTTGCAGAGCGGCCGCGATTTCGGGCGTCAGTCTCCTAGCCACCGGGTGTCTCAAATCCGGATCATTTTGATCTATCTGAAAATCAAAATTGACAGGTTTTGGACCTGGCGACGAAACCGAACTCGTCGGGCTATCGACGAATTTCGTCCACTCTTTGGCGCCATCTTTCGCCTGGGGCGAAAGCATTGGTTCGGTTTCGGGACTCGCAGAACGACGATACTCGCTGCGTGGCACGAGAGTCGATGGCAACACGTCAGGGATTGGAATTTTGTGTTTCCGCAAGACAACCTGCAACAGCTCGCGTCTTTCAAATGGCCTAAACTCGTTGCCCGACCATTTTTTACCAAATGCATAGCCGTGTTAAACTCTTGAAGGGAAAGAGCACCATCTCGCGTCACGTCTGAGAGCTGCCAAATTTTTCGGAGCTCTTGGACCGGCAACTGAGACCGTTCAAAGAACGTTCTCGCTACCGGACCAGCCAGAAGAGCATTTGGGTTATCTTGAAGCTTTTTGAATTGGTTAGTATAGTACTCCCTTTGTTCGGGAGTGATGGTCCACACCTCGCTCGAATAATCAGTTTCGTCATCGCTGCTGTGTCTATCTGATGACTCTTCCTCTGTGCCTGCATAAATATCGCTATAAGCATGTCATGTGAGATCACGCAAAAGCTTTATTACCTAAAAGTTGACGCTGCTCTTCAGAGACCAGACCCCTCCAAGCTCCGGAAATAACCCAGTTCCGATCCTGAACACTATTTGTTGGTGTGGGACTATCTGATGCCGGACTGGACACTTCCGGCGAACACCTCACCTGCAAAATACCATAACTGTGGCACTCAATCCCAAATTCTAGTGACTTAAATTATGACATGTATGTACCTCAAAACTTTGATCACCTATTTGAATGCTTAACCACATTTTTAGGCCAACAAAAGGCCGAAATCGTGAACTGTGTTAATATAAAAATTGAAATTGCTCGATAAACAGCATTTGAGTGCCAAGTTTTGTTTTGGCACTGGCGGAGCGCCACGGGGCGAGTTTTTAATAAATGAGTGACTCAAGAAGTTTATCAAGGTGTTGTATACTATGCTTTTTCTAGGACCACCACTTTCGGCATGCTGATCCATATATAACTGGGTATTTTAGAGAATGCAGTAGAAATATACCATTATTTAATTTACATGGCAGATAATTTTTATGATTTAATCTATATCAATGTAGTAATCTCTCAGTACACAACGGGATTTGGAGATGTTTACCTGAGATTATATATAGCAAAAAATAAACTATTCTGTACACATACGGTTTCACTGTCCGGCTCAGAATCAGTGCTGGGATCTGTGTTATAGTCTGCGTCGTTTCTTAGTTCAATTAAATCCGGCACAGGTGATTCCGTGTCTTGAGCATTCCAAGCAAACCGCGGGGGCAAAAGGTCGATTTTTTTGGATACAATCTCAGTGGTTACTGGAATGTTAGCTTGGTAAGCTGCCACCAGTTTTAGTACAGAAAAGAATTGCTTTTTGTTCAAATAATTGGTTCCTGGTGTCCAACAGATTTCTGAAATCTTAAATCGAGTTTAAACATTAATTCTTTCTTTTCTTTGACAAACAGAAATACCAAAATACCTATTTCTGTACTCTGTAAACATACGAGCAAATAATACATTCTTACAAAGAGATAAGATTCAAAGTGGTCCTCTAAAAAAGTAAATCGAAAAAACATGGTTATTGGAACAACCCACTCACCTGGGAAACTACATCCTCTGGAACGTTTCCCGATTTTATCAATTCCAAGGTTTTGTTCAAAGGAGATTTACCTGATTTTTCCTCGTCACAGCACAAGAAAACGTCAGAAAAATACCTTTGCAAAGTATCAGACAGATTTAAATCGTCCATTTTTTCATTTTTGTTGATTTGACGTTTTTTTTATAAATATGTTTCAGGTTATGTCTAAACGTCTCTTTCGAATGACGACCGCGCGCAACCAACATTGCACGCAATGGTTGCTGTTCCATTTTTTTTTTAATAATTAAACCTCGTAACTTAAAGTTATTAGACTTAACGAGCAATAATTCTGCAAATTTCTTTTAGCGGCGGTTAAATTCATTATACGTCTATAAATTTGCTGCATACATTAAAAAAATCTAGTAGACACCTTCCACGATTTGTATCGTGGGATTTTTGTAAAAAAAAACAGTTCTATAATATTTTCATGGTCGCATACCTAATAAAGACCTTTCAAATTTGTGCACTTCCTTGCAGAGTATATTAGTGCGCACCTTAACTTGATGTAGACAAATCCGTGGATACGCGCAAGTGGAAAATATTTTTTTCCAAAACGATAATTGCCTTTATGAATGACTGAAATAGAGGTATGTTATTTATGTACATAATTTAAAATAGTTGGAATATTATTTAAATATATGTATTTATAAGTGACTTAATCCTTGTTGACTATAAGATATTTTCATAAATGATCAATGAAAATGTTAAATACAAAAATATTTCGTATTCCGGTTGAAAATAAACTTCCTATATGTTCCTTATAGTTTTAAATTTTGACGCACACACAGATAGTGTAATTAATCCTTATTACATCCTTAAAATTGAAATACATATAATACCCAGGGTGCATGTAATTTTACAATAATAGGCGTTAAAATTTTTGTTGTAGTTTGTTTGTAGTATACAGTGTTTAATAAAACTCAGACATCCGATATTCTGCAATCTGGGTCATGGATGCAGATGCAATTATTTATGTGGGGATTATATTTTTATTTGCCTTGATCTTAAACAAAATGGGCGAGCCTCTTACATATTAGTTCATCTCGTTCGGTATTCAAGTATATTTTTACGATTTGAAAATTGGAAATTAATTAATTTATAAAAATATTATACTAGGTGGATCTTGTTTTCATTTTTTATTTAGTATAGTAACAAAATATTATGAACGAGTACGACCTCCAGTTAGCAAGAGTCCTGGCCGCCGATGAGCACTTGATGAGTTCGAGGAAAAGTTCTCCAGATGGTAGTCCAGCTCCGCTAAAGAAAGCATTGCCGGGTGACAAACTGAGACATTTTAGGTAACGGACTTGAAATTTTAAAATAACTGTACTATAAACATTAAAAATAATAAAAGTATGACGTTAGACCAAACAATGATCATGGCCCGGGTAGCTCAGTCGGTAGAGCATTGGACTTTTAATCCAAGGGTCCAGGGTTCAAGTCCCTGCTCGGGCGGTTTTTTTTTTAATCTTGAATTTTATGCACACGTAAATACGTCAATTAAAAATTTTCCTTTGAATAATTTTCCAAAATATCTTATTTCTGTTTTTAAAGTGGATTAATGAAATCTCATTATCGATTTGTAAGTCACAGGAGTTATAACCTTCGATAGCTCAGTTGGTAGAGCGGTGGACTGTAGAGGAATTAGTAAACATTGAAATCCATAGGTCGCTGGTTCAAATCCGGCTCGAAGGAATATTTTTTTTTATTGAACGAAGTTAAAAATAAATTAATTTATTTATTTTTTAATAGTAAATTGCATTACAATAACTTATATAGGGTTTTCGGAAACGAAAATTTTAAAAAAATTTGCACTGCCCGGGAATCGAACCCGGGTCGCAAGAATGGGAATCTTGCATGATACCACTACACCAGCAGTGCTTGATGACATTTTTGAACAATAAGGTAGAAAATATGCAAAAACGACATCAATTGAAAAATATATTCACGAATATCTTTTATGAATTATATCATGTATTTTTATTACCACCAGATATTTAGAAAACGTCTTAAAAATAATGCACAAGACTAAAAAGAAATATTTCCGGTACCGGGAATCGAACCCGAGCCTCCTGGGTGAGAGCCAGGTATCCTAGCCACTAGACCATACCGGATTGTTATATTACTTTCGCATTCTTACTTTTTAAGCAGTATAAGTATTTTATTAATATTACATTTTTGCTATGTACTGAAATCATTCAATAAGTTAAAATAGTATCACTTATTACAGCAAAATATGCATTTAACATGGCTATTCCACTAGTATAAGCGCATGTACGTGATGTTAATGCATATTGTGAGTTTGGGTGTGTGTTGTAACCGCAAAGCAATGTCTATCATGACAATTATGACATTGCTGTGTCCGTCGATATTTTTTGCGTTGCACTTATAGCGTGGTAATAAATAACTATATTTATATTATGAATGGGCGCACGCCTAAAAAATGACAGCGCCAAATGTCAACATGGCTCGCGGATTTAGAATATTAACCTAATTCGATTTTTTGAAAAGCGTGAAGGTTTGCGGCTGGTTCGCGAACGATTTTCATGGATTGTTGTTAAATTATTTAAACAATGGCTCTCTTGTGGGTCGGTTCTGATGTGGACTTGCCAACGTTACACAACTGTAGGTCGGCGGAGAGGTTAGAATTTAGGCTGGCCTGTTTGGCAAATAAAAAGCACAGCAATTTCCGGTCATGTAAGGATTTTAGTGAAGTTTTGATGCAGCAGAATGGAAGTCATAGACGTTCGGGAACTTGGCCGTAAGTTGATAGGATTTTTAGTGGTTCAATTCCATATCTGTGACAATGTAGCTGACCTACCTATATTATTTCTTATTACCGCTGATTTGTCTATGTAACTATAGTTTAATCGTTTCATTTTATAACAACATTGAATGTGTCGTTTAGTTAAGATTTGAAAACCTTTATCAACATTTTCGCGGTTTTAATATTTTCACGGCGAAGTTGATTAGGAAGGTCCTTTTACGATTAATGACAGTATTAACCAATTTGACTCCATATTTGTATAGAAACGTTGAGTGAAACTAGGTGTTTCAAAACTTTGAATTTCTGTTTCTATTAGTACATGGATCACATAATTATTTGTGTATACAACTAAAATATCTTGCAATCAGCTGTTGATTTCGACTGTAGCGCCACCGTTAACCATATAATCGAACCGCGATCGAGCTTGGTGGCATTTTTTGTAGATGGCGCTTGCGATTCCGTTTGAAATAAATTATTGCGTTCTTGATGTTTCGCGCCAATCTGCAACCGATTTAACGAAACAGATGTATTTCGGGGATACCGAGGAGGATGGTCAAAAAATTGTTTCTTTTGGTATGTCGTTGATTTCTGCGTCGATCGTTTAATGTGGGCGCGTGATTTCCCGGTTATTGTTCTATTTTTATATTCCTTTGTATACTCGAGAAAATTCCCACTTATTCGCCGTCTCTAGGAAGCGCTAAATGGTATAAAAATAAGTTTCTGCAAAAACCAACTCAATCAGGTGTTCGAACGTCGACGTCGAATTGTTGTGGATAAGCACTGACCCTCGGAGTTTCGTTCGTCCGATTGCAAGTTGTTTCTAAGTGCTTTCACGCGTTTGACGGTTACCTGTGCATATTTAGTCGCTGTTTATTCACGAAATGTGCCCGGTTTTACACCAAGTTAATAGGCCTAGCTGAAAACTGGAAAATCGTGCTTTGTCACTGTCGTAAATTACCGAAGTCGAATTAACAATTTATTATGCGGCAGTAATAAAATTGAAAGAGACCCGGCGCGTGTTTTGTTTCCAGCGCGATATGAACGGCAAAAATAAGAACGGTTATGCACGGTGCATCAGTTTGGTCGACGAAAATGAAATGAATAGGTAACTAACTTGAGCTTTTCATAATCGGCTTCGTTGCCACGGTTACGCTGTAAAAAACATGCGAATGGTAATTGCGAAGCGACCTCTGCTGGACTAACTAATGGGAGTTATACCAATGCCTATGGTAATATTGCTTTTTGTTGTCACTTTTAGCATGATAAATAAATCCGTCCCACAGGGTTTCCATAAGTATATGATATATTGCTACAACCAAATCGAGTTAGCTAAAATATTATCGCGAACGATGTATGAGGTCACTGCCTGCTGCGATGTGATTGCAAAAAGCATTCCTTAATGTTGTTGTTGTGGATATTAAAAATTATTTAGGTTTTTTTTTTTAGGAGAACACGATCGCTGAACGCGCCGTCGCCCGTACAACATTTTGGACCATGTGGACGTATCATGAAAAATTCCGCCATGGTTATGTAAGTGCAGCTCGCCAAAGTTTGATCGTAAAAGAATGCTATTTTTACAATTTTTATAGTTATCTTGAACAAAAGTAAAATTTATAGTCTTTTAGGTTTATATTTTCGAAATAACTCTGTTCCTTCGTAAAAATACGGGCACTACACGTTTATTAAAGTATTTGTGAAAAATTACAGATCAAAACAAAAACTGTTTGTTTTTAATTAACCAAAAAGTGACTTTACAAGTTGCGGTTTCATACACCGATTGCGTTATCTTTCAACCGCTGAGTAACTATGGAAAAGACAGAGACTGCCAAATAACAGCCGAGTAACATTATGACGTCTTTCTTAAATTTTGTAAAAACACAATTTTTACAACACGCCGTATGAGTCTACGAATCGACGATGCATGAGTATTTTCAGTTGTTTTGTCCAGTGGCGTCCGTACCTGATGCGGACCAGACATCCCATTCATTGTAGGTAAAATTTAATAAAAATAATTTTTGTTGGTGGGGATTGTTGGGTGACCCTGTAATGATATTTAAAATCCACATGTAGTGGTCCAATTTGGTAAAAAACGTGACAATGACTCCAAATTTTATTTTATAAATTGTGCAAGCAATTTTATATTTCTATAGCAACATTTGTTGATATTATTATTATTATTATTATTATTGATAAATAGCGTTCTTTAACTACTGTCATTTTATTAAACAGTTTTTTTTATGCTTCGCATATTTTCCTCTTTAGTAATATTCATTTTTTAATGTGTATTTTAGTTGTTGGAAATGAACTGGAATTTTGGCTAAATTTGTTTTTTCAAAAACTGGTTTGGTGGCGATTTTTGGAAAAACGTATGTCAAAAATAATTGAAATCTGATCACATTTCAGATTTGTCTTTCTGTAATCAATAATGTTATCAGTTGATTAGTGTTTAAATCTTTCGAGTTTCAAGTTTTATTAACGCTGAATAAAATAGTTCAGCGGTGGTAAGTATTTAATTTTAATTTTTGAAATTATACCTAATATTAATAATAATAGTTAATAAGACAATAAAATAATAAATTAAAGAAAATAAAATAAATAACTAATATAACACAAATACACCTAAACATGGAAAGTTTTTACTAGGGTTTTATTTCATTTAGTGAACCTTTTTTTTGGTAGTAAACTAAAATTAATTTATTTGTTACAATAGTGAATGTAAAAATTTGCTTGGTATATCTGTATTTTTTATAACAAGTAGGGTTGGCAAACGTACTTATTATAATGGTTGGTTTAAAAAATAGGGAGCATCCAAAAATACTGTTTTTTATCGGACTTAAAAGATTTTAAATTAACAGCGGATAATACATTCAGTAACAATGAACAGAGTGTTTACTCTACAATTTTTTTTAAATTTGGTTCACCGAAGTTTTGTGTGGAATATTAATTGAAAATTACATATTTTTTTTATTTAAAATAGAATGTTCCGACCTGTAAGAAAAAAAAATATATACCTGGCAGCAGTGTCCATATTAAATTTCAAAGTTTTGTACCACGGACCTGCAAAGCTCTTAAATGTAACAAAGTATTTATTAACGATGTAATAACATCATACATCAGACATAGAGGCGCTGCAACTATGAAAATAATTTTGAGACGGTCCATTCAACATTATCTAATAGCTATATGTATATATTTATGTAATGGAATAGCCCAAATTTAGAAAACAAGAACGAAGGAAGGAGAAAAAAATGAATTATATGTAAAATGACACTGGAATTTTTTTTTTCAATTTTGACTAAAAATGAGCGAAAAACAGTAACCAGTTTTATCGCCATAAAAAGCTGGATGTTTAGTTGTTACTGTATTAAAATCCAATATAAAATTTAAAAAATCTATTACTAATTATTACTTTTGTTCGAAAATAGTATAATATTTTCAAATACATACCTGCAGGTTACTCCTGCAGCTTGAATCGCAGTCCCAGTTTGTATGTAAAAGAGACACCGTATCGAAAATAAATGATGTATTTACACACAAAAATTAAAACTTGATTGATTGACGTAACCAAATAATCCAGATAAACAAATGCTTAATAACGCAGAGTGAGCAAATATTGTTTCGACTTGTGTTGTGTGATGTGAATATTTTTAAAATCCAGGGCTCCTTTAACTTTTTAATTTTCCATCAGTTTTGTTTTGTTAATGCACCAGTGTGCGCCATCAAAATAAAAAAAATAAGCGCGATATTTTTAATATCGCCCGGTGGTAGAATTATCGCCGAACCGCCGCTGCTATCGAACGATAGTTCGTCCTCAGCCCGACAACACAACATATACGTACACGAAAAATTATCGAACGTTTTTAATATTAAATAATTTGCCGCAAACAGTATAAAAGTCGACGCGATAGACGTCGGACACGAGAAGGTTTCGTTTTACCGCCGCCGCCGGCCATGTCCGATAATGGCGTCTGTTTTTTTCGCGGCCCATTTGCCGACGAAATTTCAAAGTGCCGCGTCTCGACGGCGTCGACGACGATGATTACCCGATCGTTCGTCGCCTGCTAAACGTTTTTTTTGCGATACGAATGTTTTAATTGTTTTAATGAAATTATGGTGGCCGACGGTGACGTGATATGCCTGCGCGAAAATTGGGGTGTGCTGTGCAAGAAAAGCGACGCGAACAATAACGAATCGGAGCTCGAGACTACGACGACTACGGACCGTTGCAAAAATTGCGACGGCGATGACGGCAAGCTTGTTCAAAAATTTCGCTATGTGTAGGTATAACTTTGAAAACTATCAGGTATTGTAAAAAATACAATACCGGACAAAAGTGAAGCAACTTTTATGATATTGATTGATCTACTTCAAATTAAACTAGCAAGCCGTGAAATCGCAAGTTACGTAGTTTTGGTTAGAGTTTAGGATCATGGTAGGCTTCTGTCATGGAGATATGATATTGTTTGCAAATGTCAAATCTGTTAGTATATTATTGTTTCTGCAAAGGTTAACTTGCCATTGTTTGGAGAATTATTGCACGTTATTATTAAAGAGGCCATGTCGAAAAAATACCAGAAAGGCCCAGGCCCAGTATCGATAGAAGAATACAAAAGAAGTTTCCAAAGAGATCCGTGGCTGTCAGGACCAAGGACAAGAAAAATATATGATTAAGCAACGAATAAACAATAAAACATGGAAAAGATAGTGTGTTTTTCTGGGCTAGTTTTTTGTGAACTAAACACTTAACACATTTAACTATGGATATACAAGGAATATTCCAATATGTCGTGTTGCCATATGCTATGTGGGAGCTGATCCCACTTGGATTTGTGTTTTAGCAGGACAATGATCCGAAATATTCATCTCGTCATGTTCCGAAGTGGTTCCAGGAAAATAACATACAGGTTCTTCCATGGAACTTAATCCCATTGAGAAACTTTGGGAAGAAGTGAAATGCCAAACAGTCTTTAATTGATAGTCTTTACTAAGTTTGGACGAATATGCCGAATGCTATATCCAACAATGGATACCCTATTAATTATTTAGCAACCCTGTTTCTTGTTTAAAATAATAATAAAATATTGTTGTTTTAAAAGTTGCTTCACTTTGGTCGTTGTATGACATTTGAAGAGACTTATTATATCTACAATACTACCCTATTAAGACTTTTTAAGTGCGTGATAATTGATTTCTACAGTCCTTCGTTTAACAATTTTTAAATAATTGACTTCATCGTAAAAGTTGCTTTACTTTTGTCCGATGGTTTATATGCATAAAATCGTCAAGCAAGCTTATTATCCACCCAAGAAAATCGCCAGCCTTGAAAAGAAAACCGGAAAAAAATGATGAACAGATAATGGACAGTATCAGCTCGGTACTAAGGAAGGAATTATTATACCAGGTGCAGTTTACATTTAGTCAGAAAAAAAATATGAAGATTAAGAATATTCTCGAACCGGTCAAGGATTTGTCAGATGGAGTTGCAAAAAACTGTGGAATAAGATAAAAAAAATTGGTTGTAATAGATTTTCAGTAATACCTGAGATGTTTGTTATCTTGCACCTGTATTTAGTTAAACGTTTCAGTTTATACTTTTTATATAACCCGTAAACGTAACGTGTAATAGAGGATTTCATATATTGCCTAGTCATTCCATATAGTAATTAGGTTTTATACAGAATGCCTTGATTCCATAGTTTGATGGTAACATAACCACTTGAAGCGGTTTTACGCCGTGTCATCGTTGCGTAGCGAGATTTTAATTTCGGATTCGATTGTCCATGATTGATAATTATGCGATCGATTCGGGTTATCGCCGCGCCGACTGGAATATGTTATCAGTGCGAATCTATAGCAATTTTACGCAGCGAGGACATGTGTTGGGGAATACGGTTAGGAGGATGGGGGGCTAATACGATTATTGGTACTTAACGAAGAGGTAATAGTCTATTTCTTTAAGAAGTAGAGTAATAATACCTCATTGGCTATGCAATGAGAGTACAGAGTGGCCCAAAGCAAGCGTATTGCATTCTAATAAAAACTTTGTGACATTCTCCATAAATAATAAAGTTCGTGCGTCTAATTATTTACGTGTTGTTATTTTTTAAATGAATCGTGCCAAGAACATATGTACCTATTTTTGATATCAAAATTATTTTATTAAGATTAAGTAAAGTAAAATTGAATTTTAAGAAGCACATGAAGAACTATTACAATTTTTAAATGAGGCATTTTTTTTCCTTTAATAAAAGCTGCAGATGGTACTGCACCTGCAGCAGATATTATATTAGTAGCACTGAATAAAAAAGTAAACTACTAAAACTACGTTTCATTAAAGGAGATGTTTTTAACTGGGGTGTTGGAGTGTTCTCTTTTTATTGTTTAAATCGATTTTTTCCGCTGGGCCTCCGCTTCTGGAAATGGGGAAATTCACTTCAGGTCTTACAATTCCCCTTACAGTTCAGAACACAGCAAGTGTTTACAATACCTATATACAAAAAGAGTAACAGACGAAACACAAGGGTTTATAATTGTTAAAAACGCACGATTATGTTAATATTATACCATAAAAAAACGGTGAAATTAAGGTGTAAGGATGTTATGGATGAAATGTGTAGTAAATAAGTGAGAATGATACTCGGGTTGGCTGGTATTAACTTTGCGAATACTGCATTTTAGGACCATACAAGATCCCGCTAGTCAAAGGCTTACCTGGTACAAGCCCCCCCTGACCGTTCTGGTAATAAAGAAGGTTCGAGATGCATCAGTCTATTCTCCGTTTGTGGACCTCGTTCACTGGCTCATTGAGGTAAGTTATATCCGAAGTTCTCAGCTAGATCATATTTTTGTCATAACGAATATTGCGTACCATCACAATTAATGGGCAATTGCAATTTTGCAGGATATACTGTAACTTGTGTCGAGCCTAAATATTGCCACTAATTGCCCGAGAAAACTAAACTTAATCGTTAGTACCATGCAATTATTCTTATTGCGAGTATGGTAATTGCGTGTAACTGACCTTCGTAGCTTGATAGGAAAAAAAAGATAAATGTCACGCTGCGCTGGTCTGTTTAATAACCTAGAGGGTGTAACCAAAGCAACAAGAAATATTTTTTACGAAATTTCACCACGCCAGTCAATTCTCAGATAAAAACTGAAATACAAGGAGAGCTGGCAAATGCGTCTTATATCTTGGGACATACTTAAAACGTTGCAATACATTTTGAATAATTGCTCTCCTTTAACGGTATGTGGCGCCATTTAAGTAGTAAAGAACTACCGGTAAAAATGTTCCCTTGGATGAAGTCACTAGGAAAATGTTTTTACTGGACGGTGAGGTAGATCCGTTGTTGGTTTGTAGGAAAAACGTATGGTGGTGTTTGTGGAGGCCGCCGTGATGGAGGACGCGAACCTTGATCAGTTCAAGTCGTTCGCGGGGGTTAAGGACAAACTGATGACCTTCCGCGACGGCAAGGACGACCTCACGGACAAAATCGATTTCATCATTTGCTTGGGAGGCGACGGGACGTTGCTCTACGCCAGTCAGCTGTTTCAGCAGTCGGTGCCGCCGGTGATGGCCTTCCATCTCGGTTCATTGGGGTTCCTCACGCCGTTCCGTATCGACAATTTCCAAGGTCAGGTCAATAACGTTCTCGAGGGTCACGCTGCGTTGACCTTGAGGAGCAGGCTGAGGTGCATCGTGATCAAAAAGGGGGAACAGTCGAGGACAGAAGATTCGGCCAACATAAATAAGACGCCGTCGAGCTTTCTCGTGTTGAACGAGGTAGTCGTCGATCGGGGACCGTCGCCGTATTTGTCGAACATCGACCTATTTCTCGACGGCAAACACATTACCTCCGTGCAAGGGGATGGGCTGATCGTTAGCACCCCGACGGGTAGTACCGCGTACGCTGTGGCGGCCGGCGCTTCTATGATTCACCCCAGCGTTCCCGCCATAATGGTGACGCCCATATGCCCGCACTCGTTGAGCTTTAGGCCGATCGTCGTTCCCGCCGGTGTCGAACTGAAGGTTTGGGAAAGAAAACGGTCGAGCTTCGGTGCCTGTAAGCAACATATGGTTTTCAATTGCAGATCGCGGTGTCTCCCGAGAGCAGGAATACCTCGTGGGTGTCATTCGACGGGCGGAATAGGCAGGAGCTCGTGCACGGCGATAGGTGAGCGACAACTTATTCGTTTGGGGCCGTACTAGCTTGGTAACACTTAATTTAGGGTTAGTTATTGTTTTGAAAAATTAAGATATGCAGCAGATTTTAAAATAAAAACGGAAATTAATTCGCCTGAAGATTTTTATGGAACATAAGATATGAATAGGTTTCATCATTTTTAACTTAAACCAGGATAAGTGCGAAACAATGTTATTTTTCTGGAAGGGGAGCCCTTCTGGTTACTTCATTACTACTACTATATCACCAAGAAAGAATTTTGGTGTAATTTTAGATGCTCAATTAATTTTAGAGGAGCACATTGATACAATTACCCAGAGGGCAATACGGAATTTGGGGTTCTTACTAAGAATTACAATATTCTTCTATGGTGTGAAATCCGCAATTCGCTAAATATGACTCCAGAATTGAAAACGTTAAAAAATATATATCTGAGCAGTAGTTTCAACAGTTTAACGATAATGCTTTTCTTATGATTAAGATTTGGTATTCCATAAACTTAAAAGCTTCAAAGGTCTCAGTGCTCTTGCTAATGTTTTAATGCTTATATCACAAGAAGTGTCTCAAATTATCTTAAAAACTCTGCCATGATTCTGTGTTTAATAAGTTATGTTATAATAATGTTTGTTGTCCAGTTTAAATGGTTTTAAGAACCACTTAATTTAAAGAAAAAAAAACACCGCATTCTATTTGAAATATTTCAAAACTGTATTATTGGTAAAAAGCCGAATAGTCGATTTTAGGCAACAAAAAAAACGAAGCTAAAGTAAAATATGATAACGTGGTTCGACCGTTTTGGCGACGTTACTGATACGTAAGAGCTAAACGAACTAACTGTCGGTAATATAAAAAAATGTTACTAGACCTTACTCATATATTGAGGAAGATCTAGAAGTTAGAGATAAAAGAGCTCAAGTTCAGGTTAGGTGCCACAAAAAATAGCAACTCCTTCAAAAATTTCCTAAAATAGGAGAATTTCTAATGATACTAAATCCATTGATGCTATATTAAAAAAACAATGACTTAGGAGCAAAATTACGCCATTTAAAACCTAGCCTAAAACGAAAAGAGTAAAAAGGTATGTATACCAATTGCAAGTAGCTTTTTATTTTAATGCGCTTTCTATTAACTGTTGTTAACGTCACGACTTCAATGTCAGCTGTAACTTTTGATCTTAGTTTGTGGTAAACCCAGTAAGATTAAGCTCGCCCTAACTGGCCTATGAAATCTATTCGCGAATTTATTCTCCGATTATGGGGCTCCCTACCTTGGGGCCTATGGAGTGTATAATTTTTTAAAGTAATATCCAATATTAACCATCGTGAAACTCATTTGAGAATAATGCCACCGTTTCAAATTTTACTTCTTTAGTAGGTTAACAGTTTCTCCACCAGAGGTCGTCAATACTATCCATTTTGATACACGGTTGCCGCTTTTAATTTTACAATTTTCGGACAGTGGCAATTAATGACCATGTACTTAGAAAAAAATGAATATTTGTAGTAATTAATATTGCAAAATAAATTGATTTAAACGCTTCTAGAGGCCATATCGAAAGCTACAGTTCTGTATTTACGGGTTTCGTATATACCATAAAAAAGTTCTTATTTGAAAAGCATGTTGTACAACAGGATGCTCATACAAATATTTATATTTTTAAGTGTTCATCAGAAACTTTTGCACTACGATTTAGTGTGTCCCACGACCTCGTCTTAGCTTTGGGCTATAATGATATATAAAAAAAATTTTTGGTGATTATTTATTAATGTAATGGTTCAGTTTAAGGGTGACGACATCTATATATCCCGTGCCGAGCATATGCTCCCAGGATCAGATTTCGGATTGGTTCGATTCTCTGGCAGAGTGTCTACACTGGAACGTGAGAAAAAGGCAGAAGCACCTAGACGAGCTCACTGATCTCACGCACTCTAGCTCCAACGACACTTTAGATTCTTTAGACAGGGAACTAACAGACAAAGAGTCATAGTATAAAATCAGGTCGGGGTTGTTATTTCATTCGTTGAATTGATTTAAGGAGAAAAAAAAATAATTTAAAAATAAATCGTTTCAGGTGGATAGCGCTTAATGTTCATGTCACAATGTAGTTTTTAATTTTTAGCTTTCCATTTGCACAGTAATAATTACAAAGTAATAATTTTAGGCGCGTAGAAAACTCTTTGTCGAAGTAATATTCTTGTTTAAAACAATGTTGCAATCGTTCTAAGGTGATAATTAGTGGTTTATATATTTTTTATACACTCAGGTTAAGGTGATGTATAGTATAGTTTTGTATAAATTGAATGCTTTAGGCGGTTGTTCATCACGAATAATACCAAAAACGAAAAAATAAGTAAGATAAAAGTTGATAGCAGGTCCAAATAAAATAAATATACAGGTGCCAACCCTTGTTATGTGTTGAGAACAATTTTGTTTGTAATTTTTTTTTAAAATAAATTTGTTCATTTTTGTTTTGTCTTTCCTGTTTCTTGGGTAATAGGTGGAGTGCACGAGGTTGGAGTAAAAAAAATGGATATGGTAAGAAAATAGATATATTAAAAAAATTAAACGTATTACAATAATAATTAACAAGTAACATATTGCGGTTTTAATAGGCCAAATGGATGCACACCGTTGCCTGTATATTGTGAAATTGCTGTGCAATATACTCTCTGTTGTCCAGTTTTGAAAACGAAAGATCGGATAAATATTTCAGAATGCTTTTAGATTAAATTTTATAATTTTCAAAAACTAAAAATTTTCGTGTCCGAAGACTATCTGGATTTCCAACTCAACAAAAATGAAAAAATAAAAACTGGTTTACATCGATAACTGGTTACTACCCTTTTGTAGTTAACACCGAGCGATGCTGCGCTAGTTGCAGTATACTCTGTATCCGCTTAACTTTTATTGACTGTTCTGTCAAAAATTTGTTGCAGCACGCTGGTACAGCGTATACGGATGAACTATGAATGGGTACCGGGTGTCCAAAAAGTGAAAAAGGCAAAATATCATAAGTCAAAAAACAAAAAATGCGTGTAAATATGGAATAATAAAACTGTTCAAAAACACCAAATATAGTGAGAAGGGGCAGATTTGAACAAAAACGCCAGGTTTTTTTCTGAAGTTTTCTTTTGAATTATCATTAGAGCTGCAATTGCAAAGAAAACGATTCATTGTATTTTGTCGCCAAATACATGGATCAATGTTATAATCCGACATTTATCCACTAATCAGTAGTGTCGCTTTAAAACGTCAACGTCATTAAACACTGCTATCAAGCGTTTCCGCTACTTTAGTCACAGGTTCTATTTAAAACAGTAACGTATTTTGACGCCAGTTCAGATCGTTCTGTCACCAGTTTAGCAAAAATGTACCCAAAAAGTGGCGCAGAAAAAGAACTGCTTCAGATAGTCTTTTATGCAACACACGTTTATAAACTTCTTCAGACGCTCATTTAAAAATGATTAGTGCTGCATAGTTGGGTATTTTAATGTACGGAGTAGAAAAAACAACAGCTGTTATTGAACAGTTTTCTTATTCGATATCGAAAAGATTTTGTTTAATTAATCAATTGTCTGTCTAACTATGTCTATCGTTTCCATACTTTTCGGTCACCCGATATATAATTTTCGCATAAACGGATAGGTAACACGTAATATATTTTTAAAAAATTTACAGAGTTTATTAAAATATTAATATATAACTATTGCTATCACTTTTTGATGCTTAGAGGAGCGTTGACCTGTTGCCTACCGGAAGTATTCACAGTCTCACACTTGGTCTCGAAATATTTACAAATCTCTCTGACCGCGATGTGACTGTTCAAATTGCTAAGGTCGTGGAGAGATTTGGCTCGTTTATTGGGGGTTTTTTCGACCCTCAGTGACACGTCTTCGCTGCTCCGTACTTTTCGGCCCATCTTGCACAGCGATTCGAACAGAAACAACTTCTCTTTAACCGGTACATAGTTCTCGACGTTTTGGCATTTTTTCAATAAGTCTTCGACCACCTCTTCCTCGTCTTTGGTGGGCGTCTCTTCGATTTTAACGTCGGTTCCTTGGGTGTCGGTTATTTCGCACGCGGGAACCGCCTGTTCTGAACCACTTTGGTTCCAGTCTTTTTCGTCAACTCCCTCCTTATTTTTATACCAACACTCTGCCAAAGTGAGGATGTCGAGGTATTTGATGGCGTCCAGTGGGGTCTGGCGGATCAGCTCAATGGCGATCGTTTTAATCCACTGGTCGAACGAGTGTTCGCTAGGAGTCTGAAAGAAAATTAAAAAAAATCTTTTAGACCTTTTCTACGACTTGACGATTTAAATGTTCGGACAATTTTTTTCGAATACTAAACCGCAACCGTTTTAAAGACCATTTTGCCTAAGATTCAAAAGTTCAATTATATAACGCTAATTTAATAACATTCTATATGTATATAGCTCTTTAATTTTAAATTTTAAATGTGATCGCCAAATGACATAGCTGCACAGGGTCGTCAAAATTGTATTTCTTCAATTTAAATAGGTCAAAATACAAATTTTTAAACATATTTCATTTACCGATAGGTTGCAGTGCAAAATAAAAATAGTTCAGAGGCATTGGAAGTAATAATAATAATAGTACTTTATTTCCAACAGGTAACATGACCCAATTACAGGAAATACTAAATATAAATCATCCAATATATATACCAGGGGACGTAATCTTAAATCTAGTAATCTTATAACTAAAAAAAAAAAAGAAGGAAAGAATGAGAAGGAAAGAAATAAGACTTATAATATAAATCGCAGTACGATGATAGTCTGTTGAAGGTAGCAAACATAATGTAAATAGGGTTTTGAAAATGAATATTGGGCCTGGGTAACTTCGGTTAGAAAGTTGATTGATCCAGCCGCGGCACATGAAAGCGTAATTGTTCCAGAAGAAACGGACAATCGACTCCGTATTGAACTAACTTATACAGAAATGAAACAGATTGCAAGTCTCTGTGCAAGCTCAGAAGCAGTATAGCGAACCTTCTTAGCAGAAGATCATGATCAACTCCCCCCCCCCCAGGATAGGAACCGTCCTCCCTGAACATTAGATATTTCAGTAACCTTCTCTGCACACTCTCAATGGACTGAGTGTGGCAGTTATAAATTGGTGACCATATCAGCGAGCCACAGTCAAGCTTGGACCTAACGTAACAGTTAAATAATAATTTAACAGTAGCTGAACCATTTTAGTAATGTGAGGTACGAAAGAGAAAGACTGGTCAAATAAAATCCCCAGATCCTTCACAGTGGCAAGTCTAATCAGGACAATACCATCCATATTGTAATTAAAGACTATAGGAGTTTTTGTGCGGTGGTAAGAAACCACATTACAGTTGCTGATGTTAAGATGTACACTGATGTTAGTACACCACTGACTGACAATATTGACGTTGTCCTGGAGAGTCATGCAGTCCGTGCCAGTTTCAATGCATTCATATAGTTTCAGGTCATCCGCATAGGCAAGCTTGTTGCAGATGATCAAAGATCGTCTATAAACATATTGAACAGAAGAGGTCCAAGGTTAGAACCTTGAGGCACGCCAGAAGTTGGAACAAAAGGAACTGATCTAAACCACTCAATCTCAACAAACTGTCGACGGTTCACCAGAGAAACTAAATTTTTGAGATGCTTTTTCAATCAGTGATGATCTTATCTGGTTAAACGCTTTGTGGAAGTCTGTGTATATAACGTCAACTTGACCTTGCTTGTTCAGAGAGTCACAGACAGACGAACACAGAGAGCATAAGTTGGTGATACATGATCTTTTCGTATAAAAACAATGTTGTTGCGTAGATTGTTTATTTCTAATTTGAGCAAAAATAAATTTATTTAATATAATCTCGAATATTTTAGAAATATTGCACAATATCGAAATAGGTCAGTAGTTTTCAACTACAGAAGGATCACCTTGTTTGAGAATAGGATAAATTTTGACATATTTCCAAGGCTCAGGATACACACTCGTTTCAAATATCAGGTTAAAAACGCGACATAAAGGAGCACACAGTGCGTGGGAACAGTCTCTCACGATAAAACTTGGTATGCCATCAGGACCGGCGGTAATTTTGTTGTTGTTTGCTTTGCTAGTTCCGGATTAAAGGACTCGCTTGAAGATGGACATGTATCTGGCTGGGATATGGTGTAAACGCTACCAAAGTACTTAGTACCAAAAAATTTGGTCTATATAATAGGCCAGAGCAAAGTTATTAAAAAAAATTATGATTTCTCTTTTGTTTTTAATAAAGGATCAAATCTTTTGTTAATGTCACGTTGAATTTTCAGTAGATAGCTTGTATAGGAGTCCCCAATTTCAGATTTTATTTTCAACCTAAGGCATTTAAAATTTCGCAATTCTGAGGGACTACCCGTCCTTCTGAACCTTTTGTGACATCCAGCTTTCTTTTTTACATTGTATATTTCCAAAACGAGGAACACACATGTTAATAATTTCATACAGTTTATCATAAAACAAGGAGCAGGCGGATTCAACACCCGATTCATGGGAAAGAAATTACCATTCCAAGTTTAAAAACATACATGGGCAGAAAGTTAGCTTTTTTAAAATTAAAATTATTATGGGCATCCAAAATTTTATTGCTTCTATTTCTGACAAAATTACTTTGCGATAGATTCATACATAACATTAAGAAAATTAAACAGAGGTAGACTATGTATAAGAATATAACAGAAATTTTAATTGAATATTTGGCAACAAAGGACGAAACATTTACAGAAAATACCATAGATCCGGTAACTGACAATTGTTTTATCTATGATTATATAACGTAAACTGGGGGATTACCCTTTGTTTCATTAATTCGGCGCCACTAGTGTGAAACGGTGAAATTAAAGAAACGAAATTTTCGTTTACGGTTTGAAGCAATAAAAATATTTTATTTCGACGTAATTATCGTTAGCGACCTGCATAGCAAAAGAACAATATCACCTGCCGAGGAAATAATGAAATAAATCAGGGCCGATACGGGCAAGCGTGAAAAAGTTTTGCGCCGGTTGTGGCGAAATCGCAAAAAGAATCGTCGATGTAAAAAACTGTACGAAACGCCGACGGCTGATGGCCTTGGCCCCCACCACCCCCGCGATGGTTCCGACGTGGCCGTGCTTGAAATGTCTCGTAGGAAGATATCGACCAGTTGCGTAATTATATTGATCGCGATTGTCAAAGACGGCAATTTAAAAAATGCCGAAAGCCACACGCTGCTTTTTCAAGATCGATATTTGATTTGATTAACCACGATAGTATTTGTGGTTTAACAAAGGCGGAGACCATGGTGGCGCGTGATATATCCCACGCCGCTGACGAAACCAAATTTTAAGTTGACTTATGTTGTATAGTCTTGGTACCTCCAAAGTTAAGATCACGTTTTGCCCCCGGCAAAGGGCCAAACTGTGGGGTAGTGGTCCAGCTTGGAGGCTCAGGTGTCTCAGCGGCAAACGAAGAGAAGGACCATCTCCACCTGGCCCGGCGAATACCTGCAACTGACCGCTCCGAACTTGTACCCTTCTCCGCCACCATAACTTGTCCTGACCGCATTTTACCAGTAATTCCCCTGCAAATAGTAAAAATGTCTCGTATAGGTATAACTTTTATAATCAGCGGGGAGTAAAGATACAGTGTTGCCAGGTGACTAGAAGCCGAAATCGTAAGATGATGAGACGCGGAAAAATATTTTTAATGGGATTGTTTCGGAAAATAAATAACTATCTAAGAAAAACGAATATAGATACAATTCCTGTGTTAGGTAGGTAGAAGATTTGGCGAAATCGTTACTGGGGGTAATTATTTTTATTTTTCAGCGATCTATAACAAAAGTAGTGAGAATATGAGATACCTCATTCACGAGATCGTGTATAAGAACGACAACTTGACAAATTACTAGTGCTAGTGCGTTTAAAAATAGTAAGAATTTCAACCTAAACCATAAACTCTCACGAATCATCGTTAAATTTGGCAACTGTGTAAAGAAAAAGATAAAATCGTATGAATTATCGTACTTGATAATAAAGGGTGAGGTTTCGTGGTTATAACGTCATTTTTATATTAGGCGCGCCATAAATAAAGTCATGAAAGTATGTCCAAACTTTTGACTTCATTTGACTAGCTAACATCGATATCAGTGTGCTTAAGGACGGCAAAAAAATGATGCGCGTCAGGCGGCTATGACATTTTCGTATAGAAGTAAGAAGTAGAAAGGATTTTCAGCACAATTTACAGGCATATTTTGAGAAACTACTGCTGTACAAATTCTTCATCTAAACTAAAACCCGTCGAATTGACGTGACAGTTCATCATGACATGTAACGCTGCTATATTGGTTGACTAAGAACCAGATTTCAACTGACATATTGGTTGACTTTTCTCCACATTTTTTATCGCCCCTTCAAAAGTTCCTATATTATCAGCACTAGGCAGGGCCTAGTGTTTAGTACCTATATGTCAGTGTTAGTCTGCTATGGTTGTTATCGTCATTATCTAAATAGCTAGGGCTTTAAAACTCCCGATGCCGATTTATTTGTATTGGAAATAGCGTCAGTTTTCAATGTTAAGATGATTCAGAACAAATTCTTCCGATTGAATCCCTAGATGGATGCACGTTAGCGTAAAGATGTGCCATGCGTATTTGCAACAAAAGAAAAAGACAATTAATAAATCATGTATACGTTACGCCAGACATGCACATTTGTGCATTGGCACATCTGCAACAGAGTGCTTTTGCGTCACACGCGATGGGCTGTTAGACATTCTTTCCTTCTATTGTTGTGAAATATATGTCGTGCCGCGGGCAAGATAATTAATCACATTCCAGAAGCGGCATAACGATGAGACAAATAAAGTGTTACGTTAGGGTATATAAAATAACACTTCCTCAAAATCTCCAAAACGCATTGGCGTAACGTAAAAAAACACCCTCGGTTTCTCATCGCCGTCACCCCTATAATATTCCTTAGTGGTCATTCTTATACGGGAGAGGGTGCATTAAACCGAAAGAAAAAAAATAGAAAAAAGGAACGGGCATAACATAAGAGCCCTTAATAGTTGCCCGAACTAGCTAGACACCCCTGGAGGAGAGGGCCTTTTCGTTTTCACAGATGGTTGATCCGTCGGGGGTTTCTTTGTTAGGAATTCTTTTCACATATGTGCGTGTCCCAGGACTTATTTCATCTCGCGCAAGACGTTAGCGATAAATAATTTTATTTTCACTTTATTTGTTGTTTGCGTGTATTTGTTACAACTCCTTTCGAATAATAAGATATTTTAAGGTTTACAATAACAATTAAAGTCGTAAGTATTATTTTTATTTACGTATTCTTATGTATTGTAGCATTCCATTCCTTGAAAATTTGGGCCAAAAATAACGCGAACCAATATTTAACGACCATATTGACGCGGTCACTGACGAAGAAGATATGAACGATAACATAAATCTATAAGAGTTTGGGGAACCAAATGATATAGTTGGAACTTTCGAGTTACATGTACCGAACGATACAGTTGTCCTTCAACAGTCCTGTAATTCACCAATTACTGAACCTGAATGGGACGCATCAGATGATGAAACCCTGGAATTCAAAAGATGACGTATGCTTTCTGCAAACGACAGGCTTGCTTCTACTGTCTATACTACTGTTATATATAAATTATATGTTACATCTTCTGTGCCCCAAAACATTATTTAATGTTTTTTCCCAGTGGTTCGTTTACGCACCAGTATTTTTTGTATGTTCCTAGTTTTTATTTCTTTTTTGACACATGTAATGTATTCTTAAGTGCAACAAAATAAATAATTTCAGATCAAAAAAGTATTTTTTTATTCTTTTTGGGATTGGGATTCTTGGGATAATACGGGTTAAGCGTGAACTAACGCAAAATAGCAAACCGCTTTAACCCAATTTCTTACGTAAAGGTGAAATTAATATAGAAGAAAAAAAATATTTGCTTTCCTCTCTCTGTGTCAGCCCTCTGTTGTTTACAGTTTGTAAAGAATGCTTTTGCCTGGGAACCCGTGACGTCACTCTTTTAATAAATCCAAAAATCCTACAGGATGTGTGAAAGGCATCCCACATGTGTTACAAAAGAACCTGCTATTGATTCCATTGAAGAAACGTCTTGCATAAATAGCAAATGTAGGGTGTAGGGTAAAGGTGGAATTAATATAGAAGAAAAAAATTAATTGTTTTTCTCTCTCTGTCTCAGACCTCTGTTGTTTACAGTTTGTGAGGAATGTTTTTGCCCGGGAACCCGTGACGTCACTCTTTTAATAAATCTTAAAATCCTACAGGATGTGTGAAAGGCATCCCACAGGTGTTGCTATTGAAGAAACGTAATAAACGTAATAAATAGCAAATGTAGGGTGCGTAAACTCCCATTTTTAAGAAAGGGCGGTCTCTGGGGACTCAATTTTTTCGAAGAACAGTAAATAAGTACGCCATGTTTTTCGAAAGGTAATTTAAAGTTATTTTAGTATTATTAGTATTAATAAAATTAATATTATATATATATATATATATATATATATATATATATATATATATATATATATATATATATATATATATATATATATATATATATATATATATATATATATATATATATATATATATATATATATATATATATATATATATATATAATTTTCTTCGGGTTTTCTCCCATTGCTACCTATTAATAAATAAAATTTTAACTGTTGTTAACGCGTCACTAATTCCGCCCAATCTGAAGACAATCATCGAAGCTTTCAGTTTTTTAACTGTGAAAAAAGTTGAAGCGTAATGAAATTGGTTAACGCTGATAAGACCGTCGCAATTTTGGAAAAATCTCGTTAACTAATATTTAAAACGATCCCAAGCAAACTATAAAATATATAGCGAGATCAGGCACCACGCACGCCCGTCTAATTTATATGTTTTTAATAAATGCAGATGACGGTATCGCCAAGAGGTCTTTAAGAGTAATTATTTAAGATAAAGAGGGCAATAAATAAGAAGCGGAAGCGCATTAAGCGCGTTTGACTAGTTAAAGGCATTCGCGTGCGAACGGCTTTTGAAATTGCAGTGGACCGATCAGAAATGTTGATCTAACAGATTGACCCGTCACGGTGGTATCTGTTTTCTTCTTAGAATTATGTTTAACGCCGTGGTGTCTATCCAGAAATACGTCAATAAAAATTATAGGAGAGTAATAACAGTGTAATTTTAAATATATTGGTTCTCTAATCAGTCAAAAAAGATTTTAATGCGCTGTTAATTTCTATTGTTTAGCATTTTCATAATAAATAATAATTTAAACTGAGCAAAACTTTTAGAAAGTCCATTACTATTGCCATTACTATTAATAATACTATTAATATTTAAAATCAATATTTAAAATAAAAAATAATAATAAATTTAAATTATGTCACATTTATATGTCTTATATTGGAATTACATTCAATAGAAGAAACTGCATAATAGGGAACTTGAACAAAATTTGATTAAAAAGTAAGTTTATACTACTAAAAGAAAAACAGTTTACAAAAAAAGAATAATTTCGTAGTTCTACGTAACAAATATAAGCAATCAAAAATTGTAAAATTTAAATCGTCTTTGAAACGCTCTGTCATTGGCTGTGACGTCAATTGGCTCGTTAGACTACGCGACAGCCGGACGGTAGCATAGAGAAGCCATTAGAGAACAACAACGCGTTCGTCTTGTTGGTTCAATTTTTAGTCTTGAACCTGTCGCTTCCTTTTGTTCTCTTGTCTTTAGTATCAAAATAGTATATTAAGCAACAAGTGCGGTAAACGGCATTTGACTCACGAGTTTATTTGACACGAGCGGAGCGATAATTTATCTTTAGTGGATAAGTTTATGGTGACATCTTACATACAAAAAAAATGTAAATTATTCAACAGAAATTATTTTTTAAAACTAGTGGAAATCGAAATTCTGATTTTTAAATATATTGTCATTGATACCTTAAAGTGTTCTTTATTTTATATAGATCAGGAAGCTATTTCTATGGAGACTACAATAGCATGCCTGTAAGTTCAATTTGTAATATTGTTTTTGTGTTGCTTCCATTATTATCATGTCAAGCACACTAAGCGCAAATACAATTTGGCGTAGATTAAATACAAAGACACTTTACACGAACCAAAAATAAACGAAAAGCAGCGGTATGACGTCACGATAACTCTCGCGAGTTTGGTGTCGTTTAAAAGGAATAGCCGGCTGTTCACAACTTTAATTATTTATTACAACTTAGATATTGGGTTTTAAGTTTTGATATTTTTTATACGTTATTATGATCTACACTCGGATTATGGGCTACCATAGTAACTTCCGATACACAGAGTCGAACATATCGATGTCCCCTCACCATAGATATATAATCAATAGATAGATATATATAATCATTTTAACGTGATGCAAATATCTTGACGGGGTGAGACAATGTTGCCAGTGCTTGATATCGCCGGGGTTTTGGTTAGTTACGACATACTCAGAATAATATTGATAATATAAGTCAATGTAGAATAGTTTTTAACTTCGATTTTACGTGCATCTG